GTTTGCTTCCTCTGAAAGGATGTTCAGGCATGCTCCATGGCAGACAAAAGCCTCGGCATTTTTCTGAAGGTTATTTGCACAATGGAAATTCCTGAGAAATGTACAGCAAGCCTCTGAGAAATGCTAGAAAAGTGAAGGTCAGGAAATGGCTGAAGGTCTCTCAAGGTGTTTTTGTGTTTTCTCAAACCATGCGCTCCGTGTATGCATGTGTCTGACAGCTTTCCAAGTCCTCCTCGTTCCTTCTTCGTGGCTCTTCAGCTGTTTATTAGGCAGCTATGTCTCTGAGCTGGAACGCGGGCTGCAGCTGTACGAAGCTTTGTTTGGATGCAGGATTTGGCTCAGTTGTGTCTCCCAAAGTACAGGGTGGCTCTGCAAGGAGATGTCCTTCTCCAGACCTTGGAGTGAAGATCTGAATGATTTAAACGGGCATATAGGAGAGCTGGGGATGCCCAGGCTGGAAACTCATTTGTTTTGGTGCTGCAGAAGATTTGCTCCATGGATTAAATTGGGCTACGGCAGCACAGTGCTTGTCATGGACAGGATCCATGTGGCAGACTGTGGGGGACCATCCTCACCCCTCTCCCTGCCACCTCTTTCTTTTGGATTCATAGGGGAATCCAGCGTCACGGCCATCCTTTTGGGGCTGCCCACTTAAGAGGATGCTGCTCAGCTGGGCACAGGTGGGTCTTGCCACATCCATAGGGGTACACCCTAGCCCAAAATATGATGCAGGTGGACAGGCTGGGCTGGAAGGGGTCAATCTCAACCCTCTTCTGTGTCTTGCAATCCTCTTGCAAGAATGAGAAATGCTTTCTTTCACTTAATCTTTACTGAGGAGTGCAGCATGGGTGTCTGCTGGTGTTCAGCCCCTGCCTTTTCACCTCCAAACCCTGTGCTGGAGCATTTGCCTGGTCTGTGCTCTGCAGTGCTGACCTGCCTCCCAGACATGCAGGATGTGCCTTCCCATCCAGATTGGACGCACTCCTCTTACAGGCTTTACAGTATTAGAGTGCAGATTTCCTTTGCCTTATTTAGTTTTGGGGAATAAAAAGGAGGCTATTTTGTCTCTCCTGGCAAGGCCAGAAATGTAGACTTTTTAAATCACTTTCCAAAAAACTGATTTCTTTGAAGAAAAGAGCAGTTTGAATTGTAATTATTCTCTTTTGCTGTCTGACAAATTTATTACCTCCTGCATCTAGTGCCCAATAGTGGGTTTTGACTTGCTTAAGAGGGAGAATTCTTTCATGTGCGGCTCCGTTAGTTCCTATCAGAGCCACAGTTTAAAATGTTAATGCTCCTCAGTATTTCTGCAGATTGCATCATTTTCAGTGTTTCATAACTATATGGCAAACGTAATTTGAAACAGATAACAATAGTGCTGTCTGTTTTAGAATAACCATGATTTCCTTGTCATTAAGAGATCTGTTAGCGGGGAGAGGAGGAGAAGTTTTATCTGGATGAGTTACAGATCATATGGTGCAACTGAGCGCTTGCTTTTTCTTTTTCTTTTTTTTTTTTTTTCCTTCCCTTGAAATTCACAACACTGGACTTTGGTTTGGATATGAAACGATTGGATAGTTTCAAACTCCTGTCTGCACCGAGCAGCTCAGTGCTTCCAGATGGTTTCAATAAGCATCCCAGAAGTGTCGCATCAGCAGCCGATGGCCTGGGCTGCGCGCTTCTCCTCTCCATTTTGAGTCACTTGAAGGAAGGGAGAGCAAAAGACAGAATTGTTCACTTGATGGAGTTGTTTTCTTTTCATCCTTATCCTCTGATTGTCTTGTGCGTTTTGTTTCTGAGCTTAAATGTGGCGTTATGTTTAAACAAGCACGTGGCATTCAGAGACTTGCTTTAAACAGATGGGCAGAAGGGGCTGGAAGCCTTTGTTGTGCTCTGTCTGGGCTGAGCCTGCATTCTGCATCTCCTCTGCGTGCCTGTGTGTCCGTAGGGCTGCGTGCAGGGCAGGATTTCTACCCTGAAACAATGCAGCAAAAGCCCCACCTAACATGGGAAGGGAGTGATGGCCTCCCAAGTGGGAGTACGTCTGGCCCATTATCTGCTGTTTGTTTATGTTATGATGTGGGGGTTTTGTGTGCTTTTTCTTTGCCTCCCCCCAGCAGTCCAAGATGGGTGGAAATTAAAATGAGATGAACTTGGGGTGCTTGCAGTCGTCACTGGCCTCCTGATCTTGGCTGTGAGTCAGGAACATAACCACAGAAAAAAACTCTCGGAACAAATTAGGGATTTGGAAGCTTAAGGTTGAGAAGAGAGGAGAGAGGCAGGGATTTTTCTTACAGGTTTGTTTGTTTTCTGTTGATCATTTCACTTCTTGGCTGAAAGCATAGAGCATCCAAGTGGATCAGTTGGCATTAGCTTCCTGATCCTTGCTAGATCAAAGCATGGTACTTATGGAGGATGGCAGGTCTTCCTGAGTCACAGGCAGGGCACAGATCTCGCCAGCCCTTTCAACCTACCTGCAAGGTGCACCTGAAGTTTCTGCTCCTGCTGTCCCATGGCAACGTGCATTGGGTTACCTGTGGCTTTCAACCATACAAAGATGCTCCTAGCTTAGAAAAACTGTCCTCCTTTCTGCTGTGAAGGTTGCACATCTCCCAGTGCATCTCTCCACCTCCTTTGGCCAGAGACACTTCTCATTTCTCCTTACCTTTGGGAAGGGTGAGTGTGTGCAGCCACAAACGACGTGGAGGTGGTGCAGCTACAGGGCTGACCTATCTCACATCTCCTGAACTATGTGCTGTGCACTCAGTAGTAATGCTCAGTGGCAATCTCCCAGTTGTCAGAGAGGTCCTGTGGTTAAAGGTGATGTGCATTAAAGTGAAGCACAGAGCTGTGAAGTTGTCCCTTGGGTGAATCTTGACCAGTGGATGAGAAGCCTTACAAGCCAGCAGCTATCAACAGAATGATGTAAGAACAAAAACTGCTGTATTGGTTAAAAAAAATGAGTGCTACATAACAAAGAGTAGAGCATCATTAAGGCATGGTGACTGCTGCAGATTCCTTTACCTGACCTGAATTCACACGCTTTGTTTATAGGTTCCTATCCTGTAAATTTAGATTTGAGGAAATCTCAGCCTTTTATGGTAGCGTTTGAGGGGCTGGAATGCTGTCACAGCCATTTCTGATTCCTCATCTTGATGGGCACGTGATTGCTGGGATTCATTACATGTAGAGAAAACCAGTGACTCCAGAAAGTCCCCAGAGCACTACCACATTCTGTGTGTGTCCTAATACTGAAAGCAGAAGCTTTGTTTGTTACTGGGAAGAACAGAGTCATTGGCTGAGCTCTCGTGCTGGGGATGTTGGAGCAGGGGAGACCTAAAAGGAGATCCTTCCAGTTGGCTGTGGGCTGGGGAGATGAAGCTTTGGGTTGTGAGGGCGAGCCTGCAGCCTCGTGAGAGCAGGGTGGGATGCCTTGCAGTGACTAGGTAAGAGCCAAGTGCTGGGAGGAGGTGACACGCTGTGTCCCTGTGCTGCTTCAGCATGGAGGTCTTCCTCACATCTATGCCCAGTGCTGAGCCTGGTCACTGCACCGCCGAGCACTGAGGTAACGATGGCCCTCAGCTGGGACGTCATTATCATCCAGCATCATTTCCTGCTGGATCCAGAGGGCAAGTAGGCTTTTGCACGATCTGACTGTACAGAGTGGGGGTGTCACACCCAGCGTAGCCCAAAACAATGCCTAGCATTTCTGCAAACTCCCATTTTTCATTATTTTACCGAAGAGGTGTGTGTGTGAGTCAGTTCCTGTGCAACTCATGAGCAGGCTTCAGTTTGGATGGACAGCACTAGAAAGTGAGGAGCTCCAGCATGGTGGGATCTGTGGATTTAGGTCTCCTTTGGAAGAGTTTTCTTGCATTCGTGTGCTACAAACTCATTCTGACCTGCAGTGGAAGCATCCATCAGCTGTTGCTTAGGATGGCTTTTTGAGATCTGCAATTAAATATTGGTTTGGTAGCACTGGTTCCAACATCCGCGTCTCCTGCTTTGCACCAGAAGTTTAACAATCCCTCTGTTTCCAGCTTTCTCTCCAAACCAAAGCAGCAAGTTTCCTCAATGCAAACTCCTGCACTTGGATCCAATCCCCTCCTTTCCCTTTTTCTTCTCTTTTTCTCTCTCTCTCTCTCTATTTTTTTTAAACCTCCCCCGTTCCCTTTTGAATCTGTGAATGAGAGAATGTCTAAAGTCAGGGAAGGATGGAAACATTTTCTCCTTGGTGAGGTCAGGGTGGGGTGGAAAGTGGAGGGGGCTGCGAGGGGGCAGTTTGAAAACAGGAAACCATGTGGCAGCATGCATGCAGGGCCCAGCTGATGTGAATGAGCTATTGAGAGGGGAGAGATTTGCTGCCTAGCCCAGCGTTAGAAAAACTGAGAAACCCTGTGTTTGCCTTTTTTTTTTTTCCTCAAAGAAAAAAAGCTCTGCTTCTCAGTTAGAATAAACGAGATAAACTTGTATTTTTCTGAGTACGAGTTACTGAAATCTTTTGCTTCCTTTTTTTTCTTTTTTTTTTTTTTTTTTTTTTTCGGGTGCACTGATTACATCGTAAGTTTCCATCCCCATTTTGGAGAAGCGCTGCGCCTGAATTTGTCTGTCTGTCTGTCTGTCATCAACCTCTGCCCCAGGACAGAGGGAAACACAGCCGTCCTTCCTTTCCTCACCTCTCCCAAAATGCGTCCCTTCACTTCTCCATCTTTGTACCGGGCAAACAGGCTGAGAGCTTGAAGCAGGAGGTGCAAGGAGCTGCCGATGGAAAGCTGCTGCTTTTTCCTCCTCCACTCCCCTCTCTTTTTTTTTTCTTCTTTTTTCTTTTTTTTCCTTTCTTTCTGAGGAGATGAATCATGCTCCCACAACTGTAAAGACATTTTCAAAGCTGAGAACGCTGGTGGTGCAGTACTAAAAAGGCAAGTAGGGCCGTCCCAGCTCAGGCCAGGAGGGAGTGGCTTTATTTCATTATTTTCTTTCCTTTCGCCCTGTGCTGTCATTAGAAATTTAAACTTAACGCAAAACCGAGCCCTCCTGCCTGCTCGGCTGAACGGCAGAAAGACTCAAAAGGAAGAAAACACTTTTTTTTGTTGTTTCTTTCAAATCTTTGTGTGCTGAAAGAAAACTCACATTGGTGACAGTACTTACTTTGGATACAGTGATCGACTTTTTTTTTTTTCTCCTTTTTTTTTTTCCCTTCTGAATCAGACACGTCGTGGCTGAGCCTTCCTCTGCTTTTCTCCCTTGGAGCATCAGGGTTCCTATCGCATCTGTCTGGCTTTTGTTCTCTATCAGAATTTTTATTCTGGTGCTTTTTGGATATCAAAGTTGTCTGGAAAACTTCTTATTATTCGTATTCATATAACGGGAAGGCTGATACCATTCTTAGCAGCTACAAAAGAAGTAATAATCATATGTATAAAGCTCTCTCGATATACCTTCTGTTTTCTATAAGTTCCTGTGTTTGTATAAGCAAATCTGTTCCAAGAAGACTTTATCAACCGGTCGCAGCTCTGGGATTTTCTTTTTCCTGTTGAGAGGCTCGGAGCGGCGGGGACTTCTCTGAGCACGCGTGCGTGTGGCCAGGAGCGCAGCAGGCACGCTGGGGTTCATGGTGGGCTCTGCTCCCTACACTGTGCCTCTGCTCGCGGCCCTCGGGACAAAATGTACGAACGGCACAAGAGGCGGTACAGCCTGTGCGACATCTCCAAGGTGGACAGGACTGTAGATGTGGTGTTGTTAAAGGTATGGTGGTTGTTTACGTTGCTTATCCTGCTCCTTCTCTCGGGTGCTGCAGGTTGGGGTTCAGGAGGAGCTTGCGCCCTTCAGCATGCAGACGGGTTGCAGTCGTGAGCGTGAAGTGGTTTGCTGTTATCTCAGAATTATCCATCGTAGCATGCAAACACGCTTCCAGAGAACCATTCTGGCCATCTTCCCCCCGGTCTTTTCTCCCCATTAAACACTCCTGTTGTATTTTGCAAACCTCACAAGTCACAGGTGGTTTTTCTGTGCCTTTCTGTCAAGGATTTTCATTCCCAGTGTTCATTTTTGGAGTGAAATGTGGCCCCCCACCCCTTTCCCCAAAATATATCCTGCTGAAAAAGGCATGGTGGATCCTCCCTTGCCTCTGTTTTTTGTTTATATTTGAAAGGTGTCGTTCTTATTGTTTGGGTGTGAATTTTGTCAGAAGATTGGTCAGAGCAAGAGCCGGCAGCAGCTCTTGGCTACTTGTCCCAGCGTTCCTTCGCTAATCTAAAATTAGCAAGCGCTCCACCAAATGGCACAGTGGCAGTCTGGGAATGTCTTCTCCCTAACAGCTTTTTGGAGCTTCAGCAGTTTCCTGGCAAAGTGGATGGAAATCGGAAAGCAGCCAGAGAGGCTGCAAAACACAGCTTGCCTCTGATATCTTAACTCGTGAACGAGCGTTTCTTTCTGCCTCTCTTCTTCTCTGTGTCCTTTTCTTAGCAGAGGCAGTGGCTTTCTGCACCACCATGGAGCTTCTTTTGCACGGGTTTTGCTGCATGCCCGTTTTCAGGGCTGGTACAAAGTCTGAAGAGATAAATATTTTTATTTTCAGTGATCCTGGCTCTAATTCACATGCACTAGAATGGACCTAACACTTCTTAGGTTAATTAGCATCATTTAGGTATGAAAGTTGTTTTTCTTTTTCACTTCAATTGAATGAATCATTTGGTATTTTGGTTTTTTGTTTGTTTTTTTTTGTGTGTGACACCAAGCAGAAATAACTACAACTAGCTTTCTGTATCGACTCGATCCTGTTGAGTAATGTTTGAACCTTTATCTTAATGTCTGAATCCCGTGGGATTCAATCTCTAGATAAACCTTATGAGTCACTGAGAGCTGTAGACATACTGTGCACACACTACTTGTGTCAAATCACTGCTTAATGAGACTGGGATAAGGGGTACCCCTGACAACTTTGGTTGCAATATAAAAGACAGTCTTTTTCTTCATGAAGAGTATCTGGATGCCTTGGTTGAAATGTAATTCACTATAATTATCTGACTTCAGTATTTCTGATGTCATTAGTTCCCTAAATTAGTTTTTGTTCAGCAAAGCTTAGATTTTATAACAAAGTATGGCTCTTGTTAGTTCCCACTTGTATTTTCCTAATTGTGTTTCAAAACTGTGGGTTATGATGTCTGTTCCTGCAAATGACTCAGTGTCCATACATGTGTGCATGTGTGCACGCATTGCTGCTCTGAACATCGGCTGTAAATAGTGCAGATGTTTAAAATAGAGGGTGCTAGTGACAGCTATGTTACAAGCAGCTTAATCTTGTTATTTAGTCATTCTTATGTTTTAGCTGGTTTCTATAGCATAACCAGTAGATTAAATTAAATTTTGATGATCCAGGGATCTAAGCCAGCATTAGACTGCGTCAGTGGCAGATCATCTCTTGACGTTAATGGGAGCTGGATCAGACCCTTAACGAGAGAGCTATTTGGGATTTGGTTTTGTTTTTTTTTGGTTGGTTTTGTTTTAAATTAAAATACTTATCTAGGTCACCATATTTCAGTGTGTAGGCTTTTCTTAAGTGTCAAACATTGAATAGCAAATAAATGTCCTTATAGCAAAACCAAATAGAGTCTCCATTTACAGTGTTTGATTGGAATGAAATTGGGACAAGGTACCTGCTAAGTGCCTGACACCTTTCAGTTTGGCCTACTGATCAGCTTGTGCAAGCTGTCTTTTCTTTGGGTGGTAGGTGAATACGTCTTTTCTTCATTTGAAGATGAGGAACTCAGTCGTAATGACATAGGAAAGAAAAACAGCTGATGGGGAAGGCAACTGGAACAAGCTGTGAACAAAGAATGTCTTTTGTCATTTTGGCTGCTATGTGTTTATAGATGGTATTTTCGTAGAACCTCAGAATCATTTGAGTTGGAAGGGACCCTTGAAGGCCAGCTGGTCCGACTCCTCTGCAATAAGCAGGGACACCTACAGCTGATCAGGTGCTCAGGGCCCCATCCAGCCTGATACAGTTGCAAAAGAATTTTGGATCCTACCAACTATTTTGCAATGCATGTGCCTTCTTAAGGATTGCTATGTTGGGGCTAAAATTTTCCATGTTTAGATTGTGCCTGAAAAAGTGGTTTGTAAAGTTACAAAAAAAACCTCAGCAATTTTGAGGGCTGATGCACACAGTTATTTTTTGCTTTAAGATATGTTCCTCTTCCTCCCCACACATGAGCACAAGAGGCAGTGGGTAAATCCATGTCTTAGCTTGCTGTTGAGGGTAGAATTTCATCTTTACTGTAGCTCTTTTTGCTGCTCCAGCAATGCAAACATGATGTTCTTGGTTATTGACCACAGTGGTTTGCCACTGTACAGAAAGCCCTAGTTGATGCAGAAATGGCATAACAATTTGACATCATCTTTCCTTCTGAGATCGCATTGCAGCAGATGAAGAAGGTGTGCGTTGGGTGGGATATCTGCTTGCTGAATGGTTAATTGAGCCCAGTCAGCTCCAGGCAGGGTAAAGCAGTTTGCACTGCGTTATTCCTAGGCCCAAAATGGGAAGTCTCAATGGGCCCTTGTGTGAGTTGGCAGCTGTATCCCATGTGGTGCCTGCCACCACAAATAGAGCTGTCTGGGGACAGAATACAGATACCACCAGAGCTGGCACCTTGCAAGTACACGCAGTTAGAGAAGTGTCCAAGTCTGGATGACAAGACTGTTCTTTGCAGTTAGGGAATAAGAAATTGGCTTGTTTTGAGAATGGGAGACTGAGCAGTCACAACTGGAAATGTGTTGTTTTTTTCATTTTTTTTCGTTGATCCTGTCTACGTTAAAGCTCTGTAGATGAATGCTCAAGCTCTTACTGGTAAGCAGAATGTCTTAAATAGGGAAAAAAGTTTTCAGTTAGCTGCCCTTTGGATAAACAGATCTCACTGAGCTGCACCGTCTTCTTTCCTGCCTTGGGGTCTGGGGCTGAGGGAAGCACTGTCCTTTGTCATTGAGCTTTGTGGCCCTAAAGCAAATCTAAACTTTGATCCTGAAAACAGTATCTACTCACAGTGATTTTGTTCCTGAAGGGTTCAATAGTAAGAGGTGCATGTATTACGATGCGGAGAACTTGATTTGTTCATGCCTCGTGTAGAACTAGAACAAGGAGGATAGCTTAAATGAAATGGAAGGGTTGTCACGCAAACATTTATGTGCCCAAGGTTAATTGCTCCCATTTTCAGTCAGAACTTGTTATTTTTTATGTAAAGCCATTGTTCTTGTATTCAAAGCTCAATTAAAGGTTGTTATTAACAGGGCTCTAATTCTGCTACTGGCGGAAGATCCTCCAGTGCCAAGGGCGGAAAATGTTCTTGGGCAAGATGCTCACTTTCCCATTTGGGACATTGCCAGGAAGAAAAGTGTTCTCTAGGAATTCAGCATTGCTGTTACACCGCAAAGTGCTAATTTATTCAGCCATTTAATATGTGCTGTGGTTGTAGGAGCCTCTTCCTTTAGTGTGGTTCTTTTCAGCACTGTGTGCTTGTTGCTGTGAGCAAGGACCTCCATGAAAAATTGTTGTACCAGTACTGGCGTTCAATAGAGATAGAAGATTTGATGTAGTGTATTGACTATACTAGATGATAAGTAGATAATAGGAAAGTGTTGTCACTTTGTCCTTTTTGAGATACATTGGAGGATGGTCTCTGTGTCCTTCATGCACGCTGTAAAACCTTCCAGTAAGCTTAAGGCAAGAAAATACACAGGGAGGTACAATATCTATCTATGTAAAACTGTAAGTAAATTGATATGTCCCAATGCTATCTGGAAAGGTGATTATCAAAGCATTGCTTTGAATTTTTGCTCTTGAGCTTTGTGCAGGTGCAATTTGTTTGTATCAGTGGCTGCTGAAGGAGGATGGTGGAAATCCTTTTCCAGGTGCCCCATCTCTCACACTGCTCTTCCAAGAGTTTTGCAGGATCTTAAAAGGTGTTTGTTTGGTTTTTTTTTGGAAAGGGATGAATTAACTTTAATTCATAGTTCAGGAATTAAAAGGCAACAACCAGATTATTCTGTTACCAACGAGGCTGTAAAGTTAGAAGTTTGTTAGAAGAAACATTGAAAAGAGTATCCTACAGGAATTTTTTTGAGTTCCTAAAGAAAAGCTTAGATTTGCATTAAAACTTTTGAGACAGTTTTTATCATTTCTGATTATGACACAGATTAGTCATAATTGCAATTAAAGAAATAAGTTTAATTTTTGCTTTTCTAATTCTTCTATAGGTTATTCAAATCTTTCCTAATGTCCATTACTGCTCAGTATGGTGCACAAGTACTTAATGATGCACCAAGTAAGCTCAAATTACTCTATTAAATATTTTCCTTTATGCTAGATTGGAAGCTGGAAAAAAAAAAAAAGAAAAAAAAAAAGGAGAGAGAAATGGAAACTTATAAAATTAGGACAAAGTTAAAACAATGTGGAAAGAAGATGAATCTCTAGAGATTTGTTAGGAAACGAAAGCTAAAATTGTGTTCCCTCTGCTCAGGGATGTTTGGTGCTGATTTATACTGGTAACTGTGATGGTGACAAGTGCAAACTTTCAAAGCAGCAGAAGATTTCCTGAGAGGTCAGTGTGTTCCTGTTGTGAAATGGAAGCGCTGTCAGAAGAGTTTAGATGAAACCAGAGGGAGAAAGAAAAGGGCTTTGCTACGGTTATCACCCCATCTAAATCTTCTGAGTTACAGGAAGGCCTGGCAGGTTTGGGAAGCTCCAGTGCCTGCCTTGGAAGGGGAGCTCTCATATGGGGGCAGTCCCTTGTAGGAGGCTGTGAAGGGCATGACAGCTGGTCCCCAAAAGCCAGCGCAGCAGAAGTGAGGAGAGGCAACTTTGAAACGTCATCTGAGGAGGAGGAACAGATTCTGGTGGGCAGACCCTGAGAGGTCTGGAAAGGGTTAGAGAACTCCCCCGGACAGATGGGTGTGTGGGGGAAAGGAAGGAAGAGCCAAGGGAGATGCTGAATAGGAAGTAGAGGGAATAGAGGCTGGCGGCCACTAATAGCTCCCACATGATGGAGAACATCGCGGCCTGTTTGGCTCGCAGATTGTCTAGTGCTGTCCTTTTCTTATGCAGAGAGGCTTCTGTACTAAGTCACGTCGAGTTTCAAATTAAATGTCTGCAGGAAAATGTCTCTGAGATTCAGGAAATACAGGCGTGCGTGCCCAGAATGAGCAGCACAACTGTCTGCTGCCTGCAGCCCCAGCTGCTGTCCTGAAGCCCTCTTTGGACATTCGGTCTGCTAGCGTTTCACAGGCACACAGAAAATCCTCCGGGATTCACTTTTTGGTGCCTGGGGACATGCTCCCATGATTCATTCAGAGTCTGAGCTGCAGATAAACACAGTCAGGCTTCGGCATGGAAAAATAACTGGTTCTCTCCTGGCATGCTTTCAAATGCAGCATATTGAAGCTCTGTTCCCAGGGACTGTTTCTTATTGCCTTCTGCCATCTGATCAGCGCGTCCTCTCTGCTCGTACCGCGGTGATGTGGGATGCCCAGCAGCAATAGGCTATAATCAGTGTGGGCATAGTGGAAAGCAAGGGGTTTTTTTATTGTCTTCTGTGGCCGTCAGCCTGAGGTCCTGTTGTCAAGCTCCTCTTGTGGCTGAACAAGGGCTAAGGGAAATAGGGAGGAATAGTTTTGTTATGTATGAGATGCATGTGTCTGCAAAATTCCAAAGCAACCTCATTTCTGATTATCTCATGCTAATACATCCCCCTACCCTGCTGATCAGGTGCTTTTATGATGGCATTTTCCCTGCAGCCCATGCTGTCTGCACCCTCAGTTCAGCTGCTGAGGAGGGAAAGCAGCACTCAGTGTTCTGCAGTGTGTGATGGGTTTTATGTTTTCAGTTTCTGTGGACCACCCAGTTTCCTGAGAGCTGCAGTAAACCTCCTTCAAATCCTGTCTGGTCTCTTTTTGGCATAGGGAACGCTTATGTATAGTAGTGGTTTCCTTTGTTAGTGTTTTGGTGGTGATTACTATTATTCCTGAATTTGGGCTGCTGAGATAAATACTTCATAATGCTTCATTTTGTGCACAACCATGTACTTTTGAAAAAACACCTTAAACTTCAGTGTTACTTTCTCATTACTGCTTTTTCTAGAAAAAAAGAAAAAGCAGACATTTTCAATACTTGGCAAAGGATAGAGCTGGCTGGGTAATGGGAAAAATATTCAAATCTTTTTTGAAAAAATGCCAATGTCTATAATGCATTTTCAGGGAATGACTCAACTGGTTCTATTAAAGGAAAAAATATAACGTTAATTCAGCCTAATTTAATGTGTTCTACCGCAGTCAACTGGTTATAAACAGTCTTGAATCTTCTAATTCTTTGCTTGCTTTCTGATAATTACTGAATAGAGTGCTGCATTATCATTTTCCAGCAGTGCATGTTAATATAAACCAAGAGCAGTTTCCATTAATTTGATGGAGCAACATCGGTGTAAGAGTAAGAAGAATGAGACACAGTGTCTTCTGGAAAGAGTAATGTACAAACCATTCAGAAGGAGGCAGGATTTGATTTTATATCAAGATGAATCGTTCCTTCATTGTGTGGACTTGAGCAAATTTGCATTTGTCCTCCCATGTATGTTCAGACTCAGTGTCTAGATGTGCCTTTAATTATATGTACTCCAAAGTAGGCTGTGCTCTGGCTCAAGAGAAAAGAATATTAATCTGATGTTTATTGACTTTACAGCTCTTCTAAGACTGAAAAATTTGTATAGACTCTGTGGTGAAGTTTAATTGCTGAGGTTAGATACCTCTGAGCCTTGTGAACAGGCTGATTCTTCCACTGAAACAATCAGAAAGGTGACCCACTGTCTATGCAACATTTAAAGCTAAATGTCTTTGTCACTTTGGAAAATAAGAATCCTGCTTTTTGCTATTTGCTTTAAAAAAATCTTTTCTCGAGCTTCAGACTGCCTTTCCACTGCTTCTTTCACTCTGCACCCTTTGTTAACATGTCTGTGACTATCTGCTGATGAAGGTGCTGTACTGAAGCCCATGTGTGTGTGCAACTGGTGAAATGGTGTGGGGCAGCAGACAAGAGAGAAGATGGGTATGCATGTGTGTGCAAATGCATATGTTTGAGCAGCGGTGCAGGAAAGGACTTGAGATGTGTATGCATAGGAGAGTCTGATGGGGATCTTATATTAATGTATATATGAGGATTCAAGGAGCAGAGGCAGGGAGCAATTAATGGGAAGAAAACCAGGCTGTGGAATACCTGGAAGCAGGGAGGGATGCCCAGGGCTCTGCACCTTGAGCCCTCACTCACAGAGCATGAGGCCTTTGGCTCTCCTGGGAAGCTCATTTTTCTCCTCTCAGACCTTCCTGAGCGTGAGCTGCTGGTTGGGAAGATCATGGCATCCTCTCTGCTGGAGGATTTTACAGGCGTGTTGTATGAAGGCCTCTCAGATTGTAGCCAAGCTTGACTTGGAGCAGCACAAAGGGACTAAGTGATCTGTCAAGGGCCCTTCCAACCACATTTTGTCATCGCAGAAGTATGGAGGGGGACAAAACTTGATCAAGAAATATGTAGTGCAGAAAGCAGCTGACAGGTCTTGGGGGAGTGCTGGCTTTGCTGAGAGCTCAATGGAGGCCCTGGAGGGAGACTCTCCATTGCAGAGCAGTGGGTGCAGGCCAGGCTGGGACAGCAAATCTGTGCTCATCAGCTCATGAGAAGAGGAGGAGGAAGGTGGGTTCTTAGAGCAGTGAGCCCCATCAGGAGTAGAAGGGTCCTGGGATAAGGGATTAGTCTGGTGAAGAGGTGCAGGTTGACTAAGGAAATTTGGTGACAGGTTAGAGGCAAAAAAGCAAAAATTCTGTCTGTCAGAGAAGAGGGAAAGGAAAGCCAAAGAGAGGGTAGGAGAAACATTTGTCATGTGAAGTAAGACAAGTCATCCGTTTGAGCAACTATTTAGCTAGAACATGTGAGACCCTGTGTGTTGAAGCAAGTGAGGAGCAGCCAGGCGGGAGGGGAAACAACTTCTGGGTTTGATCTCAATGGGATTTGTGTTTGGAAAACGCGTTCATCTAGGAAGAGCAGCCAAACTTCTGAAGATGAGAGAGTGAAGGGGTTTGCAGACCAGTTATAGACAAAAGCAGTGAGAAACGTGTTGGGTGAGCCAAGGGCCATGGATAATCCAGCAGAGTTCAGGGTCGAGAAGTTGGACTAAAGAACCAAAGTGAGGAAGAGTAAAACACAGGAAGAAGGCTGAGCATAGATCAGTCATCCCTACTGAAAGACTGGAAGTTACAGACAGGATGAGGAGCAGTGTGAAATGATAAGGCTGATGTTGAAATAGAGCATGTGATGTTTCAGTGTTAAATGGGATTTTCTAACACAGTCATCGCTGCAGTTAACGCAAACATGTGAAGTCAGATGTACGAAGTGCTTCTGGTTCTTACCATGACTTGGACACTTCTGTAGCCCTCATTTCTACGTTATCAGAGTTCCCTGCCATCTTTAGGGTAATTACATTTGGCGCAGTACAGGTAGTAAGAAATTACTATTCTTTAGATAGTGAACTGAGAAAGTAGGGGAGTACCTTGCCTGCAGTCCCACTACAAATGGAAGTGAGAACTGGAGCCAGGTCTCTTGAGTTCTCCACTAGTAGCTTAAACTCTGGCTCATCCTTTCTCCGAACTCCTGCCTTGAGTGGGAGCCACTTCTCCCTCATACTTTCCACAGAGAAACACAGTTTTTGGCATATTGAAGTGCTTTGTTTAGCGATACTGAAGAAAATAATGGTAAATTACTTTTGCGATTATTATTATTATTATTATTATTATTATGGAATTAAGCCATAACTATATATCCACTGGTCGATGCAGAGTTAAGTTGCAGAAGAGGCTAATGGGGATGATAGCAAAAGCAGCCTTTTTTTTTTTTTAATTTGCTGTTGCATTTTCTTTCAGATAAACCGTGAAAGCTGGTGCTCACTGGAGCCATGTCCTGACTCTTCGCTGCTGGAGCGCAAGCGGACAGGAGAGTCTCCAGGTAAGCTGTGGGTTCTTGACCAGCATGCATTCAGTAGAGCCTCCCTCTTGTTCTCCTTGCTGCTTTCTTCAACTTTTCTTTCCTTATTTTATTTTATTTTTTTTTTTTGTCATCCTAATCTCAATGGAAAAAAATATATAAGCTAAAGAAAATGTGTAACGAGTCTATAATGAGTCATTGTTAGTACAGAGTGAGCTGAGTGGAGCGTCGCCTTCTTAACTGTGCACTTGAAATGTTTCAGTATTTCAGTTTTCCACCAGATTTTAGACGTGCGATGGAGAAAACAGACGTGTTCTCTAGTCAAAATGATAATATAAGAAAAGGAAAAAAACCCCAAAAATTCTCATAATCCATATTCAGATGAAGATTAGCGGCTTCATGGGGTTTTTTGCTTATTTATTTATTTTTTTCTTCAAAGTTCCCATGATTTCCAGACTTCAGGAAACAGAAAGGCAGTTCAGAGCCATCGTTCCCACACCCTGCCCACAGTCCTGCATGCTGGCGGGTGCTCTGTCTCTTCCACAGGGACAGAAAATCTCGTCTGGCAAGTTTCAAAGAGGGCTTCGTGTCCAAGATAGGAAAAAAAAGCGTTTCCTCTCATTGAATCATGCGCGTTCAAAACAAATACAGTAATTTACCAGAGCTCTGTGTAGAGACTTTGCTTGGACTTTTCATTGAGTACTTGTTTTACTGGCAATATGTGTAGAAATCTCACCTGAGTCTCCTTCAGTTCATCTGAGATGCTTGAAAGAAAAACGGGGATTGAATCACTATTGAATTGAAATTCAAACCTCATCTTTTCAGAGCATGGGCTAGGAAGTGACATTTTGGGTGACTGACCTGAAGGGCTTATTCTAGCTAGAAGTCCTAGCTCCCATTGAAGTGAAATAAGGCCTTCTTCTCTTTTATCTTTTTTCCCTCCTCCTCTCTAAATAATAATAATAATAATAAAAAAATGCTGTGACTTGCAGGTTAGGATAGTCATGATCAGTGAATAGCTATTTTGCTAGTGTTTTACAAGAGAGCCTGCAGTATTATCACACTGCTTCTTTACTAATTATTTCCCTGCATCCCTTGAGTCTGTGAGTGATGCTTTTATGCTTTGGACTTTTTGTGCTCCATTTGGCTGCAAAATTACATGTGCTCTTTTGACTTGATGAGTTTATAATCATGCAGAGATATGGGTCAATATTAGTTATATACTTGTTATCTGATACAATATTATGCTATAGAAATATATGTAGTATACAATCAGTTATATCTGCAGACATAAATTAATAATTACAGTAGTACATGTCTGTAACACATTGAGGCAAGTTTGAAGATGACAAGGGAAATGTGCTTTTGTCTGACTGCAGCAGCAGGAAGAGCTTAGGCTCTGCAAGTGCTGGCATTCCAGAAATAATGTAATGACTGCTCACATGTAATGTGAAAGTACACAACTTGAAAGGGAATTACAACTTTTTCACCTACTGAATAGTCCTGCAGTAATCAGTTGTAAGGAGACAGTCCTCAAATCTTGGAGGAAAACTTCAGGAATTGTAGCTTCTCGTTTTCTGCGCATGCTTTGGAGCTGCATTGCAGCTACTTAGCTATCAGTGTGGAATAAGAGGGCTCAGCCCCACGTTGGAGGCTGTGAGGCTTTGGAAAATGTACGTAAAGGAGTTATTTGGAAATTTTCATCCTAGAGCTTTCTACTGTGTAGCTTTTTTCTTCTGTATTATGTGGAGAAGTGTGTTGCCATCATGTCTGTGGAGTTGCATGCAGTAAGGATAAATGGATAAGTGCAGTAATGCAATAAATGAGGTGTGTGCAGTGTGATGGGGGCTGGTCCACATACCCCAGTGCTGTGACAGCGCTGCCAGCAGGGCTCGGAGGGTCATGGGTGGGAGCAACTGAGAGACAGAGGTCAGCATTGTGCAATGTGTGCATGGTTCAAAACAGCAGGGCGAGCCCAACAAACTGAGAAAAGGAGAGGGGGGAACTCATATATCCTCCTGAAACAGCCAAGGTGAGGTAAGAGTCAGGACTTGGAGATGAACACCTCAGCACAGATGAGGGGAGATGTGGGGTCCCCCCCATCTCCCTCTGCTCCTCCTTGCCTTCCCAGCCCTCTTCCACCCCTCTCTGTCACTCGCTGGCTCCTGCCGGGCCTCTCACTGCTGCTGTGATTTATCGGCTGGGCGAGGTATCCGTTCGGTGGTGCATCTGGACCGGCCCTGCTCATTTTCCACTGGAACGTGGCTCGAGCTCCTTTGTTTTTCAGTCTGGGCTTGGACAAGCTCTGCCATCTGCCAGCTGGCCAGCGGGCCGCATCCTGGCCCTCTCTCTTACAGCCACTCCGTCTCAACTTTGCTTTTCCCTTCTTTATTTCTTTTTTCTTTTTTCTTTTTTTTTTTTTTCCCCTTTCTCTCCCCTCTCCCCCTTGATTATGGAAAAGCAGTTCAGATTTTCCAGGTTTACTGAACAGGGAAAAGGCTGAGGGAACACTTGCTCCTTCTCCAACAAGTGCTTTTCCAGTTCTCCCTGACGTGGAAACTCCTCAGAAGGGTGATGGGGTTTCCAGCCAGCTTCACCATCCCCATGGCCCCGGGGCAGCACCTTTGCCTCCATCCCTTCCACAGGGAAGGGAAAAAAAAGTGGCTTCGAGCTACCCAACCCAAATCTGTATTCCCTGTGTTGATGTGTGAGCCTGCCACAGCCAAGGATGGAGTTTATTGGCTATTATTTAAGAGCCAACAAGTGTTTTATTGCCTGGCTCCTCTGAAGGAAGCTGAAGTGTTTTGGAGGCATCTTGTTTAGGTACAGTAGGTTGAAAAATAACACTTTTTTTTCCTCATAAATACTAATAATCAGCAAGTATTCTTAACTGGGAGAAAAGAATGTTCAGTTCATGCCAAAATTGTCATTGATACCTCTGCTTGCAGGCTGAAAAAAAGTGAAATGATATATTGGCATTATGGATGCAGGCACATAGCCCTTAAGGTTTTTGGAAGGAATGGGCCTTCTCAACGGCTGGGATGCATTTCTGTGCTGCTCATCACTCCACTACAAACAGCTGGAAGTATTTGAAATGGAAGGAAGAGATGTGATATGCTTAGATTTAAATGTCAGCAATTACGAAAGCTTGTGAAATTGAAATAAGTGCCCAATTTTTGAATCTTTAAAAAGTAAAACTTGTCATAGAAGACTTACTGTTACTTTTCCAGTGGGAAATATAGAAGAAGCAATCAAGTAATGGACTGATGAGCATTTCAAAAGCACCTTGGCATTTAAATGTTAGAGGAAATTAATTGTTTTTAATTGAGAAAGTTAATATTGTTGACTTAGATACTTACTGAATATAAATCTAATTTGGCAGTCACTGCAGTCAATAGGAAAAATAATACCCTGTTATGCTCAGTGTGAGGTACTGACATGTAAAGTATCACTTTATTTTTATGCTCATGTCTGTTTAATGCAGAGTTGTTTGTGCAATGTACTTCAGTGGTGCATTCCTAGCCTTCAAAAAAATGAGTTTTTAACTCTTGAATAAATTAATAAAAATTTGTCGTCCCGTTTTTAAGAGGTGAATTCAATTTATAAACCTGTGCTTGCTGTTGATTTAAACTCTTGAATTGACTGAGCGTATGTGAGTTGGAGGTTTGAATGCTACAGAAAGCATCAGACCATAACTTTTTCTGCTTTGCTCCCACAGAGTGTGAGAACTTCTTGGAGGATGGGCTGAGCAGCGTCTGTGCCTCATCACAGGGTGTCCTTAAAAGAGAGTCTGGCAGCGAGTCTGACTTCTTCTCCTTGCCTGGTGATGGGATGGAAGATCTTGTCTTTGGGAAGGTAGGAAAATCTGATTGGGATGCGAGTAAAAAAAAAGTTTCAAGACCTGATTCTATAAATTCATACTGCAACCTTCTTGTTTTGGTTTTGCTGGTGAGTTAGAGACCTGGAAGGGATGGACCTGCAATGGCGTAGATGGGAAGGAGCTGGTCCCCTCTTCAGATGCAGCAGTTCGAGGGGTGCATTTATGTACACTCTGCAACCCCCTGATGTTGAAGAGATGAAAGCAATTGTGACTGCACAAAAGTAAATCAGACATTAAATAGTTGAAAAAGCGGATTTTCTTGTAAGGTCATTAATGACTGCACAGATGATATGGAAGCCATCTTTAACTAACACAACAGAGAGCTTTCTCCAGCAAACATAACCTCTGTACTGACACATTCAGAATCATATACTGCAATTCTCAGAAGAGCTAGTGTTCTTCTTTAAATTCAGTGTGACTCCCTTAATAGGAAGGAAACACTCAGTCCAAATAGTTAAGGCCAATTCCAGGGAATAGCTTTGTTTCCAGGGCAACATACCTCTAATGCCTTTTTTGCGTGCAAGCCGAAGGAAAATGTTTTCAAGTTTGTTTAAAATCAACAACAGAAGTCATTACTAACCTTAGTCATCTCTGTGCCCTTTGTGTTGCTCATGGATGAGAAGAGGAGGGAGGAGTGGGTGAAACCTGAGATACAGAACCAATCTCCTGAGCAGAGCATGCCTCACTTCAGCACTGCCATTCTGCCATCTGCGTTGAGGCTGCCCAAAGATATTCAGGGGACAGTTGGCATTTGCCTTTTGAAAACCATCTTGCAATTGACACTTTTGTGCTTCTTGCCATAAGTAGATGGTGAGAAAGCACACAGGAGGTGGTGCAGAATGGACACAAGCCTCCATTGATCAGCCACCTTGTTGGTCGCAATCTGCTTTGGTTCTGCATGGCTTTAAGCAGCTCAAACCTACCTCCTCAAGTAGATGCTGTTCTTGCTCTGATAAGCTAAATTTTTAGAGCGGGTTTCACGCTTGCAGAGAAATATATTTCATGAAACAAAATTCTGTTTGGTTAAATCAAATCAGATGATGGTGAATATTTTCCAGCAGGACGGGAAACACCACAGTCTGGGCTAAGTGATCTCATGTGCTATAAATGAACAGTAAAGTCATTCTTAACGCATGTGGCAGGGCACACAGCTCACCAGCCTCACCCTTTCCCATCTTATTCTCAGAGCTGGGGGACCCTGGATTCTGAGAATGTAAAGCTGTTTGGCAGAGCAGAAGACTGTCTTCAATTTGCTTGTGTAGAACGAATTACAACAGCAGACTTTGTCATTTGAGCCTCATTTAATGGTTGTGTGGGGATGCGTGGGAGAATAGTGCTGTGAGAACACAGTACATTTTATAACGTACAGAGCTTTAGCTTTTTCCCTTCCTTTTATGTGGAAAGTTTGCTTCTCCAAATGTATGAAGTAAAAATTAAGGATAGGTAGGGCAAAGTAATGGCAGTGCCACAGGGAAAAGAAAGTTGGTGGGGAAGTGGGTCTTCAATTATCGATAAAGAGAGGGTAGGGTGAGGAAATTTTCTTTGTAGAAAAGGAAACCTCTTCTTAATTTGGCAGCCCGTGCCTTGTTCTCATCATTCGGTGGATTGCAGGCTTCGTCAGAAATAGATAAAGTTCAAAAGGTTTATAAGTTTAGTTTAGGAAGTCATTCAAAGCTAATCACAGCCCCAGTCAGTTGGTTTATTTGTCCCTGCTTTGCTGACTAACTCAATTCCCCATCTCTTTTCTCCAAATTTGTCTGAATACCTTTTCTAAAGTTACAGTTATTTACATAAGGACTCATTGGCTGTTGTGGGCTTGTTCCTTGGGTCAGCCTTTCTTCTAGGCTACTGAGTGGAAATGCCAGTGGAAATGCCAAGTTTGAAGTATTTTTTATAGCTATTACCATTATTATTGGATTCAATCTTTTTTTTCTGGAAGATACTGTAAGATATACTTATTGATTTTACTCAATTTGTTATAACTATATTAAGTACTGCAATTTGCTTATTTAATTGAGAAGTTCTATCTCAAACCTTTCAGTATCATTAGTGTTATTATTCTATGTATCAGTACTAGTTATCACTAGTGTTATTATTGGTGCTATTCTAGTTTTCCCTTTTTATGCTTTTTTTTAAGGGATTTTCCCTTTGCATGGAGCACCAGTTGATCTTTTATCTATAAGAGTTTTGTCTTTTTTTTTATTGTACAAGCCTCTCCTCTTAACTGCTCTCTTAACTGCTAAATACATTAAAGGAACGTTGAAGGAATGAGCTACTGTCTGTCCAGGGTCTTTGGGACGCTTCCATAAAGATAAGTTGAAATCCATGTATTTTTAAGCCCTGGTTCTGTCCCCAGACCATGAAAAATTAGGGTCTGTGGAGTCATGAAACCTGCAGGTGCTTTGGATGCAGCTGATGTGAGCTGTGGGCTCTCATTGCCGCCTCCTCACTGTCTCCTTTTCTCTCTCGGAGTGACGCATGCTGAGCTGCATAGCATCAATTCCAGGATTGAGACAGCTGTAGCATTACAACCCGACTTGTTGGTTTTTTTTCAGACCAAATAGGCCGTTGCAGAAATCCAAAAATCATGTCCAACATGAGGTCTCAGTTATTTATTTATTTGTTTGACGTCAGTGCTTCATTCCCACGTCCTCGTCATCTTCCTCTTCCTTCTCGATCTCTACCCAGCCGTCTGGGCAGACTTTGCAACACTCTCCTTCTTGGATGATTAATGCTGCATGAGGTCATTTCTCACAATCATCTGGCAACGTCCTGGGGTGCAGCCCATTCGCTTTGCTCATCTTAACTTTTAACCTGCCACTGAAATTCAGTGTTACTTGGAACTCTCTCAAGGCCCCCCTTGGGGAATGGTTCACCTGCAAGGGACTTGGGAAGTTGGGGACCTGCAGCTCATTGTCAGAGAAAGGAGTTGAAGCTTAATGTTTAGTTTCTGCCTCTGTTTTGAGTTGGTCAAGGAAGTACACAAATCCATAAATCTCTTTTTGCATTTATTTTCCTGGAGTTATTGTTTCTCTCTCTAAAGCAGAAAACAAGCCCTCAGAACTTAAAGCTTGAAGAAAAAGGCTTGCAGTGGGGGAAAGCTGCTCCCCTCCAAATTGTAAATGCAATGGTAAATAATTTCTAGGATGCCACTACCAAGGTTAACTTTGGGCATCCTAGAACCACTGGTAAATCTGAATTTAAAAATATTCTGCTCAACTATGTATCAAGCCAACCAAACAATTTGACTCCCTTCATATAGTGCTATGTCAAATAAAGCTCAGCGTGCCAAGGTCTTATTTGTTTTCTTTTTGTTGTTGTTTTTGTTAAAACACCGTCACAGCATCAATGCCTTTGTCACGTGGAAGATCAGAGAACAGACTGAGTTCATCTCTCAATGTTTTGCTTGTTGTCATCAAGAAAATAATAAGAAAGAACATTACCATTTCAATTCTTGGGACTTCTGATAGATTAAGGGTTTTAGTTGAAGTTCTCTTGCAGCCCTGTACCATCCGACTGATCTCTCTCATCCCTACCCAGGAAGGACATACGTTCACAAAAGAATGTGTCCAGTAGCATATCTGCAAACACATCAATTTTATTGTCATAATTACAGGTTGAATGCATTGAGGTGCAATGCAGCAAGCCTAACTTGAGGAAAGTTAATATTTCTTTAATGCTTTGTTATTCTTTTAGGAAAAGAATTAGAGAACCATTTCCATTCTGCAAACAGGGTGCTTTCTGACTCAAATAGGATTAAACAGCAATGCCTGTTTACTGACACATGGCCAGTTAGCTAATGTTTGGCAGAGCTGACTGCAATACAATGTTCCCTAGGTGCCTGCCACACTTGGCATTTTCCAGACAGAGTCCTGGTCCTTCATATTCACTATTTTCATTTGTTTCAAAAAACAGAACAGAAGACATTGTTTAAGTGAAGACAGAACAGGTTTTATAGTAACTGCTTGGGCTTACAGGTTCAAGGAAAGTGTTTATTGTGCTCTGTACTCTATTGAATGCTCAAGGTAAAACTCAAACTGGACAAATATATTGTGCAGTTTCAATCCTCTTTCTGAGCTGTGAGAGAAATCCTAAATCTTCCTTGCTAGAGAAGCAGTTTTTGTCCTGCATTTTCAAATGGAACAGTATTATTTTTCATCCAGGAAATAAAAAATCTTTTTACTCTGGGGCAAAGATATCCTTCTATGTTTTAATGTTCTGCAATATTTTCACCAAATTTGCATCCACGTTTAATGTTTCCAAACTGTCCCATCACTCCACTGCACAGCTGGCATCTTGTCATCCCTCCTGCTGTGCCGCCCTGATGTCTTAACAGTATTTTCTGTGTCTCAGGAAGGCAAAGCAGGCTGTTCTCTCTACTGCAGGAGTGTTATCCACACAATGACTGCTTAAATTTGTCTGGATTTAAGCTAAGCACTCATCCTGGATCAAACAAATATCAGATAATCTTGAACAATGCCAAACTGGATCAAAAACTTTGCAGGGTATGCCTTTCCATTTTCTCTTGCTTTAACCTATACTTCCTATTTAAATATGTGTCAAATCCAATAATTTAAATTTATGGTAAATTTACTATAATTTACATAAATTCGTGGCTAATGTTTGATGTTCTTTACCAATGTAATGTATGCCTCTGGGTGTGTTCTTAGTGGTCATTTAATGTTTAGTGGTGAAAGCAGGCATTGTGCTGTGCATGCTGTGTTCCTCTTTTTTTAATGGTAGAGAGGGGGAGAGTGGTGTGACAGCATTTACTGACACCACCTTAGGAACGTTATTGTCTACCTGTTAAACTGAGATAAGAATAAGAAATAGCCAAAAATGAAATAGGGCTTCCCTTTACACTGTGAAATGTTGGGTCAGCATGCTTTATGAACACTGCGCTGTGTTTTTATTCAGTTTAGCAGGAAATTTTTACCTTATGCTGTATGCCCATGAGAAAGCAGTGCCTGGAGCATCTAACCATGCTGGGCTTGGGAGATGAGGATGCTGCTCATCTTCTCCCACGTGGCTCGTGGTGCCCATTGCCCTTCACAGAACAGGATGTTGTGTTCTGCCAAATAGGCTGCAGCTCCTCGAATGCTCAGCTTCTGCTGACAGCCCAGCCTGCTATTTGAGGACAATTAGCTGCTGTGGCTTTGGTGAATAGTCCATTATATATGATCTGACAACTCATTTCTGCCTATTATTATTTCAAATGATACAGTGCAGGGCTCTGCAGGAGAATAAATTGAAACTTCCCACGTCAGTCTCTTGAGGCAAACACCATTTCAGACTGAAGGTGATGTCAGATACATGCTTGTGTTTTTGCCCTAGCCACGGGGAACACAGAATAATCATATGCTCTTTCTAGGCTGTATTGTCAGCATGTGGCCTTTTGCCAAAAAGAACCAGTTTGGGTTCCACTTACTGCTTTTGGAGCAAAGTAAACCAAAAATTGCAGTATGAATGGAGGCCTGTAATAAAGTGTGGCTGATCCCATAGAACAGTATTTTTCAATTACAGTTGGGTTTGAAGAAATACTGCAAACCCTGGCATTAACTTTTTGCTTAATGGAAAGTAGCGGGGGTTGAAGAATTAAGTTTTTATTTTTGTGTCTGTTTCCTACAACTGAATAATTGTTCCTTTTTCACCACACGATGCAGCACAACGATGTGTTGTTGCCTTCAAGCTCTCAAGGCTAAAAGCTGCAGACTGGCCCCTTGTCACCCAGGAGAGACTGGCATTGGTCATGGGGAGCCATGATGATCCAGTTTCATCTCTCTCCATCATTAACATCTGGGACATCTTTGGCAGTATATGAAGTATAGGTTTGTGTCCCTGTGGTTGATAATAGGTTCGGCGAGAGCAGGAGTTGCTGTGCGATAACACAGAGATAAAGACTCATCTTTCTTTTTCTTCCCTGCAGCAGCCTGAAGAGGAACAGTCTGCAGGAGATGTCACCAGCTCCAGCTCCTCTGCTGATGACACCGTGTCCTTGGAGAGGAACTCATCCCTGGGTAGCGACACGTCCCTGCCCTTCCCACCCGCGGTGAGCTTTGCACAGCCCAAGGACAGGCGCAGCCTGGATGGGAGCTGCACGAGCATGGTGGCTGTGGAGGGAGGAGAGGGTGAACTCGCTGGCTTGGGAGAGAAGGAAGAGGAGCTGGACAGTATCACAGACGTGCCTGCTCCTTCCTCCGTCGCAAGAAACTCCATGCGGCCGCTGTCACCTTTCCGACGCCACAGCTGGGGGCCAGGGAAGAATGCCACCAATGAAACAGAAATCAATCAGAGGAGGTGAGTAGAGAGCTGCCCTGATTTGCTTTGCATCCAGTCACACGGGCTTATCTGAGCTTTGGACTCAGTGTAATGAAACAGAAAATTGAGGACGCTCCTCGAAACGTTTTTACCTTTGAAGAGTGAAAACAGCCTCCTAACATACATATATCTTTTATTAACTTTCAGGTTGAAAATTCTTAATACCTATAGAACACTCTCGGTTTCCATAGGACAGAAGGAATACCTCAAAGTTTATTAGAGCAAATGCAAATCAAAGAATCATAGAATCTTTTGAGTTAAAAGGGTCTCATCATTTAGTCCAACTGCCCTGCAATGAACGGGGAAGCCTAAGCTGGTCAGGTGCTCAGAGCCCTGTTCAGCCTGACATTGAGTCTTTCCAAGGACAGGACAACCTCTGCCACTGCCTCAGCACGCTGACTGTAAAAAAAAAACAACTTCCTTAAATCCTGTCTAAATCTCCCCTCCTCTGGTTTGAAACCATTTTCCATTCTCCTATCACAACAGACCTTCAGTCTGTCCCTTTCCTTCTTATAGCCTCTCTCTAGATACCCTGGGACAGATCTTAAGTTTGAAACATCCCCACCTCTTTCTGTAAGAAGAGTTCTGTTAAAGGAGTAACTGGAGTGTTAAATCTCATTGACTATATGAAGAGATAGAATGGGCTCTAAGGTTTAAGAAGAGGTATGTAGTGGAGAGTTGTGTGGTCCCTTTTGGACTCCCGGTACATTCTCAAGGAATTGGTTCTACTTGATTCTCTCATGGATGGTAAGTCCCATCAAACACATCACCATGCCTCCAGGAAAGATAATTCCTTTTCCCTTTTGTTCTTCAATCCTGTATCTCAGTGGGGAAAAAGACGAAGGTGCAGACTAAGAACATAATTGTATTTCAGTCATCACCATGCCCTGTGCTGCTGGCACTGTTTGGGCTGCAGGGTGATCAAAACCATGCTGAAACTAGGGGAAGCATGGCCGTGGAGTTTTATGTATTTTAATGCAGAGCAGGAATCGTGGCACTGCACCCAGGCTGCCTGTCCCAGCTGAGCATTGCTGTCTAGGTGGGCAGCGGGCTTTTAAAATACACAAAGCAACACAGGATGAACAATTTTTTATTTTAATTATAATTTGCTTACTGCTACCACCTTTTTTTGGCTTCATTCTTCATTCCCAGGTAATATTTCAATGGATTGGGCAATACTGATACTTTAAAGCTACAGAAGAGTCAGTGTTAGGTATATATGCAGGGTTATGGCAGCATGAGTCCATAAGCTCACAAGCTCATTTAGAAAGATTTGTTTTTCAGTGCAGGACCTGTTATGTAAGGATTTGTGATGGTAATAAACTGCATAGCTGGCAGTTACTGCTAATGCTTAACAGATGGGGTTAAATTATTCTCCATCAGAGTTCAGAGGCGGTTTCTGATATGGGAAAATACACTCATTGTAAATGTAAGACAAATTCAGTAAAGGAGCAGTAATTATTCTCATATGTTCCTAGATGCAGCTGCCACTACGTAAGGATATCTGTCACATAGGTCAATTAGAAAAGAAAAACTGGAAGACCTTTGCTGATAACTTGATTCCCATTTGGTTTTATGTTTTCGTTTGGAAGGAATTTGAATTACTTGTTTTTATTTTGCTTTTTTTCTTTTATCTTTGGTTGTTTTTTTTTTTTCATACATGGCTGTAGCGATGCTGAGGTTCTGGTTGCTTGGTGAGCAAAAAGAAATACCAAGGAAGTAGAGCCCAAACAAGTGGCTTCCAGACAAGGCAGTTAAATTTGGAGCGTGTGCTTTCTTTCACGTATGGTGGATACTTTTCCGCTTAAAGAGTGGAAAGCCCTCACTGTAATTTGACTTCTGCAAACCTTTGAAATGAAACTATGTGAAGCATGAACATTCACTAAGGTTAAAACCTGTGCTGCCCCATCCCACCCCTTGTTTGAGCAGCTTGCACTCACTAGTATCAGATGAGCTAATAAAGGAGGGAGTTGCCACCAGACCCAGTCATGGAGCACAGCTGTTCTGCACAGAGAAACACTGGCAACCAAGCAGCAGGAGATGCCTTCTGGGTCCATCCCCCAGTCCCACCAAAAACAGTCCTGTTTCCAGCACAGAGCCTGTTAGGGTGAGATGCAAGGAGCCTACATACAAATAAATCCATCTTTTGTAGGATTTGGTCTTTTTCACTATTACGTTTTCTGTTTGCAAGTGAGATGAGTGTAGAAAATTATTCACAGAGAAGATTAGGAAAAAATTAATCATCTTAAGTAAACTATGAAAACATGCTTATTTCCCCTCTGCACCCCCTCTGTTTGTGGATAATCCCTGCGTCTACATTTTGCTATTGAAAACACAAAGGAAGCGAACAAGGCTTCCACAAAAGGATGTTCATCCTTCAGTAATTCCTGACATTCATAGCAGATTTGAAATGCCTGTCTTTCAACAATAATGCAGTGTTTTTCACTTTGGTGTCTGAGGAAAGAAATGCCTGCATTTTTTACTGATGGATGAAGTGCTGCAAAACTGGAGCTCTTGTTAACCATGGCTGTTAACAGCTTCTATCGAGTGGTTTGCCCTTACCTAAACTTAAACCTGACCCATCATGGGCAGCAGTTAAGTTGAACATGGTCAATACTTGCTAAACAGATTACCTGTAATTGAAAAATGAGATTCAAGAGGATTGAAAGAGTCTCATTGCTTCCTGCAGTACTTCTTTTTGTGTTTTCTCTGTACTTCCATTCCCTCTGTAGGTTGTCTGTCTGGTAGCATTCCTTCGGCTGTCATTTGTTCATTTTATTCCATCCAAGTGTCTGACCACTGTCCATGATTCATTTTCAGTTCAATGCGAGTTCTGGGGGATGGTATAAAGAAGCCTCCCATTCATAGAAGAAGGTACAAAGCCAGCTAACATGACTAACCATTTTGTGTTTAAATGTCTACTAACTCCATATGTCACCTTAATGAACCTGGAGTTCCCACCTCTCCAAGAGCTGTGCTAGAGTACCGTGTCCTGCTTGCCTGCTTTCCCTCTCCAACCTAACCCTGAGCACAAGCTCAAGCCACTTTCTCCAGAGCTTGGAGCAGTCTCAGACATAGGCTTTGGCGTGTGTCAGATTGGGATTTATGACAATAACCATTTACCTGCAAGCAGGGGCATAACTGGTTCCTAGAGCACGAGAGCTGTGCGCCAGGACTTGCAGGAGGGGCATTGCTGAGGAGATGCACCGAAACAACCTCAGAGTCATGGGTTGCTCTGCAGGTCTGCAGCTGGTTAAATTACATGCTGTTCTTTAAAACAACCTCCCGGACAAATAGAAAGTGGTTTTTTTCTTTGCTTCCATGGGTTTTCAAGTTTTCTTCTGCATAGCAAACTTTCAGTTCCGCATCCATACATACTTTCACTCACGCAACCTTTCAGCTGCCCATTAACATATGAAAGAGGCCGCTTTGTTTCTGACTCAGCACTTGTGTGGACTGTCCATATTTATACATCTTCAGGTTCCAGAAAAAGAGATGTTTCACCACTCCCCTTCAGCAGTTTGGCCTTTTCTGATCTCCCTCCCCACCCCCTGCAGCCATTCCTCCTGCAGCAGGTTAACCGAGGACCTCCCATGACACAGCTGTGGTTACCTGACGTGCGTGTGAGACGTGTGTTTAAACAGACTACCAAATTTCCACATGTGGGAGAAATGTGAGGAGGGCCTCACCGTGCATCAGCATAAATGAAGCCTCTTGAGCAGTGCTGTGCAGGTCAGGAGAGGGCTCTGACAGGAAAGGCACAAGAAAGAACGTGCTTTTTTACTTCTAAGAAGCCGCTTTATTTGCATGACGCTGCTCTGGAGGAAGCAAGCACTCATCTTCTCAGTTTATGCAAATGAACACCTCTTTAGCAGTCACTATTAATACTGTTACAGCTCCCACAGAGGAGACCTTGAGTCATAATATTCTGAAACTTTGAACTTAAAGAAAATGTCTCAAACAGGCAACCCAAAATGTTTAGTCAAATCTGATAATGTCCTGATGTTCTTTCATAAGCATTCTCTGTCCTTCTTTTCTGGCTTCCCAACCGTTTTGCTGTTATCCCCTCTAACACCAGTTGCAGAGCGGCAGCCTGAAATTTAATTTCAGCAGATCTCACACAAGGCTGCTTTCTATAATTGCACTCGTCTTCCCCAAGTCTTGTTCTGTGAAGGCTTTTTGCATGCTATGCAATGATCTGGTGCAGTTTGATGGTGTTGCCAGCAGATTGTGGGTGGTTCATCAGCAAGATTATAATTCTGGAAGACTCTGCTTTCCAGAACCCTTGCCAAAAGATCTGTATTCTTCTCTGAGACCTTGCACCACTTTCTGGCTTCCTCTCAGCTCACTAGTGTAACCACTTCTTACAGCTCCTGCCCCTCCTCTCTTCTGCCTTCCTTCCCTGCAGTTGTAGCATTAGAGATTGTCACTGTACCGCGACATCATTCAGAAATAGAGGCATCTTTTAAATCTGGTGTAAACGTACACATGTTTATGGAGTAAAGTTGTCTGTTCAATTTGTAAGCAACCACGAGCTTCTGACTTCTGCAAACAAGTCAGTGAGAGGAAGTCAACATGAGCACAGCTCCAAGGGTCCTCTTAGCCCAGCAGTCTTGTGGCCACAAACAGGTGGCTTGGGAGAGCAAGAAAAGGAAAAGCACTGATGATATTTTCCTTGAGACACTTGCTCAGCCTTCAGCTGGTTTCCTCTGGGTGGGTTTTACTGACCCAGCTCAGGGTTGAACATAGGTCTGAAAGTGCAGACTGAGGTTGATGGTGCAAAGGGGTTTGAGGGGTTTGCTGTGAACACGAGGATGTGTTTCTTTTAAGTATTTAGCCACATCCCTCATTTATACCTTCCTCTGCCACATGGTGTAGTTGAATAATGAAATATTGATGTATGATGGGAGGGTCTTCACAAGGAGTGCTTATGGTATTGAGCCGAGAGCTTCTTAGGTAAGCACCTAGAGCTTTGGGTTGCAAAGCACAGGTACTTCAGATGTATGTTTCCCAGTTAACATCCTTAATAAAGCAAGTAGCAATTATCTGAATTCCAACACTGAATATCAACCATAAATACTTCCGAAATGTTTCCAGTGTTGTACTGTGCGTGGGAGCAGTGCAAGAACTTGACATGCAACGGATGCAGTCAGTGACTTTAAACACTTCTTTGTGACATCTGAGGTTCCTGACGTTTCACAAACCGTGACCCAGGGACACTCAGACTTGTGCTGCTCATGCTGTAGGCTCCTGGCTTGGGTCAGAGCGTGCTCTGGCCACATCCTCTCCATGCATGGCCCACAGGGGAGGGCTGGGAGCAGGACTGGTGCAGCACTGCTTGGCAGATCTATGCTGATGCAAAATTTCCTTCAGACTTACGTTTCCTGGACAGCCTTTCTGGTATTTAGAGGTCTTTTATATGCTATAGCTGACAAGAAGATTGATTTCTCTGTATTTGCAAAACCTGCAATTGGCCCATGAGATCGCAGAGAAAAAACAACAAAAGCGGTATTTAAAATGACAACCAAAATATTTGCGTTCTGCATTTGCATTGCTTATGTCTTTCCTGGTGCAACTTGGGATTCTTTGGGGGTATGGGATTTGAAAGGCTTTCTAGTCAAAGCACTCCTTGAAGGACCCTTGTTTGAATGAATCCCAAGTTAGCAGCAAGACGAGCTTGTTTTTCCTTCCAGCCTCTTTCACTGACTTGCTGTGCAGCTTTTAAGAATGTAACTCCCCTTTCTTATTTTTCCCAAGTGTAGCCTGAAGTTATTAATTCTTGCGTGGAGGAGACCTTGCGTGATTAAATATTTGTAAGGGGCTCTTTTTCTGATTGTAGGAGACAGGTACCAGAAAATACTAATCATTACTAACACAATGGCTGTGTGATTACTTATGCAAAAATGACTTTGCTGTGTCTCAGCCCTGTGTTCCCAAAAGCATCTCTCCCCACCAGGAACAGTTTCTGTTGTGCGCTGGCAGGGTGGGATGGGTGTGAGGGAAGCACGGGCTGCCCCGCTACCTGTTTGGTGTGTTCTCACAGCCGGAATCATACGTTAGTGACTGTTATTTCTGAGGGCTTTTTTTGTGTGCGTGTCTGTTTGTTGTCATTTTATTCAGAAATGAGAGTATTTTAACACTCCCCTGTGCCGTAACAAGCCAATAATCACAGCCCTTTTCCTTTCTTTGCCTCTTTCAATGTTCCTAGTTTGAGCTGGTGTCCCTCTGGTGTGCAGTTCGCTGCCATGGGTCCTGACTTTAATTGTAGAAGGTATGGTATAAATAAATGTGCTGCAGCAGCAACCGAGTGCCGCAAACTGTGTTGTCAGCTTGTCGTACATTGCCTTCTCTGCTGCTATGGCTGAAGTGTGCACGTGTCTGTTTGCTTCGTCTGCTTTTTCAGCCATGAGCTGTGGTTATGGGTGTCCCAAACTGGGGTACTGGTGAAGGCAGTGGCTGCTTTTTGTTGGCTTTGGGTGTCCAAGAACTGCGCTTTTGGTCCGAACTGCTCTGCTCCACGATGATGTTAAGGTGTGTTTTTCTGCACGTTGGTAACTATGGCAACCAGAGAACACACACTGTGTTGTGGGCACATCCCTTGAGGAGTTCAGTTGACAGCTCGTTTGCTCCCTGTATGCTGAAAGCCTCCTTCGATGAGGCTGATCGCTTTCTGTGACAACAGTCCAGCAGTCACAGATGGACGTTTCCCAGGCGCTCAGAACTCGCTCCTTCAGGAGAAGTCTTCAAAGTTGGAACTAATGCTCGCAGGTCAGATCTCTACCTGATGCCATGCTTTCACATAACTGGAAGCCACCCTCACGGAGTTTACAGCCTGTTTTTCTCTGGCATTTCTTGCTGGGCGAGGGTAGCGCTATTGACACTCTCTTTCTAAAGGGTAGATGTTGGGAAAGAAGTTAATCTGGCCTTCAGGTTACAAAATTAATTCTGTTTCATCTACGTACTAACAATTACAGAATGGTATTACTAAATGATAGCTATTTTATGGCAGTTTTGAACAGAGTTCTTTGTGTTACAACAAACTGCATTTTTTCTGTACTCTGTAATATTGTTACTGTTATCTTGGGATAGAAGAAAAAATGTTCCTGGGCCCTAAATAATTGGTGAGAAAGGGACTCATTTCTCTTTGCAGGTGTTTTAGAATTAGCTTTACGGTGCCTGCTATTGATACGCGTTGTTGAATCAAAATCTTTCTAAAGCAGATTGAATTGTAAATGCCTCATCCAGCCTTCTTTCTCATTAATCAACATGAAAAAAATCTTAAAAAATTCAATAGATCTTCTTCCTCAAGGCTTGTAGCATTTTTGGCTTTGAAGTTGCGTATTTATCAATATGGCTCTAAATGAATGCAGAAAATGAATCATTGCTATGCAAGTCTACCTGAATTTTAAGCTCTTCTGGTTGTTCAACTAATCTGTGCAATCCATAGTGTGTTTTCCCTTTCATACATTGGTGCTGGTTGTTTGTTGCCTGCTTTGAAGTCAGTAAATTGTGTTTCTTGCGACTATCTTTTTGTGAGTAGACAGAAATTGCTTTAAAAATAATCAACCTTTATGTTACTTGCTCATTTGGTGTTATTCTGTATGCTAAGCTGGAGTACATACCTAGGGGTTGTCTTGCTTCTCACCAACAGGATTTGTGCACATGAGGTCGAGCATTAGTCATGGAGGTGTGAATCTGCAAAACGTGCATATTAACCCCATATGGCAGTGGGCTTTTCAGTTTCGGCATGAGGTGCACAAGGATTAGAGGCAGAATATGAGGGCTAAGAAAGATCGGATGGAAGTAGTCACATTTTAAAAGGGAATTGTTTTGTGCAGATGAAAAGAGAGTGTATTAGCTTTATTTTCTGTAGAGGTCACCTGTCTATCAGCAGGTGCTGTCTCTACAGAGGTTGGCCAGATCTTTTATAGCTACCACGTTCTGCACACCAAAGGTTGGTGTTTTGAATATCACTGAGTGATTGTGTCTAGCTCCATTGGTCAGAGCTAGCTTCATCAGCAAGTGATAAAGCAACACTGAGTGGCTGATGAGGAGAAAAATACAGGAATTAAAGGAAAAACAGCTTTGGCAGAAAGATGTTGTTGGTACCCAAGCTCTGTGCAGTGGCAAGTGCTTAGTGGGATTCAGAAGATATGTCTGCAAAGATGAACACTGCATGCAGCCCAGTGCTGATTCTGTGGGAGGGCAGTGGTCCAGGACAGGTAGTGTTGTGCTGTACGTCTTGTGTCACACAAGGTGCTGCTGTTTCTTCTGATTATAGCGTAAATGTAAATATCTCCCCTGATATCTGCACTTGTTTGTTGAGAGTAATGTGCTGAGGGATAGCATCAGCATAGCTCTGAGTGGTTCAGCTAGTGACTGCATTCTGATTTACACTTGAAAGTACTATGAGCTGTATGACACCCGTTGCTGAGAGCTCCTCAGGATCTAACCTGCGTGGTTTCTCTTCAGTTACAGCCTAGAAGGCCTTGCTGGAGACTCTGGTGAGAACAAGAAGCCCTCTGCAAACATGGAGGCTGCTTCTCTGAGCTCCAAAGACCTTCCACGGAGCACACTCACCAGCAACCAGTGCGGCTCCCTGGTCTTGCTCACTGAAGAACTTGAGCAAGGGGAAATCAGAGACTATGATCACCAGGTAAACCTGCCCAACCATTACTGCATTTCTTGGAAAGTCTGTGTCTACATTTTAAAATTTCCTTTTTCAAGGTGACAGTGAAGGCTTCTACCCTGTATGTGTGATGTAATTAGCCTTCTGTTTTAACACAGAGAAATTGCCACTGTGTTCAGATGTGCTGCTTGGATTCTTGAAGCAGTACAGTTGATAGATGATGTCCTAGTGGACAGAAATAAACCTTGTAGTAATTTGTCTGTTAACATTTTAAGGTTAGCCAAAGTTTGTGTGTTTCTTTTCTTTCGCAGACACAACTAGAATCAGAAGGCACATTATAAGCAACAGTTTAGCAAAATTTTAATTGCATGTTAATTGCATTTAGTGTGATCTCTGGAGCAGAAGTCTGTGATATTAAGGATAGATGGGCCAAAACATTGTGAGAGTCTCTGATTATTTTTATTAAATAAGCAATTATGCTCTTAAATACTTTAAATACCCTTTATTTCAGAGCTTGGTGTTTCAGCCATGGTTCATTCTGGGAACCTGCCAGAATCATTAGTCAGCCCACCTTTTCTACCTCGTGGAGTCACTGCTGTCTATCAAGGGCAGTAAATGAGTCTTGCAAGTTCTGACCAGTGAGAACTGGTGTGTGAAGGCTCTTATGCCTTCTCTTGTGTTCAGGAATGGCATTTTGGAGAAGTACAGCTAAGCGTCAGGTTTGTTACAGCGAGGAGCCAGAATCACAGCAGTAATTTCTGTGGCTTGAGAACATCCACCTTGCAATAGCTCACAAGAAAAGTTAGCAGCTGGTTTCTATTCCAGAAGTAGTTAGTTGCCTTCTACATAAAAGAAAATGTTGCATTTTAACAACTTGATGCTGCTTGCATTTTTGGTTCTTGCATTTTTCACCTGTGCCTTACACTGGGATTGTTTGAATTCCCACTGTTTGAAAGCATGAATTTCAGTAATTTGATAGTTTTTATTTTTTTCTGTTCTGCAGATCCATCAAGCACCACACCCACAAGGATTCAATTTCTGCACTTCCTCCGTTTCGTCTTCACTGACCAAATCTGTGTCTTTAATGTCAATTAGTAAACCATCTCTGGACAGTGAGTAACACGATTCCCATCATCTCCTTCTCTCTTTTCCCATGTGTTATATATACCTACCTTCCCAAGGCACAATTCACTAGCACTTGCTTTTCCATTTTATGTGAAATATGTATTTCACTGCAGAATGAAATTGGGGGTGGAAAGCCAGAACTCATTCAGTTTAGATCCTTATTTTGTTGTTCCCAATATATCCCTGCTGTTTCTAGTTATGTTGTTTTCATTTGCTTCTTTCATAATTACACTACTGCTATGAAAACTGTGATGTATTGAGTTTGTTATAAAAAAAAAAAAAAGTACGTTTGAATTTTGTACCATTTCAGAGTTGCTGCTTTTGGTGTTGAGGTAAATTCCTTTTGGGATGTTGTTTTCCTGCTTTTGATTTTTTTAAAAGTTGCTATGTGCCGTGGTCTCCTGGGGGGAGTTTGGTGCTATTTCTTTTGTTGAGACAATGACTTGGGGGCAGATGGGTGCCATTTATTAAATCTCAATCGTGAAGAAAATTGTAAATGTTGATTAGGGGAAGTTTTTCAATTTAGGTTAGCCTGATTGAAGCAATAGAAAGCACTTAATTTTGCAGCTTCACTGAATTGATTCTTTCAGCTGAAAAAGTCACTCGGAAGGCTCCAGCTGGATGTGCTTAGGAAGGGCCACGTTACACATGCTTTCATTTTATTAACTGCCAGCCAGAAAATGTATTGACTTTTTACATCACATCTTGTCAATCGGTGATGATTCCTGATCTTTTCCTCTTTATTAGCGTGCTTTTTCCTTGAAGCTGTGCCATACACATCTTGTTCCTGTTGCATGCAATTAGAAGTGCAGGGCAGCAGCCTGGCCCAGGGCTCATGTGCTGTGATTAGCACAACACTGCTTCCTCAACAAAACCAAACCACCACTTTTTTTTCTTTTTTTTTTTTTGTGGTCAGTTGGCCAAGCATCTTCCCATGCAGTCAGCAGATGGGCAAGGGGTTTACATGATGGCTGTATGCCCTCAGATGAGGCATTCAGATGCATTTTGGTGCTGTGCAGCTGGGGTTAATAAGTTATTAACTCGAATGGAAACATCAGGTGCAGATGGAGCTGTGTGGAGGAAGCACAAATTCTGCAAAGCTGGGCATGGAAAGGTGCTTCAAAGAAAGGCATTTTATTCATCTGTTGGAAGAAGCTCACAGAGATTGTGTTTGTAGGAGACATTTCTAACTTCTTTACAATCATTCTTCCATGATTAATAAGCATGTGGCTTAACAGATGTGGCCCCAGCAACAGTAACCAAAACACTGGCAAATCCATCCCATGAAAAGACCAGCTCCTGCTCCATGCTGTGGCTCGTCTTCTTTCCTTCTGGTGCTGGAAGCTTTCATGATTTTTTAAAAGCAACCGATTTATTGCTGTTGCACACAGTTGCTAACCAAACACTGTAAGTAACTTGACCAACTCCCAGGAAATGCACACTCGGAGGCTGAGAGGACCCAGCAGGCTGATGCTGTTCTCCCTCTTGCTTGACGCTTTCCTTCAAACTCAGAGAAGAGGGGTGTGATGACAGTGGAGGGTTCACAGAATGATTGAGGTTGGAGTGGAAACTCTGAATGCCACCTGGTCTGGACATCTAGGGAAGGTTGCCTAGGACTATGTCCAGAAAATGTGCCTGGACCATGCCCAGGATTTGTGCCACTGCCTTGGAATAGGAGAAATTGCCACCTTGCCCCTCTTTTCTGTCAAATCAGCCACATTAAAATTGTCATTGAGGCCTAAGTTGGTGATAGACAAGTTTGGTGGTCCCACATTCCCTCTTTATTGTCAGCCTAGCCATTATGGTCTCACTGAGGTAGAAGGAAAAGAAGATACGAGATGCCTAGAGGGACTGTAGAAGAAATAGCAGGGTTAGTCTTCTGCTTCAGGTTACACGTCTGTGAGTTTTGGAAGGTGGTATTAAAAATGACTGATGCTTGTGTGCTTCACTTTTTCAATAGTCAGCTTGCAGCACCTCAGGAGAGCCTCATTTTTATAGCAAGATGGTTTCTGAAAATTGCTGTTCTGAGGTGGCTGAAGTGAGCATCCAGAAGGATTACTCAACTTGACAAAGTCTGTTCCCAACTCTGATACTTTCCTAACTTGGGAAACTTCAGTAGATTACTTTTTCAGTCACTCTGAAAGAGGAATAAAGTTACTGAGAGCTGTGAGTGCATGTTTGGCAGATTAGTGTTTTTCATGAGAAGTTCTGGGAGTCTAAATTCTTGTCACCTTCCTTTGAAATTCATGTTATTGCACCAGAATGCCTTTGAACTATGCAGAATAAATCCTTCATTTCACGCAGGTGTATCTAGGAAAATGTAATTATCTACATTTCTACATTCCACTTGCATCATTTTATGGTAGATGCTTTTTAAAAAGGAATTCCCAACCCCTGTAAATATGTTTGAGCGATAAGGGCAGCAACATGTTTTTCAGAAGAGCTTCAAAAATTAAATCCAGTCAAGTAAACAGATGGAGGACTTTCTGTTACTGTTCCCATATACTGCTCAAAGTATTGAGGCAGAAGCAGTTTCCAACACTGAGTTTCTAACCCACGCTCCATCTGATGTCTCAGATGTTCCAAGAGTTGCTGTGGCCATTCACAACTGTTAGTTTTTTAGCATTTTATGGAGGGAGGTCACAAGAGCTGTTGGCTGGAGCGCTCGGAAGACTGCTTTCAGCTTTGGAATAGCAAATTTCCAGTATGGAGCATTGTTATAAAGCCAGGAACTGCTATAAATAAAAGCACTGAAATGGGAGTTGAATTGAACTGTGCTGGAGGAGGATGTTCTATTTGCGGTAAAGTATTATTGTTCATCTTGACTTTTAGTCTAAATAGACAGTAGACTGCAGAAGAAAGAAAGCATGGTGTTGCCTGGTCGTGTTCTTCAGATCTTGGATACCAGATGAACTCCTCTAAGAGGCAGCCTAAACAAAATAAATGTCTGAGTCTTTTCAGAAGTTCTTCACTTTAAATGCCTTTCACTGGGTTCCAGTTTAGAATTGCTCTGCTTCATTTGAAGAAGTGTGCACTTAAGTTGAAGAAGCACGTACGTAATTTGAGTCAAACCCTTTTGGTCAATGGCATTTATGACTAATGGCTGAAGGAAATTTTCAGGGGAGTTAGCTTTGCATTGATTGCATTGCATGGATATTCTTTGGATAATATTTTCATCTTCTGAATTCAGTTTTGGCGTATGATATCAGCAACGCAAAGAATTCTTACTGTTTTATTGTTTTAAATTCTTATTTTCATTGGCTGAATAATATTATTGGCTGAAAGGCCCTTCCCCTTCAAGGTGAATCACTTGCATGACCAGAGGACAGATGCCCTCATAGTGTTGAAGTGATGGATATTCAGCAGCCTGGTGCTCGTCAGATCACAGCGCAGAGGTTTCCACCTGTGATCATATGATGGGAAGTTTTAGGAAGTACAGCTCTGTTATCTCCATGAGAAGTGGTGTAGCAGTATCAGTGAAAAGAGGTGCCAGCTGGCTCCTACATCCCTTTTCAGAGAAACCTGTACTTACAAAGAATTTTTGTAAGGCTGATGCTGTGCTCTGCTCTTAATTTCTTTTTTTAACAGGAATTGCAGTAAACCATCCTAATTTACTAAGTTTTCAGGCATGGCCATAAACAAATAGCAGCAATTCCTTGAGAGTGTGCATAGAAATAGAAAAATGTAACTTCAGAAACTGAAATAAGCAGAAGGCAGAGAGTATTTGAAAAAATGCATTTGAACTCATTTGTGTTATCCTTCTGATGATGAGAGATCTGGTGTTGCAGATTGATTGCCTAGTTTAGCTCTGTATTTGGTAGACTCCTAGGCTAGGGCTGGGCAGGATGCAGAGGGGCTTATCTCGAGTTCAGGCATTTTCTTTTAAACAAGATAATGAGTTTTACAAGAAGACAGTAGAAGAGGTGGTTGTTTTTTCTGTTTTGTGATGGAGAAAAAGGTAATGGATACTTTGGGCTCTTAGTTTTAAAGCTGAAAGGTTTGAAGGACGTAACATTACCAGAATGTTGTGCTTTTTAAGAAATGGAAACAGAGAGTTCTCCAGGTAGATTAAGTTGACTTTTCAGATAAAGTGTCCTTGCTATATCTGACAGCTGCGGGGTGTCATTTAACTGCACAACGCATCATAAAACTGGTATCTTGTGTTGTTTTAGTTTGATTCCCTTACAATTATTTCAGAGAGGCAGATAACCTGTGTCCATTATGAGTTCCTGTAAATGTATGCCAGCAAAATGTAAGGAAAGCCTTGAACGTTGCCTTGTGCATGCAGTAAGACCTGCATCCCCTGAAACCTGCACCCTCTGCAATTCGCGCATTCTCAATTCTTTGTTTCTTGTGCCTCTTCTGAAGCCAGATGCTTTGCAGACATTTCCTTTGCTTTGTTTCTAGTTTGCTTTGGCTGCTTTCCTCTCCTTTTTATTATTAAATACATTTTCAAGCATGCTCTAATGTCTGCTGTTAACCCACTTCTCAGCCCAGGGCCGGACTCGACCATCGAGACGAATCTCCTTCTCCTTCAGCATCTCTCCACTCATTCCTAAGTCTAAAACTCTCTTTTCTATTGGCTCTTCTTCCAGTGATGAGGAGGAGGAGTTGGATAGTAAGTAATCGTTTTCTGTGCATTGCGGCCACTATGGGTCTAAACAAAGGGAAATCTGTTTTTCTGCTTCAGACTTTGAAGTTTCACTTTGCAAACATTAAACTAACCTTTCTGTCGCATGATATCTAACAGCATTATTTTAGTCCTGTATCTGAGTGCTAACTAATGGCAGAATAACAGGTTTATAATCCATAGAGTCTTGTACACCAGCAGTGCTGAATCTCGTCCAGTTAATTTTGGTCTGTATCCATTTGGTGAATGTTATCACCACTCACTTTAACTGGCAGTGTTGTCATTACCTTTTTATAAAAAACAAAGTACTTGTCTTGAGATTGTTGCAGCACGTGGAATTAAGAGGAGGAACAGAGCCTCTGTATGTGAGAAATGACTACATTGCTTGATGGGAACAGGAAAAGAGAGAAGCCCTGATACTAAATTCAGAAAATTTTGGTTACGGCTCCACGGTTGCCCTACTGAGTACAATGCAATCCAAACACCTAACATCAGCAAGGTGTTTGTGTTAGGTCCTGATTTTAAAACTGGAATAATTTTGTCAGGAAGCTGTGTAGTGCCATGTGTGGTAGTTTTTCTTCCTGCTGCAAAACTTCTTTGTTCAAAGTAAATCCAACTGAGGCAGAAGCTTAAATTAGTCATTTACCCTCCTCCTCCTTTTCCTCTTTTGTTTTTTCTTAAGTAGACATAACAAAAATATTGAAGGTGCTTCCTCTTTCTTAAACGTGTTTTGTATTATTAGACTACTGAAATAAACTAGAACGGATAACACTCTATCTATAGAGGTAATTCAGAACTGGCTTCATCAACTGGTTCTAATACGAGCTTCCATCCCTTGTATGCACAGTGGGAGAGGAGAAATTCCTTTCCAGTCCAACAGATTTTGGTCAGTTTTTGAACCTGAGACCACTCAGTTTTTTAACTCCATCCACTCCAAATACCTGCTGCATGTGTACAAGTTTTCCTCCTTTCCATTCCCAATCTTCACTGTGGATTTGTCCCTTGCTATAAGTTCTTCTTGGGTATCATACCACCCATGTCATTATTTAAGCTCTCTCCTCTCCTTTTGCTCTGTGCTGTCTTTAACAAAACTCACGATTCGTGGTCCTCACAAAGGCAGGGGTGCTATGGCAAAAAAAAATAATAATGAAAAATTTAAACTTTTTGATGTATTTCTTTTTGAGCATCCAAACACTGAAGTAATTCCTGGCAGTTGGGTGAGGGTACAGCAATTTTTGAGGGTATTTCTATTAGCCAGTATTTATCTTTGCTCCCTTACTTGTGCTCTGTTACTGGCAGCTATTTAAAGTAAGGTCATACATTTTCTCCCACAAAAATGTTGCTTCCTTCACATGTGTTATTCTGTCATATTTGAGAGTAGTGTTGTGACTTTATATAAAGGTTGGTTTAGCTACAGCTAACTCAACATCCCCTTGGCAAATGGACGTTTTTCATGTAAAAATCCCAGATATCTATTTCTTTTTTCACATCTTCAAGGTTCACAGAGGATGGATATGTTGATCTCATCACGTATATAAAACGTGGTTTTCAGATGGCTGGACAAGCCAGACTGCATTTGAGAAAATGTTCAATCGTTGTGATGAAGCCTTTGGATTTCTTGGCCCTGAGAAGTTGAATTGCTGCCTGCATTGAGGGTTCACAGTATGCTAGTCCTATTGCTGCTTTCTGCATAATGGACCTTGAGTGATTATTTCAGTTCCAGCCACCATGTGAAGTAATTTTGAATGGTGAAGTTGAAAGATGTTTAGATAAATACACCAAAGTTTGGCTGCTGACACCGCAATGGACATACGTAGCGATTCTGACCTTTAAAAAAGAAAAAGCACCTCTTCTGTGGGCCATGAAATCTGTTTTAGCATTTCAGTTTTGTACCTGGCCATGACAGGAAACGCTCGTGCTCAGTCTGGGAGCGTGTCCTTTTTTATGCTCATCTTCATGGGCTGTATAACCTGCAGCAGAATATTGATTTTATGATGCTAAACTGTAACCTAAAACTTGGACTGTGAAATCATAAACAGGCCATCACCTTGTTTTTTGTCTGGATACATTTTGCCTGTCAAGAGTCTCCCATTTGTAAGACAAAATACTACTGCAGTAAAAGATAAATAGAACGTAATTGAAGTTCCCAGGCAATGTACTTTCTCAAGGTGCTGAAAAACAGTCATGAATATCAAATCTTTATAGCTCTGGATTCAGTGTTCCTCTGCATTTGTTACGTTAACTGCAAAGGAACAGAAAGATTTGTGAAATAGTGAATCCAGTCCAATTGAGTAAGCTGTTATAAAAAGGAAAGAGTGGGGAGGCTTGACCCATGCAAAAGAAAAGCAGAGCTGGAACAAAACCCAGAGTCTCCGGGGGTCTCACCAAGGATGGAGGCTGGGAATTACTTCTGTGATCTTAGGAGACAATTAGGCAGTAGGTAGTATCAAAAAAAGCCTCTATAATCAGGAAATGGAAGTGGAGACTTCATTCAGTATGCGTTATGGTATTAATCAGATTTTTTTGGATAGCTCATTAGTTAAAGGGAAGATTTTGCAGGTGAGATCCCAGGAGATCTCCAAGCAGGGATTAGGTTATGCAGTGCTTTAGTTCACACAAATAAAGAAGCGACACTCCTGTCTCAACCAGTGCTGATACAATCAGCAATTAGGAAAACGTGTGGTTTAGACTCACAAGGCATAATGTTGTATGCACAGTTTTCCCTAATGCACTTTTGGATACAGGACGATCTTTGCCTCTTCAGTGAGGTGCCTTTTTGTGTGCATCAGTAGCATTAATGCGTTAACAGAATTTGAAGTCAAAAGGCAGGCTTTCTTACATGCGTATGCAGAAGCCCAGCAAGATGCAAGTGGTCCTTGCAGTGAGCTGGGGGCTTTTGGAGTCCTGACAACCAGAGGGTCTTTTCTCCCCTCTAGATCATTTCATCGCCATTTTTCAGTATTCTTCCACGTTTCTGGTAAATGGTATCAGCTACCTGACCTGCCCTGCAAGCGTTGTGCAAGCAGCTTTCTTGTGATGTACAGAGACGGCGTGTCAGTGGCAGAGCTTCAGCAGTGTGTCACACATCAGCCTTCATCCAGCACAGTGCTGTGGGGCTGAGCTCTGTCCTGGCAATGCACTGAGGAAAATGGAATAAGGCTTCCCTTGTTTCCTTTATTCTTTATGAAGCGTTTCAGGATTTTGTTGGGAAAATGAACTATAATTTTATCAGGGAGAAGAGTTTTGTACGTGAAAACCAGATGTGTTGCACGATGGATTCTTTGTAGTGATGTGTCAATGAAAGTATTGTGGCAGAATGATTTGCTTTCATACCTATTGTGATTACCCTGGCAGTTCTGTATCAGATACTCTGATTTACTAGCCAAGTCAACAGGTACACATCATTTGCTTAATAGCTGAAGAATGATAAAAAATACAAGCAATCTTTCACCTCAGCTTTTAATCTGAGATCATCTAAGGTTAAGGGGAACAGACTTGATCCTGAGCACATGAAATCTGTTCTGTCACTCACCTCTGATAAACGTTTCCCTCTCCTCTTTGACTGTCCAAACATGGAAACTGTTTTTAAATCAGTGAGCTAAGACTGCAGCCTAACACTGCCTTCACCTGCCATCTCTCCTCTCTTCCAGGTACTCAGGCATTTGGTGGCCCCGCGGGTTCCTTGGTTCAGAGGTACGGTGTTTTGGGATTCCCCAATTCTTTTGGCTCACCTGTGATGTGCTCCCATTTGGAATACCAGAAGTCTTCCTAGCAAAACGTCAAGTGTGTTAATCAGCCCCTTGGCATATTTTAGGCAATACAGTGTGAAAATTGGTTTAGGTCTTAGCTCTAACAAGGCTTTATTCGTAGATTAATCCATCAGACTGTTCTTTAACCCAATGAGTTTAACCTGAGTTGTATTTTATGCTAGAAGTAGTAGTTTTTCCTCCCTTTATCAAGTCTGTCTGTATTTCTTTAATGATCTTTGGTTTTTTTATGTTCCTTTGCATCCTTGCAAACTGTACAGAGGTGATCTCTGCAATGGATGTAATTCCTTAATCTTCCGTAGAAACTGAGGAGGTCATAAGCTGGTACATGTAAAGGCAGGCAGAAAAAAATATGACATCCACAATATGTGTAACTGAATCTAAATAACCATTGCACTTTATTTTCTGTTGGCATTCTCATCTCTCTGGGGTGGCTTTACAGACGGTGTGGTTTCTGTTACAGACAGCCTTTTCACAGGGTTCATTATGCACCGTGCTCTGGAAGGAGATCTCCCATTAAAAGATGTCCATCCCTTCTGCCTGCCCAAAGCCTGAAATAGGCTGCACGCTGACAATTAAATGCCAAGGCTGATGTTTCTGTGCACGAAGGGACAGACTTTTCCTCTAAGCAGGCAGATGCTGAGCAGGTTATTTGTTATTTGGCTGTTGAAGCAGCAGAGGGTGCTGTGGCACGCTTTGAGGATAGAGATTGCTTAAAAAAAGACTTCCTTGGAACGTGTGGCAAACTGCTTGATTGGCATTTTGCCTTTATGTGTGTAACACATTAATCCATGCCCCTGCAGAATAACAAATGCATTTGTCCTTTAAAAATGTACCACATTTGCCCTTTAAAAAGTACCTATCCTCTTCATATGTGCTTTGGGAGAAAAAATGGAAAATAAAACCCTGCTTCTTTCTTTTTTGATTTTAGCATATCTGAAGAGAGCAGCAGTGTCCCCTCTATTAAAAGTGGAACAAAAGTCAGTCGTACCTTCAGCTACCTCAGGAATAAAATGTCCAGCAGCAAGAAGAGCAAGGTAAGTGCTTTTTGTAATTTATATAGCCACGAGAGACCTATAGGCAGCAAAGATCAATTATGTATTTCAGTGTGTTTCCATAGTGTGGTATTTATGTCTTTACCCGACTTTATTTTTCCTTTTGCAAGGGGAGGATTTTCTGTATGGTCCTTGAGAAGAGCAGTGTGGGAAATTTTAGCAGCCCCAAATTAAAATGCATCCAAGGCAAAGGTTTCCTGTGCAATGTTTTGGCCTCTTTTTCCCTGCTGAATTGTTTTTCATTTTAGAGAATAGATTGCATTCTAGCATGAGTTATGGTTTTGCAGTGATTGATGGGTCTAATTTTTACAGGGCCTGAGAAGCATTTAGTAAAACGAAGACAGGAGCTGTAAAAAGCTGGCTACCAAAGGTTTATATCATGTTTCCCCTTTTTTCCTACCTTTGTCACAAAGTTTCTACACACTGCTCAGTTGCTCAGACCATGACCTTGAGAGATGGCTATTGCTTATATTTTCCTCCATTTCTGGAGGAAGTGGGTCGAGTTTGCTGAAGGTTAAACACTTTCTCAGCACAGTCAAATTTCCTGGGAACAGAACTGGTTATAGAAGTAATTACATTAATGCTGAGTGCTTCACAAAAACAGACTACTTTTCCTTTAGATTGTCCCCTGAAGATGAATATATGTTTGTTTTTTTTTGTTGTTTTCTGTTGCTTGGATTTTTTCTCTTTAATCTCATCCCTATTTACCATGTCTGACAGATAGAAGCTATCTTAGCTCCTTAGCTCACAGCATGCAGTCTATGTTGTGTGCTTAACTGATGCCTAACTACTGTGTTGATAAATCCTATTGGAAGGCCCCTGAAACACTTAACTACATCTTCAGATGGGAGTTGGAACAGCAAACAGGAAACATGTTGTGGCATGATGCACAGTGCCTATCATGTAGTTACGGGGGGGGATTGCAGCCTGTCTGATTCATTTAGCATTTCCCAGTGCAAGCACTTGGTCTGTCACCCTGTGCTCCTGTGATATAGGTGGGTTTGTGCTGTATAGTGGCATGGTGCACATTTAAATGCTCACTTTTGGAAGATTGCATCACCATTGCAATGAGGTATCAGCTATAATGACCTCAGCGTCCATAATGTGCAGTTCCTCTTTAAGGATCTGTCTTTGAAGATGCAAACTGCAGCTTCTGACAGCTCCAGGCTGCTGCTGAAGAGCTTTAAGACAATGCTGTTCTCTGCTGTGCAGTGCAGCATCCAAAAAAAATGCTCAGAAATGCCAGTGCAATACACCAGTGAGAAGCTGTGGCTCATGTTGCACAGACTGTGCACGAGACTGGAAATTCATTCACTGGTTCTTGCAGTTTGGGTCTACCATCTCCAAGTCAAGAACTAAATGTAAACAACAGGTTTTGTTGGGACAAGTAAGAATATATGACAGATATTTGCTGTGTCTTTCTGAGAATCATGGGATCACTAAGGACAAGAAAAGACCACAGAGATCATCTAGTCCAACCATCAACCTGTTCTTAAATAAGTGTAATCTATTTGAGTTCACTGAGTTCATGATTGTGTTCGAAACTATCAATAAAACCAGAATTACTCCAAACTGCCAACCATCACTCATACACTCAAAATTGCAGTCCATAGCAGTTCTGATGTTTTGGCTAACGAGAAAGCCATGATATCCACATTACAATTTCTCTTCTGCTTTTAGTGAGATGTTTGTGCTACGTGCATTTTAGGACTTCAGCAGGACATTTAAATAATTCAACGTAAGACTTCTTGGGAACACTGAATTCTCAAACCTTAGGGCTGATTAAAACCTGCAAGATTTAAAAAGAAAAACAACAAACCTTGAAAGAGGAAGTTGAACAGGAAGAGTTGGTTTCTGCTGCTGTCTGGGCTGTCAGCAGGGAGAGGGAGAATGCAAGTTCTTTCCAACTAGGTTTTGCTTTTCTCCAAACCTGGCTCCAGAAATGCATAGTTTTCTAAGACTAAGCGTAAAATAAAGCACTTTGGGGAATACTGGTGGCAGTGGCTCTTCTTGAAAATGAGTTTTGGGGAAGTTCTGTAAAAAAAAGGACGTTTGGAGTATTAACTGTGGTGAGGACACTGGTATACGTCTGTGTGTATTTACCCGTATGCTGAATGTTACATAGGGATTAGTCAGTGAATCTCTTGCAATCAGCAGCACGCACTGCTTCACGCTTTTAAAGTCTGCAATCCTCTGCGTCCCCGTCAGTTAGCAGAACTCATTCTTCTTCCTTTTTGGCAGAGAGTTTCTGGGAAATGACGACATAAAGGTTAGCATGAGTAATTTCTCCTTGACTTGTGTGGTTCGTGGGCAGCGTTGTACCAGCGCTTGGTGTTATAGCAGGGACTGTGAATGCTTGGAAGGACCCATGGGGCAGGAGGAGTGCAAATATAGGGAACCTTCAGCCGTACTTTGTGTACTGAAGTACAGCGTTGCAACACTGAGGTGTGTTCACTTTTACTTTTTATATATCCCAGACATCACAGAGGAGTTCTGTTGGACCAATTTATCTGCGTTTTAAAAGCAAGGCCCCCGACTGACTTGCAACCTCAATAATTAACCCCATCCTTTCCTGCCCGTAGTTAATTTTTTTTCAGCAGTGGGAGGTAGAGCAGAGCAGACTGAAAGCAAAGTAGCTCAGATCATCTTCGAGGAAGTCAGCAGAAGTCGGCCCGCCCTTCTCCCCTTTTTGCTCAACCCTTTGCTGGCTGCCACCATGGGCTAGCTCTGCTGGGAGCCCTGCTGCCCCGGGGGCAGAATGTCCATCAAAAGGCATCGGTTTTCGGAGGTGCCCCTCGTCACAGTGAAGCTGGTAGGACTTAAGAACTGGGAGGTAAGAATTTGGTGGTTATTTTGTAATGGGGCTGGCTGCTGCATTGCACCAGCCATTATTTGGGGCCATCAAACTCTAAGGGTCTTTGCCTGCAGTATCTGTTAGTGTGTGCTCGTATAGCATTTCAGTACCCACAGATGCACCCTCAGATTCACCGTAAAGTGGAGCTTTAAATTGCAGTGGCAGCACTGATGGAGCAGGACAGTGCTTTTATTAGTAAGTCCTGTTTGAAAACAAGTAACTGTCGGAGCAAAAACAAAAAATAATCTCATTTTGAGACACGATTTCAGTATTATCACTCCATCCGTGTGCAGAGCTTGCTGTTTGCTCCTTCAAGTCAGTGCACCATTTCCTGTTTCTCACCAAGTAGTTTAGCTTAAATTGAAATAATTCTTACAGTGATTTTATGAAGAATATTATTCCAGACTGCAGAATTGCTTGGCTTTCCAGTAAGCATTGGGCACATTTGAAGCATAGGATGGTGGATCTCTTTTCAGCATTGTGAGTGGAAACAAGGTGTGCCTGGAGCATTGTGTGATTCTCTGTCCTGGGGCTTCACAAATCCTGGCAGTAGTGCACGTCTCTGGCAGTCTTTTTGGTGCCATCACCAAGAGTTTAGCTGCAGTTTTAATTCTTGAGTGAGACTGGACTTGATGGCAGGTGGGCCGTTGGATAACGTGGGATGGTGGTGGGATGGTGATAGCTCAAGGAGGCAGAGATGTCTACAAAGCATATTCTTTCTTGCAGGTTTCCCCTTCAGGCAGTTATTTCATCCTTCAATGCAAAAAAAAAAAAAAAAAAAAAAAAAAAAGAAAGAAAGCTTTTTTGTAGTATAAAGTTTGGGGTCAGTAAATAGCATTTGTGTCCGTGAGGCTTTGCAGGAAGAAACTGGACTGTGCTGGGAGAGGGCAGCCTTTATGTTTGGTTACTGATTATTTAAGCATCAAAGGCACAAAAGTTTCCCTCCTGGTGGCTGCAGAGCTCGATATCTCTTTTAACTGCTTCTTGGCAGTTGCTCATACAGAGAGCTCTGCAGCTCTCCAATATTTAGGTTCCTCTTGTGAAATATTTACGTGTGGCATATAAGTAACAAAATGCAAAGTTAAGCTCACAGAAGCATTTGCCAGTTTCAGGTTGGCCTTCTCTTAGAGATGCCATAGAATGTTCAGTAGTAGTTGAAATACAGATTTGGAGATGAATAGCAAGAACAACATTTTACGTATAGAAATGTGAGGAGTCACTATAATTCAAATGTTGAGTTTTTCTATGGAGTTTCCTACAAAAATTAGATGACAGGCTGTGTTTGGGAGATCTCTGAATCCATGAAATGTCTCAGGGGACATTTCTCACACTTTTAGTAGTTAGTAAGCTTCTGTCTCAGGCAGAGATAGAAAGACAAAAAACTACTGAAAATCAGAGAAGCTGCCTGTGCTTAACATCTTTCCAGCGACAGTTGGGCAGAGGGTGGAACTTTGGCTTCCTGAAGGGATAATCTTTTTTCAGTGTTGCTGTTGCTCCTCAGTCTTTCTGTAATGCCGTATTTTGAGATGAAAGATCATTGGCTTTGTTTGTTTGGGGTTGCGTGAAGCTCTTGAAAAAAGCTGTCCCTGCTGGTAAGGAGGAAAAAGGAGGGATAATCTGGCAGTGGTGCTGTGCTGTTGTCATAGAAGGGGTTGCTTTCTCATGACACGTGCAGTGCAAAGCAAGCATCTTAGAACTAACCTTAAAAATTGTTTGTAAGTTGGACGTGCATTGTACATGGCATATGTACAATTGGTATTTAATAAAGTTTACTGAAAGTTCTGAAGGCCTCAGTTAGAGCCCAAATGGAGAAAAAAGGTAAGTCATTAACCCAAGCAAATGTAAGAAGGCAAAGGTGGGCAAACACAGCTGCCTTCAGAGCAGACTCAGTTTCATTTCCTTGAATGAGATTCCCGTCCAGAGGGCTCTACAAATCAGTAATATGTAAATCTATTTCTGTGGGGCCCTGGGTGTGTTTTCTTTCTGCTGGGGAGCTGTGTAGGCCCTTGTTACGGTGTGCACCGATCGATATCGCCATCGTGCTGAAGGCAAACACTGAAGAATTTGTAACTGGAGGATAGACCTCTGCAAAGTAACAAGGCTTTCATTCTTTTTCTTGTGGCAGGAAAAAGAGAAAGATAAAGAGAAGACTAAAGAGAAGGACAAAGATTCCAAGGAAAAGGAAAAAGATAAGAAGATGTTAAATGGACATCTCTTCACTGCAACCTCCGTTGTAGCCCAAGCAATCTGTTACCACTGTATGAAACCTTTCAATAAGGATTCGTACTACTGTGCAAGTAAGTTTTGTTTTCCTTTCTGTTTTTATTGTGCATTGAATCTGAATTGGGAAACATAAACCCAGTGCTGTACTGTTGCCATGTTTAAGCAATGGTGAGGTGGGGCAGGAAGGAGTCTTTGGGTGTGGGAATTCATGTGGTAATGACTTATGGAAGCTGTGCAGAAGTGAATGACGGCCGCATGGAGTTGTCCTGCAGCCTCCTGCCTAGCTCCTGCATGGCAGCATCCTCTGCTTTGCGAGATGTGTCAGTGGGCTGGAGAACTTGGGTTGCTTCAGCTGTGTGTTTTGGGTTAGGGCTGAGGTGCTCTGTTAAAACTGATGCTGTGCAGAGAAAGCTATGTTGGATCAGGGCTGCTGTTTCCAGTGGATGTCCCACCCATCAGTGTTATATTGCTGTGTGTACTTGAGTAATCTGAAACACTGCTACAGTGAGCCCTTAATGAAAGCATAATACAAAAAGGAAATGCTAGCATTTTTCTCCATTTTTATGTAATGCCAATCAATCACCAATCAAGTGACATGTGAAATACTTGTAAGATAGTGTAGGCAGTACAGCAACTGCATCTTTTGTTAGTACAGTCCTGTTTGAAAACAAGTAACTGTCGGAGCAAAAGCGAACGGAGCAAAAAAGAAATGGGGTTTCTGTGAGCTTGGTCATTTTTTCCTCATTTCTCATATGGTTTCTCAGGCCTATAACTGATCAGGTCAGTGGCATTTGTGTGGTCACAACCAGAATGTGACCGGTTTATTTGGTGACTCAGAACTGCAGAATATGTTCTCACTGCAGCTCAAGACTGTCACTTCTTCACTATTAGTAATATTACGTCTCTGTCTGCCTAGAGATGAGAGGCAAAGCCTGTACCAGCATTGCTGTCAGGCTGGGGCAGAAGGCTCTGCCTCTATTTGCTCGCACTGATCATGCATAAAACATTTTAAGTAGGAAGGGGAAGGAGCAGCTAGCTGAATCTCCAGAGGCAATTTGAAGCTTCCTGAAAGGGAAGAGATTTCATCAAACTTGTTTGCGTGAGCAATGCTCTGTGTCTACCTGATGAGAGATGGAAAACAGCATCAATTACAGGCTTTCAGATGCATCCTTCCCCTTTCCTCACTCTACATTTTTAACTCTACTTTAAGTCACTTAGAAGATGTATCACAATTTATCTTTTATATCCGAGTGAGTTAAAATAATCCAACAACACCGTGTTTTAGTAGAGACATCATTTCATCATTTTCCAAGTTTAAATAGAAAATTATTGCATTTTTTTCTGCATTGCCCAGAAGATGACTGTCACAAGGAAGGTTTGGTCAGAGCTGTTACTCTGTACATCTGAGTGTGGTGTGCTGTCACACCACATCCTAAAATAAACTCCTCAGTGCCTTGAAAATAGCAGATAACCAGCAGCAGAGGCTCCCTTGCTTGCATGCCGTTTTGTAGTACATTTCTTTTCAGCAGCAGTGACAGTGCTGCATTGCTATCACTGCTGTTGTCTCACCTGTAGGTGACTTAATGTTTTTCCAAGGATTGACTCATTGTAAGTCAACATCTGAACCTTTCAGTGGCACCCCCTCTTCACGAACAGCCAATGCTGAATGACTTAATGTGTTCTGCAATGAAAGGGAAATAATGTTTTTAATAGGTCTGTGTGTTGTTTTTTATTTTTTATAATTACTGATGCAGCAAAGAGGCTTTTGGGGTTTTAATTATTAATACCACTGATAGTAAAGAGCTGGAAGAACTTCCTGTCTGCTGAAAGGTTGAGTTAGCTGGAGGAGTAAAGTCCAGATTTTTCATCAGAAGCGTGCTGTGATAATTGCAAAATGCTTTGCTCCTAAATAGGATGCTGTAAGGTGTAGACTTCATGTTCTCAAGGCTTTTGAGTTTGAATTTAAGGGTTCTGAATTGTCTCCCTGCCTCTTTTTGTTTGATTTCGGTGTTAAATACCAGCAGTGAGTTCTGTTCCTCTTCTTTGTTTGATCTTAACAGTGATATTGCTTGTGGGTTTTTGCAAGAGCCATGTATGTTTCTGTCTGTCATATACACAGGAAGTTGTGGGACATTGACTAGAACAGCAACACCCTAAGCCTTACTCTTACCTTTCACAAAATATCAGAAGAATGACTGGCTTTTATGAAGTAGCCCTAAATTTAAGAAATTCTAGCAGTGTGAGAATATTTTATAAGTCCGCTCCTGGATATTTTTTCCTTTAATTTTATGTTTCTTTTAGAAATAATTCAGAGCTGTACACTTGCAATGTAATTTACACTTAAAACAGTCCATGGGCTGTGTTAGCATGTTTTCACAAATTTATAGAAACCACAGATTGAAAGTGTGGTGCTCAGGGCATTGAATGTCGTGGTCTCAGCTCAAAGCAGTGACTTCAGTGCAGTTTTCAGTCCCTGCCCTGCAGTTACTGTCACCTGGCTGAAGCTCCTGTTTCTTTTTCTGTTCATATTATCGTACAGAACTCAGATCCTGCACTGCAGATCTAGGCTTGCTATATCTGGATTTAGGAAAATTAATTTCCCTGATTTTCCCTGCCTTTTGCCATCCCACTGTCGTGGTCTTGATAAGAGCAGTCTTTGTATTTGCAGAGAACACGTTGGCACTACCATTGGTTTCTGTTTGTCTCCTGTTTTTGCTTTCCCCCTTACTTTTCTTTCAGAGGAATAACTCTTGTCTGTTTTCTTCTGACAGACTGCAATGCAATTGTTCACAAAGGCTGTAAGGAGAGCTTTGCTTCCTGTGCAAAGGTGAAAATGAAGGTTAGTGGTATCATCTACTTTACTGCATTATAAGAAGGAACTGTAAATGATTCAGTCTGCAGATATACACCATCTCAGGGTGGTCTGCAGTGAGGAGCAAAGACAGCAGCAGACATGGGGAGGAAGTGATGCATAAAGAAACTGTGAGAGTATCCAAAATCTGAAACCAGATATTCCCAGAGCAAACAGCATCCTTCCTGTGCACATGTAATATGATCAGTGCGTATGATTAAAGAAAGCTTCTCACTGACAAAACTTGAGGTTTACCCAACACCTGTAAATGCAGCATCTCTTCATTTTTGAATACTACATCATTTTATGCAGCATCACATGCATATACATAATGCATGATGAAATGTATTAAATATGTATGCTGTTTATATGAGGGATATGCAGAATCTGGGCAAATGTGAGAAGCCTCTTCTGCAGCATGACTCTCCAAGCCAGTTATTGCTGGTACCATTACAAGCTAAGAACGCCTCCTCTGTTGTTCCCTTCAGTAGCCAGCCCTTTTTCTTTCCATTTTACTGTTTACTTTACTGTTTATTTTGCCCATTTCATACATGGCAACAACAGTAGTTGCTGACCATTTTATACTATGCATATTGGAGAACTGCTCTGTTCTGAGAGGATTCATTGAAGACGTGCTTTTTAATTGTAGTTATGTGGCACAGCCCCATGGGAGAAAGGAGGAAAAATTAAAGTGAATCTCCTTTTTCTTTCAGCCACAGAGAGGAATGCTGCAGGCACATGATACCTCTTCATTACCCACAGTGACCATGAGAAACAAAGGTAAAGTTTCCTTTTTCTCCCTTTTGGTGATGGTCTCTGTGTGCTGTTCCTGTTGTGACTGATTAAGCAGATAGAGCAGGGATGAGTGCATCTTCTCTGCGTGGTAAGCACTATTTGAGACCTAAGAAGTTAAGCTAAAGCTGCACAGATGGTTTAGTGCTATGCTTTGAGGTAGTAAAAGTAAGAAGTTAAATTCTGAATAGGAGCAACACTGACAAAGTTTGTACAGCTGCCCTGAGGTGTATGCTGTGCTGCTGAGCTACCCAGAGGGACAGGTGACAAAGAACTGGAATGAAATAGCCCACATGAGTTTTGGAGCATCGTAATTAGATAAGCTCAGTTAGTGGTAGCTTGTTAGATCACTGTGCAGTATCATGCTGTATCATATAGTCACACCCTCTGTGGTTTTCATCATGAAATTCAGAGGAAAGGCTCTAGGAGCCATAAATACATCTGAAGAAAGGAAAATGTAGAGTTAAGATGAAAGGATTTGTCACGGATAGGTGATAGTATGAGAAAGGGTTTAGTGTTACTCTGTAATATATGTGGATGGAAGAACCTATCAAAAGATGCAACCAGAAGCAGGAGGATGGCTATAACCACAGGATCTCCTTGCCCAGAGAAATTAAAGCCAACACAGTAGATTGCTACATGTGATTGATTATTTATTGAATAACATTACGTTTGGTTTCCCAAGTGTATGTTTTTGGACTTGGAGATTCCAGCCAAATCTGTTAGGTATAGTGCAGTCATTTCAGCAAAAGGGTCAGTGTTCTTTCCTACCTGAAATACAGCAGTGCTTACTTTGTTGAGAAGATCTCAGTCACTGCTTTTCTGCTCTGGAACACTGCTGGACTTAAAGCAGTCGCAGTAAAGATCACAATTAACAAGCTGGTTGGCTTTCTTATTGCACAGTAGAAATAAATTAAGCATGTTAGGTCTAAGGACGATGAAGTCTCACAGGTAGATCTGATCACTGATGCTGTATATGCATGATGGCTAAATTTTGTTTAAAAGCATTTGAGCATCCAGAACTCAAGTTTACTATCTAGGACAAATTCTAGATTGTCTTGGGCAGAGCACGGGAGCTTTGCTTTGACCAGGTCCTGCTTCAATAGCACAGGAGTGCCAAGGGAGAGGCGGAAGGCTCAGGCTTCCCTATAGTGTCTAACAGCTGCAGATCTTCCAGTGGCAACTCTAGAGCAAAAAGGAAGGGAATTTTAGAACCTGCTGTCTTTAAGACTCCATCATTGCAGCTAAGAACACAGTTGCAGGAGCTGACTTTTGTCTGGTGCTTCCCTTCCAGGCTCACAGCCCAAGGAGCGCCCTCGCTCTGCGATACTCGCTCCCGATGAGAACACCGTCACCTCCATCTTCAACAACAGGAGATCACAGCAGCCTACGGCGCTGTCAAAGAGTGTCTCAATACAGAACATTGCAGGGTAAGGGTTGTGCCTGGGGTGCGTGGGGATTATCTGCTGTGAGCGTGGAGAAGTTCAGATCGCATTAAAAATAAGCTTCTGTCGTGTGATCTGTGTTAAAAATACAAAAGAGGATCGCAACGCCAGAAATGCCCATATTATATATGATACTACCAGCTGTCTTCTGCACAGTCAGACTGTCTGGGTTAGGGTTAGTCGTGGCATGAGTTGAGAAGTGTCTGAGCTGGCCTGGTGATATTAAGGACCACTTCACACAGATGCTCAGGGATCCAGGAAGCCAACTGGCCTTGGGGTTGGAACTGTGTGATCACGTATTTTTTGCAGCTCAAGCATAGTATTTATTTTTGTAGGATGGGTGCACAGAGCTGCAGTCTTCACAACGTTTTAGGAATGTGCTATGCATAATTAACTACGGAAAGTCACAGAAGAAAATAAAATATATGGTTCCTATCCTAGCTGCACACTGAGTAATTCTACAGACAGAGCGATAGCATAGATTGGGGCATTCTGAACAATTGGCATGCCCTGGTTATTCATGGTGAAACTTATTTCAGTCCATTTTTTGGATCTTGCTCAGAGCAAGTGGTGCAGACTCCTAGGTAGCCTTTTGTACTGCATTTTTTCATGGTTTGCTCCAATAACAATGAGGATGGGAAGTGACAGTGTAAAATGGAAAGCAATGAAAAACAGTTACCCAAGCCATAAAACCTGAGGTGTGATTCTGTAGAGAAGAAGCGCTGTCATTTAGAGCTGCAGGTCTGGTTGTAAACAATATCCTGTCTTCTGTTCTTTTTCAGGGTTGGGAATGATGACAGCTTAATACACACTTGGAAATTTCTGTCACAGTCCACAGACTCTTTACATAAAATTAGCCGGGTGAATGAATCCACTGAATCATTAGTTGATGAAGGTAAGACATCCCATGGCACTTACAGCAGGAGGAAGGTCTGTGCTGCTTTCCGAAAATAGAAAATCCAGTTTGACATTTCAATTTGAGTTTTTCTTTTTAATGGACAATTAAAGTGCATTTAATGTAAAGTTACTGTGATAACTTTAAAAAAAAAAAAAGGTACCACACAGTAATTTCTTATTGAATTGTGGGAAAACATTTAGAAGCTTTCAGTTACAGTTGAGTTACTTGGAATTGAGCTTGAAGGCAAACATTTCCACTTTTGTTTTGTTCCTCTGGCCTGTTCATACAGCCACATACAGAACATGCCTTTTTATACTGGTATGAGGCTTTTTGTTGTGGAGACAGAGAAGATTTGCCATTTGCAATGCCATGTTGCATTGATGGATGTAATGCCTGTAGTGTTCGGCAGCAGTACCTGCAGCAGTTCACATGTGTGTTGCTTTGTGAAGGTGCAGACATGAATGAAGGGCAGCTGATGGGAGACCTGGAACTAGATTCCAAGCAGCTGGAGGCAGAGTCCTGGAGCCAAGCAGTGGACAGCCTGTTCCTACAGCAGCAAAACAAGGATGTTGTCAAACGGCAAGACGTAATTTATGGTGAGACGTGCATGGATGTTCATTGTTCACTTGTTTTAGGTGGTTTCTTGATATATCCACGTGCATGTATGTAAGAAACCTTATGTCAGTGAATAGGAACTGGATTCCTCAGTAGCCAAAGTGTCATTCTTGAAATTCTTAGAAACAATGTGTACTTTGAAAGCTTTGTCTTTCTGCCTTTCACTTAACCTGGAAGCCATAAAAAATAAATAGAGAACACCTCTTCCTTTTTGTCTGCTGATGATGTTTAAATTCAGTTACAGCACAGCAGCTAGGTAGCAAGTCCTCTGCACCCTGATACAAAATCCATCCTGCATGACAGAAATTAATAATGATGAGTTTGACAGTGAAATGCAGGAAGAAGTAACAGTACTCAAGGTTCACACCTGCTTGTGGCTCTATATTTTGACTCCTCTGCCCCAAATTTCTGCCACAAGCAAAGACATTAGTTGATATTTTAAACACCTGATGTGGGATTTTCTGAAACCACTTAGAGAAGCCCAATTAGCTTGCTTGGAAGAGCTTCCTAATGACAGTTTTTCATCATACTGTGCACCCAAGTTCTCTACCATGACCTTGTCTTAATCCTATGCAGAGCTCATGCAGACAGAAATGCATCATGTCCGCACCCTGAAGATAATGAACGACGTATACAGTGCAGGGATGCTACAGGAGCTGCAGTACGATCAGCAAGTTGTGGACAAGATCTTTCCCTGCCTGGAGAACTTGCTGCACATACACAGTCAGTTCTTCCAGCGGATTCTGGAAAGGAAGAAGGAGTCATTGGCAGACAAAAGTGAAAAGAACTTTGTTATCAAGAGGATTGGTGACATCCTGGTGAATCAGGTAAGCTGTGGATAATAATTGCACTTCTGAAAGCGTAGCTGGAAGCCAAGTGCTCCTGAGTTCTCACTCCTCCCTGCCTCCTATTTATACGTGTTAGGCAGCTGTACCTGCTGGCACCTGTAGACGCAGACAAAAATCTCTACCTCTGTTTTTTAAGCACTTTTTGCTCTTTCGGAGGAAGGTGTAATGATGAAAATTCATTTTGTTTATACTGTGGGAGAGAGAAGCATTTGCTAACAGAGGCACCACATGGTTTGACCCATAGCCAGGAGGGAAGGCAGTAGCCTCAATGAAATGTGTGCAGCGTGTTTCTTGGCTGATGTACAGAGAAGATATTTAACTTAGGGTGGGTTCTTGTACTTTTCTTTATGTTTTCTCCCATTCTCCTTTTTTCTAACTTGCTCTCTTTTGCCTTGTAAACTCTGTTGAGGTGCAGTCCCAGATTTTGTGCTAAGTGTGAATGCAGTGAAGCCACAGACTCTGCTCGTTACTTTCTAGAGATTTAATTTCTTGGCTTAGGGAGCTTTGTACTAATTTGTTTTCATAAAACTCTTCTGAAAGACTGACAGGAGCTGTTGGGATGTTACACCAGGAGCTCAGTGGAGATTGGATCTTTAATCTCTTGTCTTGCAGTTCTCCGGAGAGAACGCTGAGAGAATGAAGAAGACATACGGCAAATTCTGCGGGCACCACAATGAGGCAGTAAATTACTTTAAAGATCTGCACTCAAAGGACAAACGTTTCCAGGCTTTTGTCAAGGTAGGACCTGGTGGAAGAGAAACAGTCAATGGGGAAAAAAAATATTTCCTTCCTGTGCTCCGTTGAGTTTTGTGTTACAAATTGAACTTTTCATCTTTGTTTCTTAGAAAAAAATGAGTTCCTCCCTGGTGAGACGTCTTGGGATTTCTGAATGTATCTTGTTGGTAACACAGAGAATCACAAAGTACCCAGTTCTTTTACAGAGGATACTGCAGTACACCGCAGGTAGGGGCCAGTTCTTTCCTAAGCATGCATTTGTTCATGCAGTGTGCGTTTCCAGGACCCTTTTTTTCATTGATTTTCTTAGAATTGCAGTCTAATCCAATCACTGTGTCACCCTGATATAATGGGGTAACCAGATTTCATCTCTCTGTTTAGTGTTAGTTGACCAGGTGCCTTGCTTTCACTGACATAGTCTATCTCTAGCTAATTACAGAGCCAGCACGCTCAGATTCCAGAGTCTTCCAGCTTAGTTTTTTTTTTATAACAGCTGAAATATGTGGTTAGTTTGCTTGTTTCATATCTACTGTCTTCAAGTATATTGGAACAGCTCCCAGCCTCAGCTGTATATGTGAAAGGTTTTGTGAAGCTCTCCTTAGGAGGGAAAGATGCAACCTGTTGTGAAAATATTAAACAGTTATAATACAGGAATCTGAGAGGGAGAAGGGGAAGGAAGTAAAGGGAAAACAGAGATGTCCACGAGGATAAAGTGAGATGGAAATCTTTCTCTTTCTGTTCAAAGAAAATGAAGTGGAACATGAAGACTTGACTCAGTCATTAAACCTTGTTAAAGATGTGATTGCTGCAGTCAATAGCAAAGTCAGTAACTATGAAAAGAAAATGCGCCTTGATGAGATTTACAACCGGACAGACAGCAAGTCCATCATGAGGATGAAAAGTGGTCAGATGTTTGCAAGAGAGGACTTGAGACACCGGAAGCTCATCCGAGACGGGCCTGTGTCACTGAAAAATGCAGCCGGACGGCTGAAAGGTAATGCTTCCCTCTCCAGGCACAGGATTGCTCCTCAGACTGGTATCTCCAGTACTTATTCTGCTCTGAGAGCCTTTGATAGCAATTTCAAATCGGGTATGATTGATTTTGACGTTTTGGAAACAGGAAGTTTATGTTTGTTTTCCAAGCTCCCAAATTCATTAATGACTTCATAAGGTGGATCAAACAAGTTATGCTGCTGTTGTGAAATACTGTGATAAGCACAGGCTGCATTTGTATTTGTAAGTCACAGAAATGCCTACTTCTATAGGGCAAGTTCCCAGCAAAAGCAGGTCCTATAGATCCCAGTAGGTGAGCAGGTGGTTCTGATCCTTTGGCTATTTTGTGGTACTTTAGATGGAACAGAGAGAAATCTGGGAAGAACTTTTTCTTGCTTTTTTTCAGCATTTCCCCTCTTGTAGAGTGCACAGAACATATGGTGATAGGAAAGAATGGAGTCTGATGCTGATTTCTGCAGACCTCCTAGGGCTTTGAGTTCATTTTGCAGCTTTGATTAAAATTTGGTGGTTCTTTTATCCAAAACAGATCCTGTCTGCCTAAAGCAGAATGGAAGGAATTACCGTGGGATGATTTCACTTTTTGGTTTGCTTCCTGTCTGTCACAAGATTTCCCAAGTACACAGTACAAAAACTCTTTGTACTGAGGGATATGGGTGGGGTATTATACTTGGTACTTACTGTGCAGCTTTATGCTATGTCATTAGGAGACTTGGAAGGCTGTACATGTACTTTGGGAAATGTCTGTATTCTGATTTAAATCCTCTCAATTGCTTGATGCTGTGCTTCCTTCTCCCAAGAAATAAAGGTCCTGCATTTCAAGCTGGGCTCTGTTAGCTCCCCTCAGAGTTAGCCAGGGTTTTATTTGCCTGTGAGCAGTGCTAGTGGTGCCTCCTGAAGTCACTGTTTCCTGGAAAGAAACTGCAGCTGACAAATGTTGCTGTTGCACAACAATTTGCACTCCCCAAACTACTCTTTGAAAAAGACATAAAGCCCCCAACTTCCTGTGCCGATATGTTGCTCGTGGGCTGGAATATTGACTGCTTGAGAAAACAATTCTGTTCTGTGTCTCCAGTTCTTGCTGCTATGCCATGTCCTATCTGTGGGCAATTTGTGGCTGGAAAGCAGCCCTCCCACCCAGGGGTGTTCCCAGGGCAGCTCTGCACTACATGGCCCTTCCAGCATCTAACCAGGAGTTGATCCCAGACCAGCCCTTGTGCTTCGCCAGTGTTATTAAAAGATAAAATTGCTTAGGAGTGTGCTGTGTGGTTATTCAGCACATATTTGTATATTTTTCCTTTTGCAGAAGTCCAGGCTATTCTCCTCTCTGACATGCTCGTATTCCTTCAGGAGAAGGACCAGAAATATGTCTTTGCCTCACTGGTAAGGTTTCAATCTTTTCTTCTCCTTTGCTTTTCTGTGTGAGGGTCCCTTGGCGTGTGTTATGCAGTAAAGCCAGCTGCTGCCTGCTAAACAACTTCATTTTCCTGCTTAGAACATTTCTGTTTGTTGGGCAAGCTCTGTTTTTTCAATTGGAAAACATGTCATTGTTCCACACCTCCCCCTGGTGATTTCTGCAGTGCCTTGGCACTGCTGATAATTGGCCTTTAAAATCCTCCCGCCACTCCACACACGTTCTCCTTTTCATTTTGTGCAAGCTGAAGCCATGAGCTGGGGGGAAGGGGAGTAATGGGATAAGGCAAACGTTGTAAAAACAAACCTTAGCAGAAGATGGTGTTCTCATATATTATGAAATGCTATGATGGGGTAGGGAACACCACTGCAGTAAATTCAGCAGAGCAGCGTACAGATAAATGTCAGAAGAATGCAGTTGTTATGCACCAAACCAAAACTGTCACTCTTGAATGCAGTCTCCTAAAGGTTAAGACACATTGATCTTTATAGAAAGAGGTAGTCTGGGAGCTAACTAGGTCTGTTAAGACTACCTTGCAGACACCGTTTAGAGTGGCTAAGCCTCGTGTCCTTTTGGCCCTTGAAATATTTTGGAAGTTGATAATCTGTTATTCCAGTTCCACTGGGGCTCTACACAGAGGGAGCTGATTTGCACAGAAGTGCTGCTAGTGATTCCTGCCAAGTCACCCAAGTGTAGCATCCTGGAAAGTGCACAAAGGCACCCACACAGCAGCAATGGGATATTTTAACCCAGGCAGGCTGTTTACACAGAGACTGTAGCACACAGTGAGCACCGTCTTATCTACAAGTCTTGTCCATCGCAGGAGTCCACTGTGAGCTTCTGAGAACAGGCAGGTTTTTGTGAGATGTGAAAATAAGGTGTTATTCTCTCCTAGGGTGAGACTGTGAAGGTAATATGTGTGAAGCAGCTGCTAGCAAGCTTCACTGCATTTAAGGGGCTGTAATATTAATGACAGATTCAAGAGTGTGGGCAGGAGGAGATGAGATCAAAGGTCTTCTGGGGATAGAGCAAAAATATGGTAGTTTTCAAAACCCCAAACTCCGTTTTAAATTACTTCCTTGTTGAAATGGACCGAAGTGAAATTGGTCTTCCTGCAGGAATAATGGAAGAAAGCAAACCCTTCTCTGTTTTGTGACCCCAGCAAAATGCTTATTTTAATTAGCCAACAGCTTCAAAAAATATTTATTTTTTAAATACTGCCCGAGTGTGTTGGTTGCACTGGCAGTGGGCCGTTTAGAATGCCAGTTCGTTGTGAGGTAATTTGGCCCCTCCTCGGCCGTTTCTTTCCAACTGAAGGACCAGAAATCCACGGTGATCTCTCTGAAGAAGCTCATCGTACGGGAGGTGGCTCATGAAGAGAAGGGTTTGTTCCTGATCAGCATGGGTGTGAAAGATCCCGAAATGGTGGAAGTGCATGCCAGCTCCAAAGAAGAGCGCAACGGCTGGATGCAGATCATTCAAGACACAATAAGTACCATGTAAGCTACCAAGCTGCTTTGGAAGGGTGAGTGATGCACATGATCACGTTCTGATGGTTACTGAGACGTGTCTCTTTCATGCAGGGATAAGGATGAGGATGAAGGAGTCCCTTGTGAGTCTGAATTTGAAAAGAAATTGTCAGACACAAGAATCAGAGCGCTGAAAGGTAAGGAACTGCCAAGGACAGAGCTTGAAAAAAGTTTTCAGAAGTTTACAGCAATTGTTGCAGTGGATTTTGTTGGCCCTTTCCCTTGTGCACAGTTGAAGTTTTTCAGGGGAATGAGGGTCCTGCATCCAGCAAATGGTTGCAGTCCTTGTTTGTACCTCACCTTGTTTACAGCTCAGTGCTTTGTGCCTGCTGCATGCAGTTGCTGTGCAAGATTGCAAGGGGCAGAGCTGTGTCACCGCGTTCCACTAGATGGGGCCAGTATCTCAGGAGTAGCTCTCCTTCCTTCCCAAAGCTTTTGTTTTCAATCTTCATTCCTGTTTTCTGCTCACCCCCACAGAACAACTTCAGCAGAAGGACAGACAGATCTTCCTCTTGCTGGAGGAAAAGGCCAAAATCTTCAGTGACCTGGCAGACTCCTCTATGCAAGAGGACATGCCGGGTTCCAGACTGCTCTTCAGAGCCAACACTGAAGAAGCACCAAAAGGAGAAGCCATTATGAAAACTGCAATAAATGAAGGTGAGCAAGTCAGCGTGGCACTAAACAGCGCTCTCACCTTCAGTGAATCCCTTGGTTCTCAAGCACAGTGTTTACAGGGGCAGCCTATTTGTTCCCAGTGAATGAATAACAGCATAGATAAACAGATACTGCTACTCATGGTGTGTCAGGGACAGATACTGAGGATCAGGAAAGGAAGCAGATATTGATGGCTGTTGAAAGAAGGCACAAAAGAAGTCTCAGCACAGAGAACAATCCTGTGTTGAATCTGAGGTCAGGGACAGCCCAAGATTTCATCCTTGTCTGAAATGCAGACCTTGCTGTCTTTCACCGTGCCTTGGACTCAGCAAGGTTTGGGGGGACTCCAATTCCTGCAGGTATTCAGGGTGTCTGCAAGGAGCAAGTGATCTGCTGGCAAATGCGAGGTTGAATGAAAACTCACACAACTTTTCAGTCTGTGTTTTGGAAAGAGTGAAAATTATTAAATGCTGTTGTGAGTTTTTGCAAGGGAGACACATATTGTTGTGTCACTGTAGAAACATTTCTTTTTTTAGTATAGAGAAACACATGAAGATAGAGGTGGAAATAGCTCAGAAGCCTGAGGTGGTCTGTAATAGACAGATTGCTGATTTTATCTTCCCAGTGGAACTGCTGCAAGAGCTGGTGAACAGGAATCTGGGCAGCACCCTTATGCAGCAACTCAGCAGTGCTGCCATTGACGAAGAGGGAGGAGTTGGCCCCATCTCTCTTCCTAAAAGGGCAGAAACTTTTGGAGGATTCGACAGTCACCAGATGAATGCCTCCAAGGGTAAGTAGTGACGTGCTCCCATAGCAGCATTTGTTAATGATATTTCATGTCATCCTGTCCTGTTCCTTCTAAAGGACTTGAGCAGATGGTCTGTTTAGATTACTCTTCTGCAATGCTAGTAGGTAGATTAAATATCAGATTAGGAAAAAAGGTACAGGTGAAATAGTAGCTGAGAACTTGTGGCTATGTGAGGATTGAACTTTTCGCTCCTGTCTCACTATTTTCTCTCTAAATCATCTTTCCTGCTTTACTTACGTGCTACACGCAAACATTTGGCTTCATTAAAAGTACCTTCTTCGTGTTCTTCTGCCCGCAGTTCTGTTCTTCATCCTTCAGTTGCCTTCCAGCAGGAGACCAGTGCTGTTGCCTTTACGAATGATGATGGCACTGCTGTGCCAAGCACCTTCCTCTGTCTGTGCTCCCTGTGCATTTGATTTCCACACACAACTGCGTGTGTTATTCCTGCAATTTAATCTCTCTCAAGCAAATGACTGAATATTCATTTCGGCTGCGGAGTTGGCATCTTCCCAATGCTCTCTTTCTTTCCCCTAGTCATCAGAAACTTCCCTGTCCTCAAATTCCTTTCTCTGTGGTCTCTCTCATGCTCCCAGTACAGCCAGTTTTGCTGCGCTAGTGTCTGTCTCAGCGTTGGGATGTTGGACCCCGTCTGACCTTCTGCATTAAAGGAGCAGTGTTAGCTGCAGACAGTCAGACATGAGAACTATGTAGAGATTTTCCCGGCTATTGGAAAGCTGCAAAGCTCTCAACAGGCCTTGTCATCATCATGACAAATATATTCATGCTGAGGGCTGGAGGGGGTTGGTTGTTCGGGGCTGGGCCTCTTTCTGTTGTAGTGATGAATGAATGGCACAACCTCAGGCTGTTCATTGCCCAGCACTCTCCCCCCTCCTTGCTTTCTTTTGCTTGTTTTTTGTTTGATGTGTGATTTTTTTTTTAATATTTTTTCCCCTAGAAACACCATCTTTTGAATTAGATTGTAGTTCAATAGTTAGAGGATCTTGGGAGATGTTAGGAAAATAAAGCATGGCCTGTTTATTCAGCTGTGGAAGGTCCCACGATGAGTTGCAGCAAAAAAAAAGGTCTGTTAGGAGAGTGAGGGTCAGTCTTAAGTAGCAAAGTCTGCCTCAGAAAGGTAGTGAGAAAATGGGTCTGTGATGGCTGCAGCCCTCCTGGCCCCATGAGTCAATTCAGTGCTTGGGAGCAGTGATAGGAGCCATGCAGGGAGAAGCTAGACAGAGATGTCCAGTATCCCTTTGAAGATAGAGGTTTCTGATGACTAAGACTACTGAGGAATTGTTAACATAAAATCACACAGCAGTATTGCACAGCAGTCTAACCCAGCTGTAAATTACATTTGGACAGAGAGGCACTGAAACTGTGCCTGCAATAATACACTCTGAGATGATATTGCTATTTTTCTCCATCTGCTTTTGTTCTGCCTCATGACTTGTTAGTAAATGTAAATGTGGGTGGGTTTTTTTGGTGGTTTTTTTTTTTTTGCAGAAAGCACTTTGGGGGCTAGACAGAGCACAAGGGAAAGGTGTATGTTGAATTTATCAGAACATTGTTTGAAACCAAAGTCAGCCTTTGTCTGAATTCACACAGTGAGTGCATAAAGGAAGCAAACACATCTGGTTGAAGTGCAGAGAGCTCTGTGGCCCTTCATGTGATACATCCCAGCTGTCTGTATGAAATCTCAGATACTGGCAAGTTCATCTGTGGCTTAAAACGTTGAATAACCAGTGTCAATGCTGGCTTCTTGCTTTAGGTGGAGCGAAGGATGAAGGCGACGATGCTCAGGACCTACGGAGAACAGAGTCAGATGGTGTTTTAAAGAAGGTATTGCACCATTTATCTATGGGGCTGCTCTGAGTTCAAGAAGATGACAATTCAGGTCTTGAAAAAGGCCTGAATTTGTTGGCAAGGAGCTGTATCCTAATAATATAAAATCAAATTGGAAGTATGGAGTCCAAAACACCACTGCAGTTAAAATCCTGACTTGAGAAGCATTTAAAATCAATGGTATTCCTTTATGGCAGAGGCTTTGCCTTCTGTCTGCAGAACAGCTGGAGTGTTATTTTGCATCATTATTAAAATGACAGGGTCACACGGAGCCTTGCACCTATTCTTCCTGGGGATCGATTCATCACATAACTCCAAATGATACCTAATTAATGTGTGATTTGATGTCATTCTAACTCACCTGAAAACATACATGAATCGTCCCAGAATCGAACGTGGAGAGGAGGGGGGTTAATGCATCTGTCGTTAGTTCAGCTTCACAACACGTTTGTTACGATTTCTCATTTGTCCTCATATTAAGTGTGATCTTTTCACAGGCTGGAAATGCTAACCTGATGTTCATACTGAAAAGGAACAGCGAGGTAAGAATCGATTCTGTTGCTGTTTTCTTCGTTTAAGTGATAAGTGAATTTGTCTCAATAGGTGATAATGTAAAAGAAAAGACATTACTTTAGCTGGAGCACACATGGGCTTTTAAGTACATTCAGCTGAACCCACTGTGTCGTTTATTTGTTTAACCTTGGATGTTCAGACAGGGAATTTGCTAATTGTCATCTGCTTGCCAGCGGGATGATATGTGCTGATTATAGGCATCAGGGGTTAATTACCACTAGGATGTGCAGGACTGTATTTATTGTGCATCTGCAGACAGAGGGAGTTTAATTTTATGTTGCAGGTGCAGTGATTTGGGGCAATTAGATTTCTATTCTCCCTTTGATACACATTCATAACTCCAATTAGCATTAAAGTCAGAATGAGAAGCTGTTCTCTTAACACTGGCTATAGCACCAATATTGCAAACACCACTGTGTTTTCCTCTTATTCTGTGTTTTTTTTCTTCTTCAATAGGTGGATAACTGAGATTCAGAGAATTTTTTAGCTGGGCTAAACATATGTTTTGGGCTAGAGCATTACTCCAAAGTGTCTTGCTCTTGGCTACATGGCAGTGCACCAAGTGTTTGCATGGGATCCTGTTTTCTGTTTTCTGGGATCCTTCCTTAGTGTACTTGCTATATTTCTGTGTCTGCTGTGCTACAGTTTTCCTGTAAAACGATTTGTGTGGGTCTGCCAGGGTGAAAGAGGGCTGTGTACCAGGGAATGATAGAACTGTTGCAGGTGATGAGTGAGAAAAACAGAAGGTACAGAGGGGCAGCCATGCGGGTTGGACTCACCAGAGGGTCACAGTGGAAAAGGAAGTTGCTTTATTACTTCCCTAGCACCACGTGATGTCTAATAACAGTGCTTTTGTTTTCTTGCAGCAGGTCCTTCAAAGTGTTACCAGCCTCTGTAAGCTGCTCAATGCTCTGCAGGTATGTTGCCCTCTCATTCTGGTTCCATACGCTGCTTGCCCACACCATGGAATGAGCTCACCCAGGAGCCTTCTCCTCTCTAGGCTGAACAAGACCAACTCCTTCAGTCTGCTCCAACCCTCTGAGCATCTTCATGGCTTCTTCTAAACCCGCTCTAGCAGCTCCACACCTTTCTTGTGTTGTGTGCCCTAGGCCTGGACACAGTCCAGAAGCCCTTCCTCTTCCCCACTCCTGCATGGCCCAATACCCTGCAGCAGATTTGTGTTCAGCCTCTCAGCACAGCAGCAGTAATCAGCTGCTGCCTGGCACGCTGCTTCCATTTGGGAAGCTGCAGGTGGATGTTTAGACCTCGACCGGCAGAGCTGCCACTACGGCATCCTCAGCTGAATGCTAAACATGGTAGAAAAAGGTGCAGTTTGGTGGTGCCCTGATTGCTCAGATGTGGAGCTGCTCCTCCTGGAGTGGGCCCTGCAGTGATGTCTCCCTCCTTCCCTCCCAGGGCGTTGTCCTACAGCAGGACACCTACATCGAGGGCCAGAAGCTGGCCTTGAGTGAGAGGGCCCTGTCCCGAGGCTTCTTCCGCCCAGCCTCGCTGCTGGAGCAGGAGAAGCAGCGCAACCTGGAGAAGCAGCGCCAGGAACTCGCCAACCTGAAGAAGCAACAGGCTCAGCACCAGGAGGAGAAGAAGAGGGCAGAGAAGGAGTGTGAAGCACGGGAGAAGAAGCTGGCGGAGCTGGAAATCCAACTGGCCAAGAGAGAGGAGGAGATCCAGAAAGGGTGGCAGGAGCTGGAGTGCAGGCGGGATGAGCTGCGACAGTTGAAAGCCTCCTACCAGCTTGAAATGGAGAAACTTCTCAGTAAGCAGAAGCAGCTGGATAAGGAGTGGGAGCAACTCAAGAAGGACATGGAGCGACAACCTCAAATGTGGTTGGAGCATGATGACAACCAGGTAAATGCTGGCAGCAGGCAGGCTCTCACAAGGAGCTGTGCTCTGCTGGGAGCTCCCAGTCGGCTGCCTGCCCTAAGGCACCAACTGCCTGGCTTTAGCCCAGCCCGGGGTATGCAGGGCCTGAGCTTAAAGCTGGCTCTTTCCTTACACCTCAAAAGACATTGAAGCATTGCTGCTGAGCTCTTCCTGCTTCCTTGTGCCTCTGTTTGGCAGAGGCATGTGGGGAGGATGTGCTGGAATGTCTGAAGTGTTGCCTTCTACATTGACTCCACATGGGTTTGGCTTTGTGGCGCATTGAGGCAGCTGAGGATTTGTTCTCAGGAACAGCCCAAATGTTGCTGCTTACTTTGACATAGAGTGGCCCTGTGAATGTCTTTCTGTTTGCAGACTGTGGGCTTAAGTCTGCCTCCACAAGCATTATCTAGCAGAGACAAGTGTTGTCCCTGTCCTAAAGGGGCCAGACATCTGCAGTCCAGACGTGGTCCAAAGGGCACTTGCACTGGTGTGAGAAGCTTCTGGTGTAGGACTGTCCAGAGCTAAAAAGCACAGATCTTGTTCTGTGCTGTGCATTTTTTAGCATGCTGGGGAGAGCATGCATCAGTTTGCAAAACATGGGCTGAGTTTGAACTTTAAGCCAGATGTTGAACGTTTGTTTGTTTATAACTCCCTGATTTTGAATGCAATTTGCTTAGAGCTGTAACAAAATTAGCTTGTAAATGCTGGATTGCGGAACTGAAATTATTTTGGGTGCCTGAATGGACTAATTGCGGAGCTCAGCAGTAAACTCTGTAAAGCAAATCACCCAGGGAGTGCTTACTCCTTCCCAGCCCAGCCCTGGTCAGGCCAGGAGCACACAGCGCAGCTTCCTCAGCATCCATGGCGCACGGGTGCTATGGGAGAGGCTGAGAGGTAAAGTAACTGAGGGCTCAGGATCAAGGGAAGGAAGCTCCTTCTCATGCAGGCATCTCACTGACAGTTCAGAGCTATTAATAGAGGGCTCGGCGAGGCTTTGTTGAGCTGTTGTTTTGATCTTCCCTTTGAATGCGAGGGCTCAATTATACCCTGAGACAGACGTTAAGAAAAATCAGGGAAATGTTTTGCTTTCATCTTTCTCTTGGGAAGGCTTCCTTTGCCACATGCCTGGCTGGTGCTGCATGCTGCCCGGAGAGGCACGCTCCTCTTGGCCTGCTGCCACTGTCTGTGTGCACTCACAGCTCTGGGTGAGTCGTGGTATCGAGATCTTAGAGAATGTTTGCCCTTGGTTTGTTGATTTTACATGTGGGAGTAAAAGATACTGGAGCGGTACTCTGTATGCGTCGCCTGTCTTACACAGAAAGGGCTTTGCCTGCATGGCTGTGCTTTGTAGCTGCTGAATGAGTGATGGTCTCTGTGAGTGGTCTTGGAAACATCTTTTCTCTCTCCACATTCTCCACTACCCTCTTCTGTGCACCAGTGAAACTTGTTTCTTTTCTTTTATAGGTGTCAAATCGACATGAGAAACTTGCCAGGGTTTGCTCCCAGTCCAGCCTCGAAGGCACCTCCGTGCAGAAGAGCCCCTCATTTCCTAAGCAAGGGCACTCTGATGCAGAACTGTCTGTCTCCCCCAAAAGGAACAATCTTTCAAGGACACACAAAGAGAAAAGCACTTCCCATTTGCTTAGCACAACAAACCTGACTAACAAGGCAGCTGAGGAACAGCCCCAGATGCCTACTCGCCTCTTCAGTTTATCCAAACCAAAGGAAAAGAAGGAAAAGAAGAAGAAGGGCAGGGGACATCGCTCCCAGGAATCTGGTGAGTGTCAGGAGGTCGCAGATGTGTTTTTAGGGTCAGTAAGCTGGAATTCCCTTTCAGCCAGTGAACCTGTGGAAGCTATTTGGCCTTGAACGGAGATGGTAACAGAGAAGGACAGAGAAGATCAGGTCTGACGAGTGAAATTCCCAGCTTCAACTGACCTCCTCTACAGCCGCTGGGGTTGTCAGAGGGACATGTTGCCTCTCTTCTCCTTCCCTTCCATGTCCTATTCTGAGCAGCTTCCACAAGCTGGCTTCTCTCTGTGTTTTTCAGCTTGCTCTGCCTCAGAAGGGATGCTTTCATGCTTTCAGAGCCTGCATGGAATCTTCCGGTCTGCCTCGAGACCCTCCGGCAGCACTGCTGACATTTATAGTTCTGATCTAGTTTGTAAGCAATCCCTCCAACCCTTCCCATGCACTCTCCCTTTCCCCAAGCTGGTCTGCCTTGTCTATTGATCTAAAAACTAAATGTGGCTTTTTTTTTACTCCCCCTCCCCCCCCCCCGCCCCAGTGTTTCATCCCCATAGCACTCTGTTCTGCACTTCAGACTCTTGCCTATACACAAGTTGATCTCAGGCTTTCAGGTGACCAGCTGATACATCTTAATTCATTCATGTTTTCCAGCTCATGTCCAGGAAATTCAGCAGTTTTCCCAATGGCTGTAATTTCCTGTAGCTCACTGGGAACTCAACATCTTTCAAGGTCCCCAGAGGATTGGGCAGAGAAACAGGGTTTCCACGTATCTGAAGGGAGTCCTGCTCTGCTTGCTGTATCGCTGTATCCCCATAGTGATTCCCACTTGTTTCTTTTCTCCTCAGATTCTCATTCATCAGAAGCACCTCCAGAGGGTGAGGAGATCTTCTGCTGAGTGGGGACGGCTCCGTCGGTCACTCTCAGCTTTCATACAGCGGACATCTCCCTGCCCGACCCACAGCACAGTGCTGGTGCCTGCACCTGACAAACATCTGGAGGTTTTCATTAAAACGTTCTGCAAGTTTATAAAGTGGTGGGAAAGAGCCTCTTTCCTTGGGTTTGCGTGAGTTGTCACCGCAGAGGCTTCCCACACAGCAAGTGGTACCATCTCCCTGTGCAAACCTGGATTCAGGTCGGTTGGGACGGATGTTTGCAGTCTGTGGTACTGCTAAGGGATGAGAGAACATAGCCTTAAGGGGTCTGTGCCTTCATGTTCCCCTTTTCTGGGGAAGGTAACCAAAACCAAGCATTCAGAAAAAGATTAGGACTCTACAAATGGTGCGTACACACTGGCATATATAGATATACTGTACATACCCATCTCTGTATCTATGTATCCTCTGGGATATGCTTAGGTCTGTACAGCCAAGCTTAGCTCGGCCCGTGGGGATAGGTGATGCCTTTCAGGGAGCATTTGGATATCAAATATCTTGTCCTACTGCCCCAGCTGTAACGCCACTGACCCGCACGCCCCTTGGTGCTCATGGTGTGGATGCTGGCTTTCAGCAAGGCACTGCACACCGGGGAAGAGTAATGGTGTTCAAAAGAAAAAAATACAGGAAACAAATAAAATTGAAGCTCTCCAAAGAGATTTATGGGGGGTGGAGGAGTTACATGTCAAACTGTTTCCAGAATCAAGCAGAACTTGGAGTATATTTAAAGTGATGCAGAAAATTGAAACTGGGAGGTTTGGAAGGCAACCCTAGGAAGCCAGGAGAGAAGGTCATCAAGTAGGAAGAACGCTAAGCAGCTTTTCTTTAAGCACTCTCTTGGAGCTACAGCTCACTCCTTCCCGTAAAGATTTGTATTGCCAGGATCTATTTCTCCAGTTGTTTGACATCCCTTCAGGCAAGCCTGATGGCTTATGGGAAAGGTGGCTGGAAATCTGCTTTGAGGGACATTGGTTCTGTTATTTGTGCTTTCTTTCCTCCACTCTATGTTACTGCTAGGTTTCTCTTCCTCTGGACTTTGTCAGCTTCTCCAGCTTGTTTCTAAGGCAGAAACACCAGCAGTTTCAGAGCACATCGGTGAGGTAGGTCAGAGCAGAGAGAACTCTGAGGAGGCAGCTCTTCAGACCCATGCCTCTGCAGCATTGTGCTCTTGTTTCTGGGCAGAAAAATGTATTCACGTGGACAGAACCACTGTGCAGCAGATCCAAAAGCTGGCATGCCAGGTGCACGTCCTATGCTGTGTGAGCACATCTGTGTCACCCTCAGCAGAAGGGGAAGGTTTGAGGACAGCTCTCAATGCAGTATCATAGTCATTTCAGCTGGAAAAGACCTCTAGCATCATCAAGCTCAATTGTTCACCTAGCACTGCCAAGTCTGCCTCTAAAGAAGCACGTGCCAACAGTGAGGTGTTTATACAGCTGTGGAGTATAGCAGGGAAGAGCAGTGCAGCAAGCCACTTCTGTTCCTTGCACGATTGTTCCAAACCCTCTGAGATCAATTGGCCGAGTGGATCTGTGATCTGTGAATAGTGATAGGACGTTATCAGCTCCAAAATAACTCAAGGGTTTGCTCCGAGTTGGAAGCTGCTGAGTGCATTTCCTTTCCTACCAGTTTTGCTTTAATGAAAAAAAAACAAAACCACACAACACCACAGTTCTTTAGTTGCACTGTTGTTTGATTTAGCTTCTCCCAAGCTAGGAACACACAGCAGTTTTCAGAGTTGGGTGCTGATGCAGATGGGCAGCGCTGCAGGTGAGAGGGATGCTCTGATGGTCTGTGCAGGAGCCCTAAGAGCCACCTGCTTGCTATTGAAGCTCTCTGAACTGCTGAGATAAAATTAAAAAAAAAAAAAAAAAAAAAAAGGAAGAAAGGAAAAGGGTTGAGATTTTATTTTTATTTTGCTTTTTTTTTAATGTTATTTGGTGCTCATTCTTAATTGCAAGCGGGGCTTGCAAAATTATTTATCTTTCTGTTTATTTGAAAGAGGTTTTTTTTTCTTAAAGAAGTTTACTTGGTTGTATTTTTTTATTTTGCTTTTGTTTGGGGATTTGGGGGTGGTTTGGTTTTTTTCTTCCCTTTTTTTTTTTTTTTTTGCTCCCCGTTTTGTTTTTATTTTCTTACCAAAAGATTGGTAAACCCAACGTTCTGATTCCCTGGTTCCTACCCAACTGGGGGGTGGGCAGTGCTGTGCCCAGAGCTGCGTGATTTCAATTGAGAGCTTTCTGTAAGGCAGAGCATCTTCAGGCCAGAAAAGTCTGGGAAGAGAATTGGTGACTTCAGACAAGAGTCCTGTCTGCTCTCTTCTTGGGTTAAATATTTTCCTTGGGTTTTCTCATGCTTCGTGGAGGCAAAGGGAGAGCAAAACACCACAGGGTCCTGCAGTGCTGTGAGGGCCTGGGTGGATCTGGGCAGCTCCTCTTGGCTGGAAGTGTTGGTGTTGTCTTCTCAACAAGAATAGCACCCACAGAGCAGGTTAGCTTCTGCTCCACTGTTTGCATGGCTGGGAAAACACATGTGCCAAGCTGAAGTTTTTGGAAACCAAACCAGTGCCTGGCTCATTTAGTGTTGTATAAACAGAGATCGGGTCCTCGATGTTTCTGAGCATTCCCTCGAGTCTGTAACGGCCTTTGCCAGTCTGAGCTTTTCTTCTCATCCCTGTGTCTTTTCCCCAGCAGTGCCTGAAGTCACAAAGCAGGGGAGTGTCCTGTAGCTCTGAGAAGGGCCTCAGTAGGGAGACCCGGAGCAGCAGGGCTGAGTCTGCCTGGTTTCAGTCCCTCTTCTGACCTGTGCAACCCAAAATGAGCACCCAGGGCCCTCGCAGAAAATAGTGTTTGCTTCATGATTTCTAAAGGCCCATTTGTCAAAGATGCTGTGGGTTTGAATCAGAACTATCCTGAAGGGAAATACTGCACATCAAAGCTGTTTGTGTCTGACATCGCAGCGGGCAGAGCTTTGTCACTGGAGGATGTACATTGCTACATGACTCACTTTATTTGGATTGAAGCCTTTACTCCCACACAGCTTCTTCCTTCTGTTACCTATCGGAAGGTGAGGACTTGTTTTTACCTCTTCAGCCTTTGGTTTTTTTCCCACTCAGGTTTTCTTTGGAAATGCCTGGCGTAGGTTCTCAGAGTCTGATTCCTGCTCTGATCCCTGCAGGTTGCTTAATGTTGTCTGCTAGACTACAGTCCCAGTTTTACAGCACCTTTTCCCAACCTTAAAATCATGTTTGCTTCAGATCCAGGCCTGGCACCCATCCTGCAGGTGCTGAGGTGTCTTTCCTCCAACCCAACCTGATGCCAGGTCTGGTTCCCAGAGCCTCGATCCCACTCAGAGAGCCAAACCTCCTCATCCCATGAGGCATTCCTGGGGCATAGAACAGTTCTGGCACTGTCTCAGATGAAGTACAAAGGTGGTCATTATCAGCTGGGAGCACCAGGAGACTCCGGGAGCAGGGAGCAGCTGTAGGCGTAGGACTTGGTGCAGGTGTGTGGGGTTTGCCTTAGTTTCTCTTAAATGATGTGATCATCTTAGCATGTGACTTTCTCTCAGTGTGATGCCTTAAAGCACTTTAAATGGAACTGGTCGTGTCACTTTTCAGTTTGGTTAAGTGGAGACAATCAGCTGTGTAATTGCTTTCCCCTCGGCATGCCCAGCACAGCCCAAGCTGCACAGCAGTGTTACCAGCACCGGCCTGCCTTGTTTTGGGGGGGGGGGGACAAAAGGCCAAGCGTTTTGTATCATTATTAGACCAAAGTGGATGTGAATGTGACTACGGTCCCACCACAGGCAGGGTGAGCCCTTTCCCCACAGGAGAGCCCAGCAGCCATTTGCTCATGGAGCCCCCTTGGCCTCACACCATGGCACTTAGGAGCAGGCATCAGGAGTGGAGCAGTTGGCTTCTGATGGCCTGGCTGTGTCACCCTGTATGACCTCATGCTACCACCATCCTCCTCCTCCTCCTCCTCCTCTTGGAGTTTGACTACTGCTGAGAAGCAATGCCATGAGCTTGAGCGGGTTTGTACACAGGAAGAGCATCTGTAGAGCCTAAAGTCTTTGCACCTTCCTTGCTGCATGAGGATATCTCAAAGCTGTTAGCAAAAGGCCCGAACCCAGCCCTTCCCATTGCCACCAGGTCAGGAGAGGTTCATCAGGTGCCAAACGCCAAGGAAGCTGTGTAGGGTGTCTGACACAAGGGAGGAATGGGCAGGGGGCACAGGAGAGAGCATCTGCTCAAATCCAACAAAACATTCCTTGTTAACCAGAACTCTGGAAGTTATTCTGCCTGCTGGTCAGGTTTGGGAATTCAACATAATTTAAGGCACCCTTTTAAAGAGAAAAAAAACCAACCCTCCCCTACTGCTCCTAACTCTTGCGTCGCTTGTCAGAAGGGGCAGCAATCAGCGATGAGTTCTTGATCCGACGATGCAGCTAAGTTTTAAAGATAGGTGAGCTGAACTGGACGCACCTCTGGCTCCTGGGCACGGGAAGCGCAGCGTCGGCTCCCGGCCCACCTGCATTTTGGGGCTCGATGCCTTTCCTTCCACACGCATTTCACTGACACTGATGCTTTGCCCAAATATATTCTGCTTCCTTCGCTTGGGGGGTTGGGGGGCAGGATGACGTTCACTGCTTGGCCTACAGCCGTGAGCTTTGTATGTATTTAAGCTGTCTATAGGTATCAATCATTTCCATGCTCTGAAGTATTTTATTGTTCTATCGATATTAAACGGTGAGTCAAAACAAAAATAATCTGACATCCAGTTCAGTTCGCCTATGGTTAAAGTTTAGCCTGGTGTTTGTCTTGTACTAATATGGAATGCACTTGAGTAATGCCCGGAGCGTTAGGGGGTGTATTACAGCAACCCCATATACCTCTGCCTTTGGTTTGTTTCTTTGAAAAAAAAAAAAAAGAGAGATAAAAAATATGCTTTGCATTTTCATGTTGAACCCATTAAAAAATTAATTAAAAAAAAAAAGTTTAAAAAAAAAGGAATTTTTTAAAAAAGAGGGTAAAACCTAATTGCTGTATGTTAATTTGTAATTATGTAAAAAGTGAGCAGGTTATTGACTGTGTAAAATTCTTCAGTTTTCCTGTAACTTGCCAGAAACCATTAGGTTTTGTAACGAGCTTTTATTTATCTTCCTTTTTAGTTATCAGCATCAACCTCTTGTAAAGTCATTTTTCCTCTAAATAAATTTGATTTTAAGTCTGAGTTTTCCTACCTGGTTTCTTCCCACCCCTTTGGTATTCCTGTTGTTGACTTTGTGGCATGGGGGGGCAAAGCAATAGCTGCAGCCCTACCTGTAATTGAATGTTTGCATGGCTTTTATCACCAGGGTTCCACCATGCATCCCTTGGACTCTTTATTGTTCTCCTCTTTGAAGATTTACAGTCTGCTTAAGGGTCGTAGTGATGTTCAGCTCTTTCACCCGCTCTTTTTCATCCTTTTACAAGAAGATGAATTGTCACAGCCATTATCTCAACCACTTCAGCTCCCAGGCAGGCTCCTGGCACCGAGATAACTGGCAGGTGGTGGCTGCAGGTGCTCTTATGCCCTGTATTTTATGTCACCCACTGAAATGACGGCTTATCTCAGTCAAAACCTGGGTAACTCTGGTCCCAGGGCGTTTTATCTCATTTGGCTGAGAACTGGAGATGCTGCCTCACACTGTGGAGGGAACGCTGTAGGCCAGAAGAGCTGGTTCTTACCAGGCACTGGGAAATGCCAGCCCCCCTCCAACACCCCATAGGCCAGCAGCGTGCTGCGTTTCCCCCCACATCACTTCTCTGTTGCTTGTGCTGTGTATAAAACCCGCCTGGTGTTTGTGCCCCAGAGTGTGCCTGCTGCCATGGAGCTCAGAGCCTGACAGCTCCCAGGGCGTGGGATGGGAGATGAAAGGGCTCTCCTGTACCTCCAAGCCTGATCACAGTCCTCCTTTTATTCGCATTCCCATTCATCCCCACTCACCTATTTACCGAAGCATTTTAAGAGTTCTTTCTCCTGTTTAAGAGTTCTCTCCTCCCCCTCATCCCCACACTTTGGGTGTCTCCAGAACCCCCACCTAAAGGTGACTCTGCCCTTAGGAGCAGGGGGTACTCTGGGGGCACGCACCCCTGCACCAGGCAGGAGTCACCCCGAGCCCTTGCACTGGTGCTCTGAATGCAGCAGCACTGATAGACCCGGCTGCTGCTATGCCATGAGCATCAGTCACAGGAGGAGGAAGAGCACATTTACTATGTGTGATTTATAATCGGGAAAAAACAACAGTTTTGCTGCAGAGCCTGCTGGGCAGTATGGGTGGAGTTGACTGCAAGCCACATGGGCAGCTTATTTTAGACAATTCTTGAGCATCACCTCTTCCTTTTGCTCTTTCCGTGCGTCCTCTTTGCTGCCCTTGCTGATTCAGTCCTGGCATGGGCTGCAAACTGGAGGGCTGGGAGGGCACAGGTGCGAGCTGGGCTGGAGCTTGCAGACAGGCTTCTCATTCATGGAAGCTTTATGAAGAGAAGGGAAGACAAACCCTCATTAATTCACTGACTGAACTGCCTTGTGATCAGATGCAAGGTGAACGGTAAAGGGATGAGTTAGCTTTGCCATTGAAGGCACCTGGGTTTTGTTAATTAGTTAGAGGGATGTTAAACGCTGCAAAGTGTTGATTTGTTTAGGGTTTGAATGTGTTTCAATTAAGGAGAAGATAATACTCGACATTAGCTGCTGGTACAAGAGATGTTGCTTTGACCTTTTTAATCTACGTGTGCAAGAATAACGCAGCACTGGAGCAGTACTGAGATCAGAGCACTCATGAAGCCTTTGCTGACCATAGCTGCTGGTGCCCATCCCTCTGCCTACCTTTCATCGAAGAATCAGTTCCTACCAGCTGCATCTTCCCATCCAGGCTGGTGAGCCTAATTAGGCAGGACTTCATTTAGAGCGGTGAGTCATTAGCGGAGCCCTGTGGGAAAGCTCAGTGAGCTCAGGAGTGCCCTGGCCTTGTAGGGAGCAGCGTGGGCAGAGGAGGGAGCTGGACCCACAAGGCTTGGGAATCATCTACCTGTCTGAGTGCATGTGTCTGATCAGCTGTTCCTCCAGTGACCCAGAAGAGAGTAACTGGTGTTTATGCAGCTCTCTGCATCTGCAGCAAGCCCAGCACCAGCCCCAGGCTGCCAGAAATTCCGTGGTACCGACTGCCCATGGCACTTCGAAGGCAGGAGGATCCTACAGTGTTTGCTCTAAACAAAGGATGTCAGGAGGGATGAAAGGACAAATGGGACCCGTCCTCTGGAACCAGTTCCCCACCAGCATCTGGAGGTGGGCGCAGACGTACACAGAAGGTTCCTTGTGTGGGATGCAGACACTGGCGGTGCAGCTCACGTCAGGGAGAGGGAAGTGAGATGTGCAGGCACTGACAGCGTGAAAGCCAGGCTTTCTTCCACTTAATTGGATTTGTTATTCAACTGAGATACAATGAATGGCTTGGGTGGGCTCCAAGCTCACGATTTCAGTTAGGAAGTCAGCAAAAAAATGATAAAGTAGGTCACACTGCCGCAAACAGCACTGATGGTTTTGCACAACAGTCGATGACATTAAATAAGGAGGTCATGAAATGGAAAGAACAAGGGAGACTGTAATGGGGTGGACAAATGGGCTCAGCCTCTGCTTTATACTCACCAGGAGCCTCTTGCAGACTCACCTACTGCATTTCAGCACTGGAACAAGAGGGATTGAGCCCAGTTTAAAATTCCCGCAGTTGGTCGCAGGGAGTTGGTGGCAATGGTTTCTGCTGCTCTTGGAAATATAACTACTGAACTACACTACTGAATGGTCCTTTTCAGAAACTGAAGTGCTTTGGGTTTATCTGAAGAGAGAAAGGAGCATGGGGAATGGAGAACAGCTTGCCCTGGGACATAATGAAGGGAGGATGTACAATGCTGGGCATTAATTAATGTGCAGGGGAAGAAGACAAGCCAAGGACACAGGACTTCAGTGCTCTGTAAAGACATGGGTGAAATTGAGAACATGTTGGGTGGCTGGAAAAAGCATCACTCCAAGAATATGTCTAAAAGGCAAGCAAAATGCCAGAGCCAGCCTCTGTGTGGATGCGGGGCCTCCTCAGACACCAGAGGTATTAAATCACCGACTACTCTGCTTTTAATTGACTCCAGTGAAAAAGAGCGAATGAGCTCAGATGATAATTCCCTGCAGGGATTCGTTGCACAACAGTATTATTTCAAGGGCAGCTGGGGTCATGATCGGAAAATGCGTATTTAAAAGCCAACAGGGCACTTTGAATTTCATTTAAATGATAGGAGCCTCAACTTGTTGTCCCCAGGGAGGTCCAGATGGTTTCTCACTGGGGAAGGAGGTCTGGGACCTGGAGCAGGGGCCTGGGAGAGGTCTGCACCCAGCTCCTGCTCCCTGCTCTTCCATCTGCTCTACTCCAAATGATAACTGAATCCCAGCTGGGGCTGACAGGCAGCTGGGTGGGCGCTGGATCCCTGCGTGCTGGGGCCATCTCTAGGCTGGGCTCCTGGCTGCTTTGAGGGTCGTGTCCAAGCTCCTGAACCATCCCCAGCAAGGGCTGACCATGGCACACGGGCACTTTTCACTTTTCTGAAGCAGTGGGAACGCAGGGCCCTTGAGAAGCCACCAAAGTGAGCCCTACCTACTGAGAAGGCAGAAAAACTCTTTTAAAAAAGAAAAAATTCTAAATTCATTCCTATCCTTCTCAGTTAAAAACCCAACCTGCTCTGGCTGCAGCACTGCATTGTTTCATCTGTGTTCCTTGCCCACTCCCTTTTTACTTTGTTGCTGCTAACTTAGAAACCTTTGTATTTTGCACTGCATGTAATTCCTTAGCAACAGGTCGCTGCTGTCACGGCTGCTTGTGATTGCTTTCAAATCGTCTTTCAGGCAGGCTCCAGAATAAATACAAAAGAGCACGTCTTTGCATGGCTCGTATCAAAGCTAGCCAGTTGGAGAGCCTCTGATCCGCTATTTAAAGTCCCAGCATTCTGTATAAAACCTCAATCAACAAAACTGAAAGGGATTTCATTCACACACTCTTGCTATTTTTCATTCTCCTGCTCATCCAACAGTAATTTCTGGGCTGTGAATTGGTTTCCAAAAGAGCTCATTAATGAGCTTTTTCTATGGAGCCTTGCGCTCAATTCTGTTCAGCTCAGGTCTGCTGACACCACTGACACTCTGCTTTAGGGTTAGGGGGCTGTATTCCTGGTCTCAGCTTTGATATTTAGGTTCTTAACCTCTCTGAGTCCCTGTGTGTGTTGCTCATAGGAAGCTTTGCTCCCCAATTGTTGCATCCACTTTTAGAAGAGTAGGAAATACAAATTTGCAAGGTCCTGCTGTGCCAGTAGCTGCCCAGCAACAATGCTGTCATGCTCCAGGTCTGGAGCCCGGATCCTCTCAGAGCAGCTCCTCTGAGACAGGGAGAGCAGCACATGGAGGAGCAGCGTGAGCAGGGGACACAGCTGGAAAGCCCATTTTGCCTGTCAATGGGCCTCTTTTTCAGGAGCTGCAGCAGCCAAGCGAAGGCAAATAAGGAAAACAGAAGTATAAAAGCTTCTCCTCTTCCTTATAAATTACCGGCTTGGTCTGCAGGAGCACGGCTCAGTCTGAGCCCGGCCCACTCAGATTATTTGGCAGGTTTTACAAGGCCATGGTCTGATCACAAGTTCTCCTGCTATCACTGCGCAGCTTAGGGATGACACGCGGGCTGTTCCCAGCAGGGTGTTCTGTGCCTTTCAGTGAACACAAGAAGCCCTGGATCTTATTCCCAGCTCTGTCACTCACTGTAACACTTAACGCTGTGCCTCAGTTTCCCAAGCTCTGAAGCAATAATAATTACAGTCAGGCTGGCTGCAAGAGTTGGTTGTTTGTGAACCACCCCATTGAGTGCCAAGCCTGTTATTATTCCTGTTATTATACCCAAATCCGACTTGCTTAGGAAAGAAGACTCCTGTGAAAAGCACACACATGGTTTCCCAGATCATCATTTTTATTAAAGTTTGCAGGCAGCTGAAGAGAAAAAACAGCAACAACAAAACCCTACAAAATGTGAATAAGTGTCATTGAGAGTGCTGCAGAAGGGCTGTGCACCAAGTGTTCTCCTCCCAGCACCAAAGGGCACTTGCTGCCCCTAAAAGGCCTTCGCTGTTGGAAGCAATGGTGAGGGCTTGCAGCACATTGCATCACCCAGCTGGCCCCACGCAGGGAGAAAGGCAGGCCAGGGTGCCTGCGGCGGGTCTGTGTGTGACCCTAAGTGCAGCCTGAGTGCAGAGATCACCCAAATGCGGGGCACTGAGGCCCAACCTCATGCCAGCCCTGTGCTGCCTCTTCCCTTTGGCCTCGCTTTGCGGGAAAGGAGGCAAGAGGCCTCGCTTGCTCTGCAGGCCCGACAAGGCCCCACCGCGCAGCAAGGCCTGTGTTCCTGCTCGTTTGCTAATTACACCCTCACCCACACACTGTTGAGAGAGCACACGGAGGGGAAGCAGAGGCCCAGCTCCGAGCAGGCAGCAGTTCTTATCTGGCGAAGCATCTCGCCACAGTGATGCCATTTTGGCAGCACGCGGCCTGGCAGCTGTGTGCCGGGAGCAGCCTGGCCTCAGGCCCAGCACCGGGAAGGAGGGAAAACACCAAAAAAGATCCACGGTGCAAAACCAAAGGCACCTGCCCCGTCCCACCGAGGCACTGGGTGCTGCTGGCAGCTGTGCACAGCTCCCACGCTCTGATATTTTGGCAGCTGCAGTCTCTGTGCTGCGGCCGGAGAGCCAGGTGCTGAGTTCTGGGTTCAGCCCTTCCCTTTCCCCCACTTCCCCAGCCCCTTTTCCCTATAAAAATGCTTCCACATCACCCAGACAGCAGGCATCGCCAACTGCAAGCTCACTGCTATAAAAAAAAATATTAAAAACTCTTATCCCGCCCTCCTGTCCCGTGAAGTAACTCTGGGGGACGCAGCCTGGGGTACATCCTCCATCTTCCTGCTCACACTGGGCCACCAGTATCCACCAGTATCCACCAGCCAGGAGGTCCTTTGTGCCCTCGTGGTGATGGAAGGGATGAGAGAGGCTCCTAGGCACCCTTTGTGGGAAACGGGAGGGAACTCAGTGGCTGTGTCAGCTCCAGCAGCAAGCAGGGGACATGGATGTGATGCCGGCATCTGAGAAGGGAAAGAAAAAAGGAGTTAATTTCTGTGTTGGGAGCAGAGCCGGTGTCATGCAGAGAACAGGTTTTGCATGTTGGCAGCTACTGGGTTCCCCTGACACTCAGCTTCTTGTGCTGATAAAAAATGCTTCCACAGGCATTGCCAACAGCAAGCTTACAGCTCCTCCAAAACCATCCATATGACTGTGATTTCCAAGGAGCTGATTTACCACAGTCTGAGGCCAAGCACACACTGCACATGTTTCCATCTGCCCAGGTTCGGAAAAGCCTGATTTTCATTGACTTTCCTCCCCGGGCCAGCCACTCCCTTCCAACACTGCCTGATAAACTGGCTCCAGAGACAAACAGCAGCAGAACTGCCCTCCCTGCTCAGCCTGCCTCGCTGTTACGTACATGCAAATGGCATTCCCTAGGAGCCACCAACAGAAACTGGCTGTGACTTTGTTTGGGCAATAACAGCAAGGTTCTAACAGGTTTCCAGCATCGAACTCAGTAGCAAGCAGGTTAGGAGCAGGGAGGTTATCTGCAGGTTTGGGGCTGTCCTGAATGCTACTGTGTGCATCCATGGCTTGTGCAAGGCAAGGTGGCTGGCTGCAAGCATGGCAGCAAAAACCTGTGGCTTCTTGCATGGCGTGAGCTGACCCAGCTCCACACAGAAGGGAAGCCAAGCTCATGCTCATAAAAGGCTTGTTATCTCCACTGTAATTAAATAATCAGGAAAAGAGTCATTGAACAGATCCGATGTTTATTGTGACCGCAGCCTGGCAGTACTAGAATGTAGTGCTGGGCCTGGCAGGTTGCCGCAATCCTCACGGTACTTTGGGATCAAAGTTCAGCTTTTCAATGCCAGAACAAAATAAGCGCCCACTTAGCAATGCCGCCTCACCCAGGGCAGGCAAGAGGTGTTGGGGACTGCAGTCACCGCATCACCTGTACAGGATCTACTAGTTTTAGGATGGGACTTGGGATTTAGCACCTGTGAGCCAGTCCCCAGCCCATCAGTGACCTCATCCCATGGAAATGAGGCTGTCGCACAGGACAGACAGTTTAGAGAAGCCAAATCTAATTTGGAGACACGTAGCTTGAAGAACTTGCTCCTGGTATTGCCCCAGATCACCTCCTGGGAGGTACAGAGCTGTCCCCATCATCTGTCACTGCTGTTCATTTCAGAACAACACTACATCATCCCAGCATCACACCCTAAGCTCCTGCATAGGCTTTGCTTGTGTTTATAAACACAGAGCCATTATTAGCAGAGTGCTCAGTACTGCATTTCCCATTTGCAATCATTTGTCTCATCATGCCATAATTCCTGCGGGAATGACAAAGCTGGCTCGGCCAGCTCTCCCCCTAGATCAGCCTGAATTTAACACCTCTTACTCAAACTTTCTGCCTCCAGCCAGGGCAGAGGCCAGGTGATGTTTGCAAAGAGCAAAGACACATCCAAGCAGATCCCATCAGGACAATCCAACAGCAGCAGTGCAGCTCCCCCATTTCACACCATCACCAGAGTCACTCTCATCAGTTCAGCAGTCACACGTAGGAGGAGGCCAGGCTTTCACGTTTTATACCATTAATCATGCTTGATCCCTGGAATTACAGCTGGCAGCAAGCACCATGTTGATGTCATACTGCATGCTTGGCAGGAGTGCTGGGAGTTCTGCCCAAAGGTGCGCTAGCACGAGGCTGCCCTTGGCTCCAGGAGGGCTGGAGGCTGAGCCTTTGGGGACACGCTTCCAGCTGAGCCGTTTTATGCCTTCCCCAGCTGAGGCACATTCCTTTCTGGATTAGCAATGGCTGCCTGCTCACAAAGTGCACCAGCACCTGGAGAAACCCATGAGGAAAGTGCCTACCTGGCTCCCAGGTGCCCCTTCCTGAAAGAGGATCCCATAGGGAACAAAGCAGGTATTGTAGCAGAGATCCCTCATCATAGGAGCTGCAAGCCAGCAACCCCTTTGGCCAGGCCTCTTTAGGATGATGGAGTAGCTACAGGATCCTATAGCCAGTTATCCCAGGTCTTGAGCTCAGTTTTGACTCAGGTGCAACAACAACCAGCTAAGACAAGAGTAGGAGATGTCACAGGTAAGGCATAGGCTGCGCTTGCATGTCAGGAACATTTGGACCTGGTCCTCATCAGCCAGCCCTGGTACTTTATTTAAGGAGATGTCAGTGGCTGAGACCAGAACATTAATTTAAACAACAAGCACATACAAACACACACACGCATACACACACACACACAACCCCTCCAGAAAAATAAAACGAAGAGATGTTCTCTCGGGCAAAATCCTATGTATACTTTAAATACTTCTTTTAACTGAAGACTAGAAATGAAGCCAAAAAAGCATATAAAACTCTTACACACTGACTTTTCACCAGCTTTTCTTGTAGATTGGTATATTGCAGTTCCTACTCCCCTTGTACTTGTGCCAGGCTCCAGCATTCAGTAAGAAATATTATCTATCCCCTACAAAGAGCTTCATAAAACCTGAACAATCCAAATAGAGCACAGAGTAAAAAGGCAGGAGAAGAAAGTACAAGTGTTTTGGGGAACTGTTCTTTATTCAGTGGCTGAAGAATCAACTCCCACCTCAAGCTGTTCCCTATTCTCACTCCAAGCAGTGGGGCTGGTGTTGAGCTTTAATATTCAGACACATCTGCTACCAGAGGAAATGAATTTTCAGCTCCAAGGCAGCTCTTAAAGGGGGGCCCCATTGGCCCACATAGAAAATGATGGAGTCCTCACACTCTTTGCTGCAATATTTAATAGCTGAGTGGCAGTTAATTAGATTACTGAGCCACTGTGTCAGATGCTAGGCAACGTCTGAGGAGGAGAATTTGGAAAGGCCATTATCTCCCAGTGCTGGGAAAGCTCTTGGAAATCTCATTTTAGCCCTTTCCACTCTTGTCATGCCCTCACTGTGGCCCATCGCATGCTGAAGCCAAGCATTTTGCAAATCAAAGGCCATTATAAATAACACCCCAGGTTCCTTTTCCACCGGAGACAAGCAGGTGGCCATGTTGAGCAAAAGCCCAGTAAGGGTGCTAGAAGCTCCCCTTGGCTTCCCAGCTGCCATCAAAGAGATCACTGGAAAACTTCAGAGCACTTCAGTGATTCTCGGGTGCACCAACCCCATAAAGTGAGAAGCAGGGAAGCAAGCAGGTGTCAGACGCTTTGGGCAGCATTCTTTTTCCCCTGTGTTAAGTGGAGTGGATTTTGATGAAGATATGTCAGAATTCCCCTCCCCACAATCTCACTTTCCAAGGAAAACCTTAATTGAGGCTTGCTGATCTCGCCCCATGGGTGAGGGTTTCCTGGCTCCTGTAGCTAACTGGGAAGACACCTGCAACCACTACAGCAAGGCTGCATGCACTGCTGGCAGCCAGAAACCTGTAAGCAGAACTAGCAGAGGTGTTACAAACTTACTGGGAAGTTAACTTTGCACTTGGATGGCACTTGTTTTCACAGAGCAAAGCAATTGTGCTACTGTGACCTATTCCTGGCCATCCACATCTTGGTGCAGATTGGTGAAAATGTACAAAGTTCAGTGAGACAAAACTGGTAACCAGAATAGCAACTAAACATCCCACTGGGGAGGAAAAGAGGAAGCTCTCTTCCATTTGGTGTTGAAGTAGTAGCTTTCCTGAGCACGCGAGAATCGGAGCATCGAAATTACACGGGACACCAATCTTATTCCCGTGCACCCCAAAACACCAATGAACACATTCTTCTTCTGATTACAAAGCCCCTTTTCCTCCCACTCAGGTCTCACACTGAAGTCTCAGAAGTACTGATATAACAAGCAACAGTTTGGATGTTAAATAAACACCAGAACCATCAAATGCACCATGGCTTCTCAGCTTCTGCTGCCCACTGAAATGAAAATAGACAGCACAATAAGAGATGCAAGATTCCCCAGCATCCTAGGGGTCACTTGCCTACGTATTCATCAAAGCGAACACCAAGATAATGAGCAAAAATATCAAACTACTGAGATGTTTTCCAAAGCACTTGTTGCTGTACTATCTCCCTGCTCTCAAATTTAAGTGCTTTTACTCATAGATACCACAACCTCTTACATAAAATGGGGACAGGATGTATTCCATTGTCCTATCCATGACAGCGGGTATGGGCTCTGCCCTCTGTCCCCACCCACTCTTAGATGGGTGATGCTGGCACAGCCAGCTAGTTCAGAATGAAGGCAAAGGGGCTGCAGCCTCCTCACAACCATTAATGTAGATGCATCTCATAAGATGCAGAGGGGACCATCTTGAACCAAGAGCTAGTAAGACTTCCAGCATCACCAGAGATGACTATTCTCTTCTGGTGCTATGTCCCTCTCACCTTTTAACGTAGCCTTCTCATAAAAAGAAAGCTCACTGCAGTCTGTGACCTCAGTGCAGTGTGTGGAGATGCATTTGAGGCCAAGCTGTACTTAAAATTTTAGAGAACACCCTCACCTTACTGAGCTTCTGAAAACAAGCCCTCGAGCCCCGCCTCTCATGATGGCAAGTGCTTCCAGGTGCTGACAAAAGCTGTGGGGATGAGTGAATAAGGCACCGTTGTGATACAGTTCCACGTGTCTGATGTAGGGTCGTAGCAGTCCAGCGTTTTGCACCTCTGAGTCCCAAAGTAACCACCCACTACATAGAGTTTATTTCCGGAGGCCAAGGCATGGCATGACATGCGCTTGGCTGTCATGTCTCCAATGCGTGTCCACTGATCCGTCTCACAGTCAAAGCGATAGGCAGATGCTGCCGTGAACTCTGTGTCTCCTCCCATGATGAAAATCTGGCTGCCCAGGACTGCGGCTGCAGTGTAGCGCCAGGGCTGTGGGCATTCCGCCTTGATTGTCCACCGATTCTCCACTGGATCGTAGCACTGCACTTTGGACACCATGTCTCGGTGGATGCTGGTTCCACCAAAGACAAAAAGTTTCAGCCTGGCGCTTACCACCGCAGCATTGCTCACACCATCTCTCAAAGGAGCCACCATCATCCATTTGTTGGATGCAGGATCATACTTCTCTACTTGCTTCAAGGAAACAGAAGGTGATGCAGGGAAGACGCCAGCCACAGCAGTGTGTCCACCAACCACATACAGGCAGTTTTCCAGCTCAGCTGAGCCATGCCCAAACCGTGCTATCAACATGGCGGCAGCTTTTGACCATTCCTCATGAACAGTATCATAAACCCATACATCTTTGGATACCCCGTTCTCTGAGCCCCTGCCACCGGTGATGTACACTTTGCAGCCAATGGCACAGGCACTGAACTCTTTCCGTGGGCTTGGCAGGTCTGCTTTGGGGATAATTTCCTTTGCCTTTTGATCCACTTGGTAGATCTTGTCACACATGAAGGTCTGTCCTCCCAGGATCAGCAAGGTGTGCCCAGCTTTGCGAGGCCTGGCACAGGGACTGGTGACAATCCCATCATTCTGGAGGATCTTCTTCTTGCACTGAATGGCTTCATCCAGGACAAGCTTGTTCCTTTCATCCACCATGATCAGGTCCTCACAAGCCAAGGCTTCCTTGAGGCATTCAGAAGGAAGCAGGGCCAAGCGGACATTCCTCAGAAGCTCCGGGAGATAGGCCTTCCGCTCATCCAAGTCATACTTCACCCACTGAAGGACGGCCTTAAAGACCTTGTCCTCATCCTCAATCTCCAACTCGTCACTGGAGATCAGGTCCAACAGAGTGTCCTTGGAAAGGTTGTTGAAGTCCTCGCTCTTGTGAACAGTCTCAAAGTTAACCAGGCACATCCTCCAGGAGAGCTCGTAGAGCCGCCGACACTGATGGGCGTCAGAGAGCAGCATCATGCCCAGGCAGTTCGAAGGGTAGAGGTTCTTCTCCAGAAACTCAGCTGCTGCATCTCGGACATCGTGGAACTGCAACATGTCTCCAGCCTCCAGGAGGGACTCCGCATTTTCCTCGTTGATGATGATCCGAGAGGAGTAAGCAAAGTCCAGCAGCAGCTCCAGCACCTCTGGATGGAGGCTGTCATGAAAATTCACCTCGTCATCCAAGCTCTCTCTGAGGCCATTACTAAACATGGCTTCAAAATACCTGCTGGAGGCAGCCAGCACTGCGCGGTGACATGGGAATGACCTGTTTCCTGCCCAAAGGGTGACGTCGGTGAACATGCAGTGCTTCCGGAGGGTGTTCAGGTGGGATAAGACGCAGTCTGGGTGGGAAGCTTTGTGGAAAAGCAGGATGTTCATGGAGCCCGTGCTCGTCCGGGATTTGCGGTTCTCGTGGACGCTGACTGACATGATGACTGATCTATTGCCTGCAGAGAAAGAAGCAGAAAATTATTCTCTTGCTTTTACTGATGCGAGGCACTGAGGCAGCACCAGAACATGTGCATTTGCTATCCAACCCTGATACGCTGTCAGTGGACCCCAAACCTGAAGCCCCAGCTCTACAGGTGCTCCTGTGCCCTGACTGGCAGCACCCACATCTCCAGCAGTGTCTGCACCCACACATCCTCTTGAAATGTAACCCAGCAGGGCGGAAAAGAGGGGAGGAAACTCTGCCCTTTGGTTTCAGCAATGAAGCAACAATGTGAAGCAATCAAAACCCAAACTTGGTGGTACATCTTCTCAGTGTCTCTAGAGGGTATTGGCAAACCGCAGAAGAGTTATTTTTCCTTAGGAAACAGCATTAAGAGAGCATTCCATCCAGGATAAAGGGTACTGGTCTGCTCCAGGCTCAGCAGAAATCAAATTTTTCATGAAGACTATTGCAGGTTTAGGAAATGCAATTGCTATTGGCTTTATTTATGACTGTCCCAAGATTTGAAAAATGAGCCTTGAAAAAAAAAAACAACCCTGAGATATGACTGAGGAGTTAGGTTTTTCACATCACCTTCCAACCTGATGTCGCTCCTTTAATTCCCTTTTGTGAGAAATGAACCCAGGCACCCAGTGGACGGCAGCTGGCAATGCGCAAGATAAGGGCAAAGCAGGACTGATCCTCAGCCCCACGCTGAGCTCTGGCTCACTGACCTCACCGAGACCTGGAGCAGCACAGCCCTCCCACGTTCTGCAGCCCCATGACCTCAAGCGGAGGCTGATGGCCAGATAAGCGGCCTGAATCATGCTCTGCTCACATGTTCCTACCCCCCTGGTCCTCCAGTGCCTCCAAAGAGCCCATACTGGGCAAATATTTGCAAACATGTCTCTCCTTCCCCCCAGCCACCGTGAATTATTGAGGTTGGTGCTCCCGAGACATCGCTCATTCCTCAGGGCTGTGTCACAGTGCGGGGAAAAGGTCTCTCCAGGCTTCTGCATGTTCCTCACCCGAACTCCCGCAGCCTGTGCTGAGGCCGCCAACCTCATTTCATTTGTGATGGGAGGCTGTGTGGGCTCAGGGCTCTAAAACAGGAAGGAAAATGGCACTGCTGATCCAAATGCGTTTCGAGGAATTGGTTTCCACCATCCACAACCAGCTCAGGGACAACACTAATTTAAGAGCTTATATGTATTCCAGTATTGAAGCTCTGTAATGCTGGACTGAGGAAAACAAATGAAACATTTATGAGGCTGCTAAAAGGTATCGATTTAGATTCCAACTCCTACAACCTCAGAAACCACCCTGCCATCTCTAGTGCTTCCTTTGCTCACAGCTCAGGTCACATTTCCAATGTTAACCTTTGATTTGCTTATCCACAAGAAGAAATCAAGCTATTTACATAGGACAGATATAGAAACAAACAAAAAGATTACAGGAGGGCAGCACCATTTATTCTGATGCTAAGATTAGAAGAGTAAGTACTCAGAATGGAAGGAACAGGTTGTTTAGAAATAAGAAATGTCTATATAAAAGCTGTGATCACGTACTTAAAACAAAAACAGAACACAACCTTCAAGCATCTAACATTTAACATCACACCCAGGAGAACCAAACAGTATTTCTCTGCCATGTGTAGTGAAGAGCACTTGGGATACAGCTGCTGGGTTGCAGACCTGCCCTTACTGGGACTGCTCTTCATACTGCCATGTCCCAGTGCAGGTGCCAACTGCTTCCCAGTACAGCCATGTCTGAAAGCTGGAGGCCTTTCCTGGCACTGTTGTGGCTAGACAGACCAACACACCAAAAGCTGACAGCCTCTGAACTTTGGTTTTCAGCCATCTCAACAGCAAGGATTGCTTCTCTTTTATTCAGCAACTTCCAAGCAGGTTGTTTTGAGGGCAAACAGAGCAATTCACCTACTTCTTGGATCCTATTGCAGCTGGGACAAGCAGAAAAGCGGCTGTCATTATTTCTTCCCTTTGCAAACACACCCCAGTGCTTCTCGCAGCCTACAGAGAATCTGGCATCATCCCACACCTATCAGATGAACTGAAACTGCAGGGAGCAGACATTTCACCTGATGGGTTTCTTCCAAAATCCAGCAGCCTTGTGAACCTCAGAAACCTGCAGCTACAGGGATCTTCTGTGTTTGTCATGTGCACAAATGTACGCTTCCATTTCATTAATGCTGAACTCCAGAGAGGAGCAGAATTCCTCCCCCCCTGCACTCCCCGCATCCCTCACCCGGCTACTGAGCTGAAGAGAAAAAGCAGAACTGCTCAGGAGGAGGAACAGTTCACACAAAGGAACCTGTCAGTGCCTCTTTCCATGCTCCCACCTGCTCTGTGAGCACTCAGGAGGTTATTGGAGCTCACAGCTGCATCCTCCATCACACAGGATGAGAGCACTACACCAGACGCGCCACTCGAACAGCAGAAGCCACGACCTGCACAAACTGCTTCTTGGCTTTCTCCAATTTTTTTTTTGTCCTTTGAAAGATGGTTATTAAAAAAAAGCGAATATCTGCTGCAAAGCGTTTTAGAGGGTCTTATTGCATGCACAGGCAGATGATAACCCTTCTCCCATATGGATGAGTGCAGAGAAGCAGCAGCTTTTTGACAGCTATCCAGGCAGTCTGCTGGCTATAATGTTCCCCTGGCTGTCTGCTGCTTTTCTACAGCAGATATAGGAAAGAGAATTTTTTTCCAGTGGAGCAAGATAAGGGTGCTTTGGAAATCCTTCCCGTGAAGCCAGAAATCCAAAAAGAGATCTGGAGTTGGGTCAGGGAGAAAACAGCCCCCTGATCCCAGCTCATGAAGAAAATGCCTGTGAACAGAACAAAGCTGGCAAAGAGAACAGGGCAAGAAAACAAAGCACATCTTGAAAAAGTCCAAGCAGCCCTTAGAAAATGAATACTTTGAAGCCACTTCAGCCCTAGGTTTCACATCACAAAAGATCTGTGTATGAGAGGACAACCCAGAAGTATACATAAACTATATTTAGCAAGGCTTGGGGTTCCCCTGTCCATCTTAAACCAGCAGAATATCCACAAATCTCCACTTTCATTCCCTATAGGCAGGGAATCCCCAGCTGGTTTGGGCACGCCATCTGCACCTTGTGAGCTGATCTGGGTTTCCCCATCCGACTGTACCTGTGTGCTGCTAACATGCAGGGTGCAGTCCCATTCCAGGTCATAGCTACAGTGCTTTCACCTTTTAAAAGGACAATATCTGGGGAGCAAACAAGATATTCCCCAGTGAGACTCTGGGTGTTCATTTCTTCTTGGAAAATGAAAGTCCCCAGACTGCAAAGGTTGGCTGCACACCAACAAAGAGCCCAAATCTCATGAACCGAAGCCGGCGCTTTTTGTTTGCCAGTCGGACTTTCTGAGAAGCAGCAAGCAGAACGCATTTCTTTCTACCCTGCTCAACTATGAGCTATTTAAAGTGGTAAATAAGTAAACAAACAAGCAGCCAGGCATCCCTGCTGGCTCTGTTCAGACCTGGAAGAAGGAGGCTGGGGAGCTGCCTCCCCTGTCCTGGGAGCGCTGTGATTTAGCATGGGCTGTGCAGTGCACACTAGGGGCTGTCAGAAGGATTTAACTGCTAACTGTGTGAGGGTAAGATCAAAGGCTTCAGGCCCAGCAGAGCTTTCATCATTTCCCTCCATGATTTACTCCTGGCTCATTTGGCTGCTTTCCTTTTTCCTGCCACACGGCTGCTGGTAGATAGCCTGACTTCCAAGCAACAGGGACAGAAGTCATTTACCTGTGTGCACCAGGCTGGGACACAACACAACAGAGCAGAGCAGTCTCAAGCAGCCAGCAGTGCTTGATTTTGCAAGGAGACAAGTGTAAGATTCATCTTTTCCTCCCTCATTTCACAATATCCACCCTTTGTGGTGAAATGCCATCTCGAATTCAGAAAAAGTTGTTTCTTCCTAGAATAAATGTTCTCTCCACTTACTAGTCCTGAAAATCTGTGCATTTCCAGTGCCTTCATGAACTGCAATGCCTGGTGCTTAGGCCAGCAACACCACCCCAGGACACAGTTACTGCTATAGGACAGCTGATTCCCCTTTTTTTTATTTCAGGAGTTGCAATGCAGAAACATTAAGTCAGTGTTCCATCTTCATGGGGAAGAGCTCCTTGCAGAAGCTGCTCAGGACAAAGAGAAGTGTGGCAATGCACTGATACAGATCCCAGATGCAGCCCTGTTTCCAAAGCACGCAAAGCAATTGCTGAGTGAAGTTTTGTCAAAAGGTTTGAGAAAAAGGGGACTGCAGCACACGAAGGCTTTCATCACCTACTCATGGGCACCGCTTGAGCTTCAAAAGCAGAAAAAAACCCTTACACAAAACAGGAAAAGATGGGGGGAAGGAGGCAGTCAGCAAGAAAGGGAAAGGAACAAATCTGAAGGGGTTTTTCAGATGTGTTTCATGTCCTTCCAGAACACAGTGGACTATCAGGTGCACAGCACAGAGCTGCTGGAAATGCTCAGTTCTAATAACATCCTTCTGCAAAGAGTGCTTATGATGAAAGAAATAAAAATAGCAGCTGGCATCACAGCATAACACTGCACTTGCTGGGCACAGAGCCTGGGCTGCAGCCAGGGGGCAACAGCCAGGGACCTGCATGGCACCTGCAGGACCCGACCTCTGCCCTGTCCTCAGCCAGCTCTGCACCCTGACAGGGGAGCTTCAACTCCAGCAACACCTCTGAGCTCAGCATCAGTCTCATTTGTTGTCTGCAGGATGACTAACACAGCAAAAATGCAACGGTGATTTTTCACCTTGGAATTTGGGCAATGTAACCCTGCTGTGAATCAGGGGTATTGCTGTGAGAAAGCTGCGCTCGGCCTTCCTGACCAACTCTCATCATTTCGTCATACCTGCGATACAAGGGAAGATGGTTAAGCCCAGCCCCCAAAAGCAGGATCTGGGGTTCAATCCCAGCCTTTGAGAATGGAAGGTCTCCTTATCATTTCTTCTCGTTTTCTCACTTTCTCGTCTGGCTATACATCCTGGACAGAAAACAGAGAGACCATGTGAAAGGCTCCTTCTGTTGGCTCAGACAGAAACTGGGAGGCTTTCCAAGGCCAGTTCTGTAGACTCCAGGAGATCAGATTGTCTGGAGAAGGTCCGGGCACGTATCTCAACATGCTCACTAAAGCACATCAGAACGCAGAAACTTGGGTTGTCCATCACTGCTCCCTATCCCCCACTTCCCAGTATCCCTCACTTTAAACCTGTATGTGGCCTGAATCTGTCACCTGAATGCCACTTACCATAGAAACCCAGTGCAGTATTTCCAAGCCAAACCAATCAGCTCTTCTTCTATCCTGCAAAAGCACTGCCCCAAATCTGTGACACAAATTAACCTGAGCCAAAGGGGACCATCTTCCAACCAACATAAAAATACCTATAGGAAACTTGCCCTGCATGCAAGAGACGCAGTTGTGTTTGCAAGTCAGGAGTTGGATTTGCTGCTCCGCAGCTGAGTTACTCCATACAGGTTCTGAAGGTACCTGTGAGGCAATCACACCAAGTTCACACTCACCACTAAGCTCGCTGGCTTTGCAGTCCCTGGGAATACCACACCCTCCTACAACCACTAACCAAATCAGGATAAATAATGCTTTTGGCCACGGTTCAGGCTCCAGACAATGGCTTTTCATTGCTACGCCTTAACCCCAGTGGATCTTTTCAGACCCCATGATTCATTTCAGAGGCTGCTGTGGGGTTTTGTCCTCCCCGCCTGCCCTCTAGCTCCGCTGGTGAATGAATTCCCTTCTGCTAGATCAATCACAGTCGCTTTGCAAAATGAATGCAGGGCTGCAGAAGAAGCAAGCAAGCTTTCAGCCCCGTCTCCCAAATTATACTCAAAAAGGCTCCGAAATGGAAACAATTGACTGGATCGTGGTATGCACCGCAGCCCCATCTGAGCGGGACAAAGTCCTTTTCAAGCAAGCCAACTTGCTAATGTGCTGCACAGGGAGCTTCAAATAGAGACAAGTGGAACCACATGCCACTTTGCAGGGAGGGTTTATAGGACGAGATGTGGTGTGTGTCAAATTAATGCCAGAACAACCGCTGGAGCTGCTGACTGCAGAGGGCATGCCCACATCCTCCCACCCTGCACGCTGTGCCCTGCTCCTGGCAGTGCTCCCATGCTTGGAGGGACCTCTCATCCTTCCCACCAGCTCTGTTCTCAGGGTTTGAACTTTGTGCCTGGCCGGTTCACTCTGTGTGTTGTTTGGTCTTCTTACTTCTGGTGCTTTTATTTCAGTGCTAGGACAGCATCAAACCTTATGCTCAGCTTGCACATCCCGGATCAGCATGCAGCAAGGCAGGCTGTCCTGGCATCTGTGCATACAACACAAGCAAAACACAGGGACCACAGCAATAAACTCACCGTGGTCTGGCAGGCTCTCCTACAAAACTCTCTGCAAAGTGTAACGCTCATCAAGCAGAGAGCAGTTACGGGACACACAGTGCTCCCAGGCACGAGTGATGGAGGCACACAGAGCCTTTGTGTGCACTGATGCTCACAGCAGGGATACGAAGCTGATAAGCAGAGGTTGATGTGATGGTGGTTAAAGGTCAGGCCAGGGCAGCGCGCTACAGCTCAGCGCTTCCTGCAGCCACTGCTGCCTGCATTGCCGGCTGTGTGTGCGCACTGCTATTCCCATCCTTACCTCTCTAAATGACCACATCCAGCACTGCAGGGACCACTGCAAACAGCAGCACTGCTCGCCTTACCAGAACTGTCCCGAACAGAGCCTTCACGTGCAGGACGGGGCAGGACTCCGGACAGCACTCCCACGGATAGGGAAAACGAACACAGGAGGGAACGGGAGCTTCGGTTCTGCGGTGCTGCTCCTCCACACCGATGTCACCGCTCCGCAATTGCAGCGAATTCCCCGTGCTTTCAGCCCCGCGCTCGCAACGCGCCGTTCCTCCGCCAACTTCCACCCGTGCTCCTTCCGCACCCGATCGGCTCAGGGAAAGCTGAGATCACTCACCGCCTCTCTCCGCAACCTCCCGGCGTCCCGAAAGCCTCCGCAGAGCTGCCGCAGCCTCCCCCGGCTTCGCGGGCGGAGCGCTGCCGTTGCCGGCCCACGCGCGCTGCGCTGCGTGGTGCTGCCCCCCCCCCCCCTCACAGCCCAGCCCGGCCCCGCGCGCCCTGGGCACAATGTAAGCGGCAGCTGGATCCTGCCTCGCGTGGGGCAGGGGGCGGGGCCGCCCGAGGAGAGGATGGCCAATCAGAGAGCGTATTTCTCGTGACGGAAGGAGTTGGCCGTCCCTCCCTGCACACCCCCTGCGGAGAGGCGCATGTTGGGGGCGGGACAAGAGGAGCGGCGAGGCCAATGGGAGGGCAGGGGGGCGGGGCTACGGAGGCCTTGGAGGTCCTAAAGCCGGCCCGGGGAGGGCGCGGGACGCTTCTCTGCCCGGCCGCGGCCTTTGCTCTCTGACTCAGGGCTTTGCTGGGCCTGTGTCCCTGAGGCGGCATTGGTGCTGGGTCAGGCGGGCTCCCCAACTTTCAGCCTCTGCGTGCTGCTCGGTCGTTTCCAGCCCAGCCCTGCAACCCCCAGGTCACTGCAGGATGGAAGGATGCAGCCTGGTGCCCACCTGCAGGCATGCGATATGGAGTTGCGTTTTACCTCATGGAAGTAAGCTTTTTCAGGCTCCTGCATTGCAGAAGTGTCAGCTGTGGGTTGTTTTTATTACACCAGCTGGACACGGGAGCAGGCAGTAGGGGGCTGATAGGGGCTGAAATCCCAATAAATAGAAAATACAGCCCTTTTTCCCAGCTACAGCTGGCAGAAGCTGCAGATGGTAAATAACAAAGTACACCAAAATGTGGATGTGTATCAATTTCCTGGCTTTTTGGTCTGCTGCAGGTCATTGCAGCTTAACTCTTAGCACTGCTCCTTTGCCAGTTCCCAACATCTGGGCTTCTCCCAGAGGGCCTACACGTTGTTGTGGGGCTTGTTAATACCTTTAATGAACTGCTGAGGAAGACAGCAGGGATTTGTGTACAAGGTAGGTGTGGCAGCATCCTGAGTGCAGCTGTTATGTAACAGCAACCCAAAAGGCAAAACTGATTTGTTCCCTTTTGCTGCTGAATTCCACCCAGCTGTATGAAAGAGCTGTGGAGCAATGTAAGGTCGTATGTCTTAATTCCAAAATGCTTTCAGGGAGCCGCTACAAAAGCCCACTCCTGGCTCAGTAAGCTGTGTGGGTGAATCCAGCCTTCCTTGTGGACCAGTTGGTCACAGAGCTCCCTGCAAAGCTCACAGAGCTCCCTGCAAAGCTGTGTGAGGAGATGTTCCCAAGACATAATGCCTAATGCTGATCTCCCGCCCACCAGCTTTCTAGCTATGCTAGAAATCAACATCTAGCTCTTGATCTCAGCGCAATCACTGCTGACTCCTGCCAGTGTAATCATCAGCCCTGGGTCTGTAATTCCAAATAGAGCAGCCTGGCCAAGTTCCACCTGCTTGCACATTGCAGACAAGTCATGCCCCTGCTGGGGAAGCAGAAAGGTGGTTGGCAGATCCTGGGGTTGTGGGCACACGGCAGGGCCAAGAGGGATAGGCTGAGCCATCTGAGAAGGCAGTGGGAGCGTAATGGGAATGCTTTATAGTGAAGGAAAAAAAATACACAAAACCCTAGGCAGATAGTTTAAAACGTTTTTAAACCTCTTGTTAAAGAGGATTTAAGATCTAAGCGTGTGTAGGGAAAAGAAGCTTAATTTAGAATGAATGTTAATACGAGCTCCTTACATACGATACTGGCCTCCAGCATCCCTCAGGGTATTTCAGGGACTGGTGCTGTGGTTGTGGTTTCAATGTATTGAGGAAATTCTTTTGCACTGTTAAACAAATCATGCCCTACGTTGACCTTTGGCTGGATGTACATAATGCATAAGTGGTGCTAGCCAGCTGGGGGACAGTGATCTGCAACTAGTCTGTGTTTTGAAAATAAACTGGAAAACTCATCATGGCCTGTCAAAGGCAATATGGGTTAAATATTTTAAAAATTGGGAAATAATAAAAAAAAGTTTTAAATAAGTAGCATTTACCCCATGGCTGTATTTGTTAACTGTAACATTAACCAATGATGGAACATTTAAACGTTTGCAAAATTAAGTATTTAATCTGACTTGTTATAGAAATCAGCCCTAATTGCTCTGTTCCCATTAAATCATCACTTTCCTGAAGGTAGACAGCCCAAAGGTTTACCCTACTCCTCATTCCCTAGCTGCTTTTATCCATTTATATCATAGATCTAGTCCCTGAGGGAGATGACTAAGTAGGTGATGTTCACAGAAGAAGCAGGAAGGGTAAAATCTGGCCAGCAAATCATGTTACACCATTTTCTGTTTTTCACTGAACTCTTCTATAACATCTAGCTGTTCAAGAGGTTAAACAATAACATTTATTTCTTCCCTCCCTAGGTCAGCGGTTGCAATCTACCACAGCCCGTGCTGCAACCAGCTAATGGCTGCTAAATGGTCCGTATGAAATCAGTTTAGTGGATTTCAAGCCAGACAGCAGTTGATAAATGCCTAAAAATCACTTCTCCAATTGACTTCCTTGTTGGCGGTCACAGCAAGTTAGTGAAGAGGCCATGTAAATTCAGCAATTCCTGGTGCTATGAGTGTGGACAAGATTGCTAGTGAATACTTTCACCCTGTTGTGAATGCTGGAAGTCTTCAGAGGAGATCACAACGCTATAGGTATGTAGTAGAAATGCTGTTATGGCCTGAAACAGTGATTGAGCACATGGTGAAAAGGCAGGGCCAACCCAGGGGAGCTCAGGTGTTTGCAATGCATCTGAGTGGTGAGAAGAGGTGGAGCCAGAATCCACCCTTTCCCAGACCTCATTTAAGGGTTGGCAGGGGGAGTAAAGGTATTTTGCTGGAGATCCCTGCCTACTGGGAGTTTTCTAACGGTAAGCAATTTTATTCCTTTATTTCTAAGTATACAGCTGTTGTATTTGGGCTTGTTCTTATTTGCTGCAGCCTAGGATTGTGCCACCCTGCTGTTATTGCGTACTTTCCATCACGTTATAGTTTTATAGCACTACAAGGTGCCAGAATCTGAAGACCATGCTGTCACCTGTAATTCAGACATTTAGGGAAGGGTAGTAGCTAAGGTAAGAAAACCCAATTGAAGAGACCCAGCAGAAGCAGCCTTGAGGTCAAGGAGGTGATGCAATGGAAGACTTGATGAAGGCTTTCACACCTGGTCTGGTCCTGCGCAGGAGAGCAGGCTGCAGATCTGTCAGTCACATTGTGCCAACTCAGTATTCCCTGCAGTAACAATAGAAATCCAATCTCCCTCCTTTCCTCTCTGCCTTTTCTGCCCAACGGCAAATTTAAACAACCTTACTTTTTTGGCAGTAGGATCCTTCACAATTAAATATAGAAGCAGAGCAGACTTTCAGATGGAAATTGCAGCAAGAGAACAACAGATGGCATTGTTTGCTGGGCTGGATAAGCTGCATCTGCTCCTAGAAGAAATGCTAATCGGAGCTTAATTAGGCATTCAGAGGGAACTATTCCCCAACCCCAGGACAATGGCCATGTGTACACGATCCTGAAAAACATGAGGAAGTAGATACAAAGACATCAGAAATCCTCCCTGGACCAAATCCAGATGAAGTGCATAATGCAATAGGGTAACCCAGAGAATTTCCTCATTCTGAAATCTATCCAAGCCACTCAAAATAAAAATGTAATTGGCAAAGACTTATTTCATTTGCAAGCGGTCAGTGATTTAGTTTTGGATTTCAAAGCAAACAATTCTAGCATTACGCTGCAATCAGATCCTGCCCTGACTGCTCTCTGAGGTGTGGTAAGATTAAAGGGTAGCCGAAATCTTTACAGCAGCTACCACAAGTGGGAATAATAGAGTCAGAAAGATCGATAATACGTGCCTTGCCTGGGATAATTGATCTCTCAATACACACAGCAAGGAAGAAAAGAAGCGTAAGGTGGAAAGCGTGGCCTGGTTCATCTCAATTAGGTGTTCAACCACAAAATGTGCCCTGTGGTGTGCAGCGTGTGAGGATGGCTTAAAGCAGAGCACTGGACACTGTTTCTCCTCTTCCCCAAGGCCACGAAGCTTACACCTAGACCCTAGCTGGCAAATTGGCCTGCACCACAGAGAACCCCATTGTGCTGAGGTTTTGCACTTAACTGCTGGAGTTCTAGCAACATGTGCTAATGTGGTACTTGGGGTTGTTCTGGGCATTTCTGGGCATTGCTAATGGGGACCCTGTTTCGTGCCCTACTTCCAGTAGTCCAGTATATGCCTGAGCATAGCTGAATCCCTGCCTCCATCCATGCCTCTTAGACCTAAAAAATGTTCAGAAACAGAAATTGTTGCTGTTTTCAAACAACGTTCTCCAGACGTTGCTAGAAAATCACCAGAGATCAAAGACATTTTGGAACAAGTGATTTAGTGCTGCAGTAAAGAAAAGAGTTTTTTTGGCACCAACACAACTTTCAGCAACTTGAAAGAATGGTGCAGAGAAATGTTACAGGATCCTAAAACGCTTCTTTCTTCATCACCATTCTGCATTAAAGAAGTATCACGTCCTGGCATACACCCATGATGGGTTGGGGAACAGGTACCAGGAGCAGATTCTTGGGGAAGGGTACCCACTGTGGGTCAGGGACAGCAGGGAAGCCAGGTGCAGCTTACCCATGGACAGGCAGCCCTGCCCTCAGAGGCTGCCCAAGCAAACAAAGCATTATTTTCATGTAGTGAAGACAGAAGCATCCAAAGCATCCGAGCTGCCATCCTCGTGCTGTTTGGTGCCTATGTGGTTGCGAGACCAAAGAGAGAGGTCCTTGTGCCATGAGGTTGTGCCAAATGAGGCCAGCCTGCCAGGGAGGCCTTGGATTTAGCTGCTTTGTGAGCGTGGAATCTCAAGGGTCTGGCAAATAGCGAAGAGCACAAGGTCTCAGCTTTCCAAGGACAGCTGGAGAGCTGGTCCCAGTGCATCCGCACGTAGCGGCACATGGGGCTCCCAGCAGGGCTGCCGCTGTGCGGTGTGAAGCTCCCAGCACTCGGGGTCTGAGAGCAGATGCAGGCCTTGGCTGGCTGCCTGCAGCTTTCATGTCTGTGTTTTAGATCCAGGCTTCCTTCTGAGTGGCTCCAGAGGGGAAAGAATAAACAAAAAGCATTCCCAATAACCTAATTCCTCTGTCAGTGGCCAATTTTCTGCCATCTCTTGAATGTGAGAGAGGCAGAGAGGAAGTGGAATGGGGAGCACAGCAGCCTTCTTGTCTGCCCTCTTTGGCTCCAAAGGGAGCCCAGGGATTCTCTATCAGCCCAGACCCTCTCTTCTGTGTTGGAACAAGTGCAGAAAGCACAGTGCTGAGTCCAGGAGCATCTCGGCATCCTCCTTCCTTGTAGTGTAGCATTTGAATTTTCGTCTGTCTTGAAAATGAGGTCACTTCTTCTCCACGTTGAACAGGGCAAGCTGTTCAACCACAGTCTGGCCTTGTCTGGGAGGCTGTTGCAAAAGCTGGCCAGGGCAAAGCACCTAGGGCTTCTGGAGCTGGCTTTATCTTTATCTGGGGAGAATGGGATCTATATTAAAAAAAAAAAAAAAAAAAAGTGGAGAGACAATTAACTATTGCTGTAGAGTCCTCTAGTGGTGAACATTTCACAAACCACCCAAGCCTGTTCCCAGATGAACTCAACCTCCCAATTCTATTTTTTTGCAAAGTAAAACCACAATAATGAAAAATATATTCCCATAAAAATGAAAGAAAAAAACCAACCCACCACAAAAAAAGCTAAACAACCGACCAAATAAACATTTAAACTCAATACAACTCTTTTAACCACTTACAAATGGTGTCAAAGGTAGGGATCCAAAATCAAACAAGCCAATCTTCCTTCCCACTATCCCTCAGTTACTCCCTTCCCATTTCTAGATGGTAGGGCTAGATGATGCTCTTCCAGATGTGGGCTGCAGCCCATGCATTAGAAAATTCACGTGATTGCCCATTCAGTTTCTCTTGTTACTGCTGCCCAAAGGAATGACTGAAGAGCCCATAGAGTTGAAACGTCACCACACCTTTGCCAAAACATTTTCTGTTTTAAAATCCAGACAAATCTGCCCACGTGGTTTAGCATTACAGGGCTGAGGAGCATGAGCCACCATTGGTCTCCAGCAGCTGTGGCGGTGGGTTTAGGTGAGCAGCTGAGTTTGGATAAGCTTTAAAACCAATTCATTTGCAGTTCGTGTCACCAGTCTTCTTTTTGTCTCCTTTCCCCTATGTTGCTCCCAAGCTTTATTTCTGTTCTTATGTCCACAGATGTGGCCTCATGCAAAATCCATACCCAGCTCTGAGCAGCAATTTTAGTATGCAACAGATGAAAAAAAAAGTTACCTGCTTTGAGCTCCCTCTGCTAAAGAGAAAAGCACTAATTTTAACAGGATATTTCTCTTCCTAATGAGACAGTTGTATCCATGTCCCACTCTTTCCCTTCAGGCCTGAGTCTTCTCAGCTGTCATTCAATTTCTTCATTAGAACCATGGAAAAAAAGAATCTTACAGAGGTTTAAGGCTTCATTACAAGATATGCTCTCAGATGCTGCAACCAAATAATTGAGCTCTGTTTCTTTCATAGCACACTTTTTTTTCCCTTCTCTTTCCCTCTAAATAATCACCTACAAAAAAATGCCCTTTGAGTTTCAGCTTCTGCACTGGGATAGCTGTATTAGCACCTGCTGAAGACAGCCTGCTTGTCATTGCCAGAAGAAGCACCAAAAAACTGAAGGAAACAGAAGAAAAATGGAACTTTAGCAGACTTGTGGTTGCTGCCTCTTGTGCAGCACACAAAAATGACATGTAATTGTAGACTTATGTAATATCCTATGGTGGCCGGGACCACAGGTCATCATTGTGTCCCATATGCTGCTCAACACAGCCCCAGCCAGAGCAGGTGCTCGGGTACAAGTAGATTCCTCCACCTCTCTTCCCTTTCAGTGCAACACAGCATTATGCATTCAAATCATTAATACAGTGTTTCATCTTTTCATGCAGTCGGACCTCTCTCACATTCTGAGCTCTTCCAGCTGAAAGCTGCACTATTTGGTATGTATTTGAATTTATAAAGTCCCTTCCCACTGATTTCCTTTAATTATTTTCCTCCAGTCTCTATGTCCCACCATAACCACTGACACATCCTTGAATATTTCTGCTGAGAAGGGAGGCTTTAAGCTTATATCTGCCAAATGCTTCACAGGGCCCAGGTGCTCATTGGTTTTGCTGTTAATTAGACTGATTTGGGGGGTGCTTACTGTAAACTTAAACAGAGTTGCCAGCTACATATCAGTCCTGCCTGCCTGCATTAATTTAGACATCCCCTCATGTCCAAATCAATAGTCATATGTACTGGTAAATAGTAATGCTTTTATAAAGCTGAAGTAATAGAGATTGAGAGTGTTGTTTCAGCTAAAGAACCGAGCCCCTGGGGTTTGTTGTTTGGCTCTTGTTTTTGCTGTGTCCCATAGGAGGATTTGAAAGTGCTTTCAGAGGGCCTTTTCACTGGGGATTAACAAACAGACCATTGCAGGGGCCCTGGGAGAGCAGATATTGTTGAGTTTGAGTGGGAAAGTTCCTTTTTTCTTCTTCCTCTGCCTTCTTCACACCAGGGGAAATTATGGAGTAAACAATGTACAGCGTTCGTGAAACCTTTCTTCTACTTGGCACTAAATTTCAGTGACTGATTCTAAATTCTGCTATTTAAAATTTTCTGCAGCTTGAATTTTTCCTTTTTTTTTTTTTTTTTCCTTCAGTAGAAGTTTCCTAACAAAAAGCATTGTGTGCATTTTAATTTATTTTCACTGCAAAAACTGCTCACTGTAAATTTCTCACTGGATGCCTTGCTTCCTTTTTACAGATGCAAAGATTAAGCTTCAGGAAAGGAAAATACTCAGATGCTGATAAGTGACATGGCAGAACAGGTAGGTTAAAGGAGAACCTCTGGGATAGCACATTTGTTTGATAAACAAGTTCATTTTTAAGGTCAGGATAAAATGCAGCTGCTGACACACAGAGCAGGTTCCTTCCACACTGTGCGGAGAAGCAGGATGAAACCTGGTTCTCCAAGTGCTGGATTTGTGGTGAATTGTAGTGGATGTCTCCAGCAGCTTCTGGCATTTCTTGTTTTCCCAAAAGAGACCAAAAAACCCCTGGGACGTGAATGCCATGGGAAAGCCATGCTTGCACACACAGAGTAGACAATGAACTCTGCCTTTTGATGGGTTTTCAGAGGCACCCAGCTGAGGCAGCCTTTAGAGCAGAGTCCAAGCATCATCTTTCAGAAGCACCCCTTGCTTCCTTCTAGGAATGACAGTTTCCAGAGTTTGTTATTTATTTGGGATTTTGCTGACACCTCGACCCAACTCACATACTCATGTACTTTCTGGGTGGTGTTCCATAATCAGAGTGGTCTGGGGACTCAGTGGGAGCATAATGACTTCTCTTTTTCTCCATATCATCTTGCCTGACTTCATGCCTTGGAAAATGTGCTGGGACAGTGTTCTGCCATAATAAGCAAAAACATAGAGGCTGTGTTATCTGTAGAAACCACACCAGTGGATGCTTGATCTATTTGCAACTCTGAATTTATTATCAGAAAAGTCTCCACACATCTCCAATTTATATACATGATAAGAATTGTTTGTTTCTAATGCCTCACTGTAACTGCAGCCCGTATGCATCCAGAAAGGGCTCCTGAAGGGGAGTGCAGCCAGGCAGGGAGGGGAGAGGGGATCTTCTGCTGGTGTGTAGAGTGTTAATCAGAAATATTTGGGGCCTAACACTGAAGTATTGAGGAAGGCATATGGCGAGCCTGTATCCTAATCTCCAAACACTGTGCATTCAGAGGGTGCTGCATCCCACACGTGTGTTCCCAGAAGCCAGCACTGTGCTGATGATCAGAGGGCTGGAAGCTCAGGCTTCTCCAGACTCTGCTTTGTATTAATTACTTGCTATGTACATCTCATGTAATTAAAAGCCAGAGCATTTCCTCCCATCCTCAGCGCAGAGGCGCCGTGCTGCTGTTGTAAACACACTTGAGATTGAAGCAAGGCATTTTGCTTCCTGAGCTCTTTGCTTTTATTTCATGTTAAATGTTGGCAGCAATACTACCTGCACTGGGCAGGGGCAGAGGGTTTGTATTAATTATATGTTGTTATGGAAACAGCACATCAAACTTAGATTGATTTCTAAGGGAGGGACATAAAGGAAAGGCTCATGGTTAACAAGAGTTTGCCAGTTTGGGTTTTTGTAAAATTGCTAGAGCCTAGAAACGTTTCCTGGGTTCGTCTGCCCTTTCCCTTCCTGTGGCTGGTGATTGCTGTCTGCATCAATCCACAACCCTGAGCCCTGTGAAAAGCCCCCATTTGTCGGCAGATCAAATAATAATGTTCCCCACTAAACGTTCTGCACATGCAACTTGAACAAGACAGAATTAACACTGATTGTGTAAAACATGGTGTTATGACTGAGTGCCGGATAAGGAAGAAGCTAAAGCTCTGTCCCTGGTGAAAAATGGGAGATCTGGTGCTTTTCAAGGTAACATATCAGAGTAATACTTACAGATATCCCTGATGCCCTGTCTCAGTTATGCAATGGCTTAAATCTGTGGTTTATCAAGCTGAAGCTATGAAACGTAGTCATCCAAAAGCAGTCAGTCATTCAAAATATGCTTAGATGAGACCTGCCTACTCTTTTCTGAATCGTCTTCCATGTATTTAAGCTGAGATGTTTCAGCGTCGGCAGATGATTGGATCATTTTCAGATCATTATTTCCATCTGCTTTGAGAATTTAATGGAGGAAGGAAAGGAATATATAGACACTTTGTCCATGTACCCTAGAAAAAGTGTATCCTTTGCACACATCAGGTTTGAATCTGCCCTGAGCTTATTCTCGGGGGCAAAATGGGGCTAGAGTGAGTCTGGGATTGTAGCCTGGCACCAAATTCTCTTTCATGCAGCCCAGAGTAAATGGTGGAGTAGATATTTTCTAAAGAGGCCCAAAAGACAAAAGGTAAGGAGAAAGAACATTGTTGTAGTAATTTTTCCCATTTCATGGATGAAACTACTCAGGAAATGACTGTAGCTGAGTTCTGTAAGATTTTGCAGTCTGTGTGATGGCTGTCTTCTGGCATTTCAGGACAGGAACCCATCCAGCTGGCTTTGGTTTTGCTTATTTTGTCAGGCTGAAGTCACAATTTGAAACACAGTCTGCACCCAAACTTATACCTCCCATTTTCACTCAGTATCGGTAGAGATCCATCCCTCAGAAGATCCCCAACCTGAGTAGCTGCTTCTCAGAGAGGTGGTAGCTGATTAATGTGCATTATCAAGAGATAAACACATCTTGTAATCAGATCATCCTTCCATCCTTCCATTTTTATCCTTACTTGCACAATTTCGACGAAGATCAGCCGTGCCGCTTGTCAGTTAAGGAAGAGCAGATTCATAGTCTAATAAATTTAGTGAGTGCCATGTAAACTCTAATTGGTGGACATGACCACTCGCATTGCATTAATAGCTCCAAAAAGATCTGCTGGTCTTGTCATATCATGCTCTTGTTTTAATCAGCCTAACCCTCATTGCATTCAAAATTTCCACTGTGATCAGCCCAGCATTGCAGCCAGCACCCCTCTGCTTTCACTAATGCTAAAAAAACTCTGACCTGTTAATAGTAAAAACGGACTTAGGGCTTTGTTTTCCAACCTTATTCAGTAATGCTGTAGGCATGAGTGGGCTATAAAAGCTCTTTTTCTTCAAGGTAAAAGACAGTTCCCTGCCAGAAGCAGCTCAAACATCCTTATGACGTGCCAGTGTAAAAAAACAATTGAAAAGGATTGTCATAAAGGGAAGCATGTCAGTTGTGAACTTTACTGGATTGAGCCTAATGTAAAATTCATGCTGAAGTGTCACAAATGAAAGGCAGTTTATTAATCCAACTTATCTGGAACTGGTAGGCAGCAGTCATGGTACATTAAGACTGTATGAATATTCCTCAGGCTGCTTTGGGGCTCTGTTCAGGACAGCTCTTGTGAGTGCAGTGGAGTCCATAGAAGTCTGCTGGACCAGGAGCAGCCTTTTCTTCCTCTATCTTCCATGTATTTTCTCTTACTTGGCACATAGTGGGTGAGCTGGGGCTAAGTGAAGACCCTGATAACTTAGCCATCTGACTGATGAGAGTGCAACATCAAGCTGTGTCATGCTACCATATTCCAGTCATGCATCAGAAAGCTTTTTATATTTCTCCATTACAGTTTGTATGTTCCCAGGCTAAACTTCCTACCAGTGGAGAAGCTGCAGGAGAGTAGGGTTCTAAGGCTCCTTTTTCATATGCTTTTGCCATTTTCCAATGCCTTATTTTCCCCACACACTACAGTAAAATGTCTTATAGCTGGTGTGCACAGAAGAATGATTCAAATGAGAAAGCCTCAATGTGCCTACAGAACATAATGGGTTTTTCAGCACAGCAGCCTTTTGGAAACAGCAACACCCTGAAGTAGCAGTGATATGGGACCAATGCCTTCTGAAGGGGTGAAGAGAAGGAGGAATTAAAATGGTTTGAACTGGAAGTGAATCCAGCTTGCCAGCTATCTCCATCATCTTCTGGTGCTGGTGGGTAGTACTCAAGGCAGGCTGTGATCAGACAGATAGATCTAGCCAGGAAGCATAGAATCATTAAGATTGGAAAAAACACAGTAAGATGATCTAGTCCAACCCCAACCCATCCCTACCATGCCCACTAACCATGTCCTTCAGTGCCGCATCTCCGTGGTTCTTGAACACCTCCAGGAATGGTGACAACATTCTTCCTGAGAAGAAATCTTTCCTACTATCCAACCTGAACCTCTCTTGGTGCAACTTGAGGCCATCACCTCTCATTTATGTTACCTGGGAGCAGAGACTGAGCCCACCTCACCACGACCTCCTCCCAGGGAGTATAGAGAGTGATAATGTCTCCCCTGAGCCTTCTCTTCTCCAGACTGAACCATCCCACAGCAGGAAATGGGATGTGAGTGAGGCTGTTATTTGCCTCCTATAAATTCTGGATAGCTAATAAAGTTGGAGAAAAACACGCTGTATGAAGATGGGAAATCTGGCAAGCAATGCTAGTTGGGCTGGATTGCAGCAGAAATATCTTATTTGATTGATTGATTGATTGATTGATTTGGTACCGTTTTGTTATAACTACAGAAAACTACGAGCGGGTTTAGGCAGGCCAAGAAAAAGCATGTCCACTGCTGAAAATCCTCTTTGCTGAGTTGTTTCTACCGGTAGGGCTGCTCACGCTGAATGCTCCATCTCTCTCTGGTTTGGTCGCCCACGAGGTGGCAGTCGCCACCAGCACATCACTCATGTGCTGTCAGGGCCACGGATGGCCCGGTTCCTCCGAGAGAAGCATGGAGGGGAGAGGATGGAAAAGACATGCCTGCTTTCCATTGCGAGCATCCCTGTGCCCGAGCCCAGCTTCTCTCAGCTCTTGTGGTTTCAGTGTAGGTCTACTATAAAGAGGTCCATCTTTCTTCCCTCAGACTGCAGCAATGAAACAGGATAGCAGAGCCCCTACAGGTAGAATGTCTTTCTCCTCTGCATCCACGTTTTTGCTATTGGGAAAATCCTCACACATCAAGTGTGGCTGATGGAAATGGAAGCGAGTATCTCTGCATAAATCAGCTATCAGCTTATTGCCTTCTGTGAGGGTGCCAAAGGAGCAGTGCAGCCAGCTGAAGCTGCAATGTCCATCGCTCCCTTGGAAGCCTCTGGTTTGCTCTAAATACATGAAAGCATCTCTGGGTTAGAGCATTTTAGACTTTGTAATATAGGAGTTGCAATTTCAGGATTTCTTTGTAGTCTGTGATTTGAGAACCGTTTTCTAGTGGGCAAATTGGCCACATAAATAAGAAAAACACACTATAATTTAGGTAGC